AAAGAATATTAAATGAACATGCATTTAAAAATTTTTAGAAGAGTCAGAACGTGTACGTTATCTACCTATTGTAATGGTACCCGTATATCTCGCAGTATATTTATAGGTTTATCACTTCCAAGGAACACTCGTAATTATGAACCGATTTCGATCAAACTTTAAGGGTTGGTGTAACTCATAAATATCTCGGTCAAGTTTCTAAATCAGCCAATTCCGCTATATTGGAACAAAATGGCGGAAAGAAATCTACCTACACCTGATTGGCCTAGCCGAAAGGGATTTTTACAAAGGTTTCAGAAATGTCGGTAAAGTGCAGAAAATTTGAAAAATCTTGAAAACATTTCAGAAATGCTATAATTAATTACAAATTTTGAATAATTTGGGAAGCGTGTCTTAATATGTCTACGCGACTGACATTTTCATCACCTCTGAAATATTTCTGAAATTTTTCAAGCATTCTAAAACATCGTTTTTCCTTTTTCAATTTTCTACACGTTTCTAAAACCATTCCAAATCTTCTTTTTTAATTATGGAGAAATTTTCCACTTTTCGTTTATCTTTTTCAACATTTTTGAAAAACATCTATAATCACTTACAAATATTTAATAATTTCGGAAAGATTTTCTGAAGCATTTTTAAAATTATTTAAACATTCTAAAAACATTTTTTACATTTTTTGCAAACTTGAGAAGTAGTTCCAAAATGTTTACTCATTTTAATACATTTCCAAATGTACTACTTATACATTTCTGAAATATTTCCAAAATTTCAGTCACTTTTCATATATTTTTTTTAATTTTTTCTAAACATTCCAAAATATCGTTTTTATATTTTTAAATCTTCTACGTTTCTGAAACATTACTTAAAATTTTAATAATTTGGCTCGTAATTTGGGAAGCGGTTCGAAAATAACTTCTATAATATTTCTGTAAACATTTCAAAATATCATGTTTACACCTTTTTCTAGTAGTACATTTCCCTCGACATTTCCATAATAAATTTTTTTTTTTAAATTTTCATTTCTTCACGCTTCCCAAATCATTAAATTATTATTAAATGAATTATAGGCTTTAAGTTTTAATTTTTAAGAGAAATGTCTCAGAAACGTGTATCTTTTTTTAATGTTCTTCACTGTTCTCAAAGATTTCTATAATTAGGTACATACATATTTCGAATAATTTGGGAAGCGTTTCCAAAATGTGTTAAACATTTCCAAAATTTCCTACACATTTCCAAAACTTGATACATATTTGAAACATTTCAAGAGTAAATTGTAAATATCGATTTTGAGTAAAATACATGTGGTCCCAAAATGGATTGATTCCGAGTTGAATGTCGATTTTGACTTTTAGGTATCAATGTTATCTGACTAACCTCATTATTTTAATGGAGCACCCTGTATATTTTAATCTAAAAAGATAACATATAGAGGTACGAAAAGGTGTATAAACTTGTTCTGCATTTACAGAAAGCGACCTAAGAGGATTTTTTATTTCGGTACGCGTCAACTCGTCAAGGGCGACTCGCCACCGGACCACTCGCCACCGACTGACTCGCCAACGGGACAACTCGCCAACGCGACAACTCGCCAACGGGACAACTCGCCAATGCGACAACTCGCCAACGGAAGACTCACCACTGCGACAACTCGCCAACGAAATATTTTTCCCTGTTTAATGTGTCATACAAATGCATCCCACAAATGCAATAGTTAATTTTTACTAATTTTGTAAACAAAGTTTATCGAAAAATTTTAGTCAATTTTGAGTGTTTAAAACGGAGATAGTGATTCAGGCGTGTGATTCAGGTATAATAAAAATTATCAAAGTCCTCGTGTGAGATCGAAGGAACTTCAGCGCATTTTTGTGTGGCAGATCAGTATTCTATTAGCCACTTTCGACTCAACCATCAATAACAGATCTTGTCGAAGGCTACTACATTCACTAACCGTTTCCCACTTTCCGCGTGCACCCGCAATTCGCTTTTAAAGTTAAAATCGGGTCGGGGGCTACCACATTCCCTTTGACGGTAGCCACTTCCGACGTCCCGTTCGCCCGCAATTCGCTTCTATTGGCGACACGAGAAAGAGAGACAGCTATTCGAGATTTACGAAACGTTAAACCGCGTGAGTTCGCAACGGAAGGTAAAAGGCGCCCGAAGTTGACTACTTCTCGAAGACGCGCGCGCGCCTTGCAAAAGGTCGTTAATTTCGCCCCTAGGGCAAAAAACAAAATTCCGCCACGCAGGAGTTGTGCGCGTTTACAACATCTTTCCGCCGACACCAATTTGAAAAGAATCGGACCAAAACTGTAGTAGAAGATAGGAAAAAACTTAAAAACCTTCACGTTAGTATACTACGCTCGAGGATGACGCCCAGATGTCGCCAACCCCACATCATGTAGCCCTGTCCCTAAGATTGACAAATTTCACGGCCTTGTAGATACACGTACACCCGTTGCCTTTCTACAAGAGTTCTTCTACGCGCCCACAATTGCAGCCAGCCATCCATCCATCCAGCCAGCCATCCATCCATCCATCCATCCAGCCAGCCAGCCAGCCAGCCAGCCAACCAAAGTGAGATTAAAAGCTACTTTTTACAAATAAAAATAAAAATTTGCAAAAATGCGCTAAAAAATATAAAAATTTCAAAACGGTTTTTGAATTTTTTAAAAATCATTTTTGAACTGTTAGTGATGCCAAATAATTAACTTACCTCTCTTTTTTTGAATTAAGACGGTGTCGGAGGAGGATCTCTTGACAATCTTTTAGCGTTCTTTGAAATTCGAGCTGAAATTCCTTCACTTTTTCTTGTAGTTTCAAAAACGGTATTACCAGTATTACAAACAAATCTTCCACTAGGTGGCACTGAACCCAGCATCGGTTTGCCATACGGAGGGCTCCACTCCAGTGTCAAATTTTTGAGTACATTGGGGGATTTTTTTAAGACACCTCTCGGACAGACCACCAATTTGCTTTTCAAAGATAGCTGAAAAGTTTTTACCACTGGTATCCTTACACTACGGGGCGACAAAGTCTTTACTTGGAGGCACTAAGTCGACTACTTTATAGCTTAAAATAGGTACACATCGCATATATAAATATCAAATGTGCGCATGCGCAAAATGCAAAGTGTCATTCTTACTTCTGGAGATTTTTTTTTCAAATTTTAACCATAACTGGTTCTTATTATATACCTTGTTATGGGTTAAGATTGTTACATTACAATATTAAATATCAGTTTAATTAATAATTGCAAAATAACATTCATATTTATTGATCGATATCAATGCAAATTTAGTCTAGTGTGGCGGACCAACTGTTTTAGGGGGAGCGCTTTGGTTATACGCATACTGGTGATGACGTCATCGTTGCTGAAAATGTTCGATGAACTTTTTGAACCTTTAAAGATTTAGGTTCATTTCGCTGCCATCTTCAACAGCAAAGATACAGAATAAAAATATAATAATGCTCATGGCCCCTAAATAGCACATAAGTAATTAATGCGTAATTATATTACCTACAAAATGGAATTGCATAAATTCGTTTCTACATATGCACAATTGGCGCATTATTCGAAAATGATAACACACGATACTATTCCGAAAACTTGCCATTCACCGTCGTTTATTTGTTTAAACAAACGCCTATTCATTATATTGCAACTGCTGATAAAATTCGCTTCTATCAATTTCAAGTACAAAATAAATATGCTTTCGTTACACGAGCACTGCTCCTAGCAAAAACCTGGCGACCTTGAATATGAGACCAATTTACTTACGCATTTGATGGAGAAAACACTTCTTCACCGGTCAATATTTTGGAAGGAAACGCTCTATATTTATTTAGTGTTACAAGGTTAGATTATTGACTCAAAAAATTTGCCGCGGTAGCGACACAATTTACGCACACGTGCCAAGCCAAACACGGTAACAATTTTCGTTTACAAATTCCTCGAGAAAATTAACCCCTGGCGCGACGTTGCCGAGTTATCAATGTGGGTCGGTGCAGCCTTATCATAATAAGACGATCTACAAGCAAGCGCGCGACCTTGAAATCACTGCGTTATTAAAACGGGGTCGATTTGCGCCAGACAGTTGACGAGGCGATCGAAAGCAATTTCCGACAACGTCGTGCCAGAGTTGACCGATTAAAAAAAATCGCGCACCGTTGGCAAAATAATGCGAAAGGTATAAACAGCGCGTGGCAGATTTCGGTCGAAAACGTATCCAAGATTTTGACTTTGACATTGCCACCTCTCACTTGAAGTTGATCAGCCCACTTTCGACGATTTGATTTGAAAAGCGCAGCGGAAGAGAGACCTTGACAGGTAGTCCCCCGGACCCCGAATTAGCACCTTTTTTAGCTACAAATACGACCTTCGACGTAATAAACAATCTATTACTTCACTGATAAAAGGCGATAATAGCAAAAGTACATATAAACAGCAGCGTCGTTATCAAAAATCGGGAGAACAGCAAGGTCGTTGAACATGAAGACAGTTCCAAGTATGTGGTGGAGAAATGGGTATGCGATCTAGATATCCATGGAAGAGAAACACTCGAGAGACCGTTACGTATGTAAAACCGGCAACAGCGATTGACGAACTTGCGTTCGTTCACACGAAAGCGGAACGCCTGCAACAGTTACCAAAAAATTTAACCTAAAATTGTTATTTAAAATATTTGTCATTGGGCAGCGGAGGCAAGTCCAAAGAAAATAAACGGTTAGTAATGCGTAAAAGGATTTCGAAAGTGGCGCGGGTGGGATACTCGCGAAAGTCGTAAAACGTCACAATGAAAACATGTGAGGATTTTTAATCGATAAGCGCGATATTTAATTGTATTTTTTCACGTTTATTTATAAGTAGTCGAAGAGGAGTTTGGGAAATTGTCGGCGCACTCGAGAGGAGTGCGTACGCGAAATGTTGACGAGGAGGCAAAGCGATTGTGACATACATTTCCGATTTGCTATATTTGTAAGTGTTTGTATAAAATACTTACCAAGGCGAAGAAATTTGTGTGGCAATCCTCCAAGCTAGCGCCGTTGGTTTGAAAATTCGGATGCGTCATGGTTGATCCATTATAATAAATGAGTAGCACAACACTATCACGCACTGCACATTAATATGCACTTAATTCGAAACAAATAATGCGTACATTTACGGAGATTTTCACCTTTCTATCGCGACTGCAAAATGGCGGATATGAACAACAAGCTACACTAAATTCAGCGCTTCCACACGGCAGAAAATCGAAGCAATCCACAATTTTGACGTAACCTGTTAGGATTCACGTACGTCGCCTTTGCAAAACACGCACCGAACAGCTGTCGCGACTAGACGACGCACGAACGGCATGTCTTCACTTCAACAGTATTGCGAAGTATGGCGACTTTGGCTAGGCATGGTTTCTTCAGCAAAAGCAAAACACCACTTCGTTTATTACAAGCAAATGTAAATATACCACTTTTATCATTTTGACAAACTAAGAACGCACGATAATTCACCGTCGTGCACGAATGTCAATCGGTAACGGAGAGCATTTTTAACGTTTCAGGTGACCGCATCGAATTATGCGACGAAAGCCGAAAAAAGGAAAGGTATCGACAGGAAAGTAGGCCCCAAGATCGTATCGTCCGCGGAATCTCTGGCGGCCAAGGGGTGCGTATCACTTCTCTTCTTCTTCTCATAAGATCTTGCTTCGTACTAGTGAACTAAGCGCTGGCTACCTCCGTGGCGATGTGAGCTGAGCGCGAGGGGGAAGCCGGCCATCATCGCGCGCTCGTTTTCCCCCTTTGTTCGAGAGCCGTCAGAAGGCGGCACCACCATCCAGTCAATAAATTGGATGCTGCGCGCAAATAAAAGGAAAAGAATCGAAATTTGGCAATTAAAAATTCATCTTAATTTTCGGTCGTCCCATTTTCATGCGTTGCTGCGTCCGGGTTGGGCTTTTAATTTCGGTTTGGGCCAATAATGACTGGGTCAGTAGAATAGCACAGGGAGACTATTCATCTCATTAGGATTTTAACAATCACATAATATCCATAATCATCCCCCATGGTTAATCACTAGCTAAACCTTTACAGGGTGGTAACAAAACATCAATTCAAACATAGAATTTTTTAAAAATGAGTAGTCTTCCTTTAGATGAGCCACCCTAAAGTATGAAAAATTGATTAATTTTGGATTGGTTAATGCACATATAGGTACCGAATTTTGCAATTCTGGTCACCTATAGTCACGGATGGCCCTGCATCAGGTTTTAAGGTGAATGTATATGTACTGTAGATTTACTCTTGCTAGAGATGTCGAGACTTAAATTTCTAGTGAACAAGGCATTGATGAGAACAGCCTAGCGAAAGTTAGCCTTTGATTTTGGTAGAGAAAAATAAATCTCGCTATACAGTAGTGACAAAGAGTAGTACTCTTTGATAGTAGACGTTTCGAAATTGTTGCTAGACACTTTTAACTATTTGTTCGCCTAAATTGTGTCCAAGTCCATGTCTGAAAAATAAAACAATTGACATACATTGCTAAATTGTGGTATGTTTCATTGAATGACTACAGAAATAGAAATTTAAAAGCAAAATTTACAAAAGGAATTGCCTATGCAAGAAAATGGTACCGCTTAAGGGTGTCAATTGAATTCTGAAATTCAAAAAATTAAAAAAGTGTTCAAGGAATCGATGAAAAAGTAAATGGTAGTTTTTCAATGTTATGTAGTTTATGGTAGAGTATACAGGAGGGAACAGGAAGTTCTGCAACTTTAGATAATAAGGTAAGTGAATATAGTAAATGTCTGTTATTAAGCGGCAGAGCAAAGCGATGCAAGCTTTATAGGGGTGTCCGTCTGTCCGTGAACATGATAACTGTCAAATGCTTAGACCGATTTTGTTCAAACTTTGCGCAGTTGCCTTGTATGCCACAAGTAATAAGATTGAAAACGGGTCAAATCCAATGACCCCTTGGGGTCATGCCTCTCTGTTTCTGCCAAATGCTTGAACCTATTTAGTACAAACTTTGCACAGTTGACCTATATGCCATATGTAATAAGCCTATTGAAAAAGGGATCAAATCCAATGAACCCGTGGGGTCACGCTTCTCTGTCCCTGAAAAACGCTTGAACCTATTCGGTTGAAACTTTGCACAGTAGACTTATATGCCACATGTATCAAGCCATTTGAAAATGGGTCAAATCCAATGACTCCGTTGGGTCACACCAAGGTGCTCAGCCGCTTTCTATGGGTTTATTTAGGTATTTATTATTATCCTATGACTTAATATTTCGCTCTATATCTGTAGAAGTGATACACTCTTCATATGAAGTTTGTTTTGCCATTACTACACTATGATGACATGATTTTTTCACTTGTAAAGTTGACCGTGTCAATGTTGAAGAAAGTTTCCCCTGCTTTCCTAAGGGGTTTCATCAAGACAAGAAAAGAAACAAAATAAAAATAAAATATTTAAAGTGGGCGAGACATTGACTCTGCGTTCAACATTGACCACGGTTCTATCCCGGAAGTCGCTAGCATCTTACTGACTGTGGCCGTGGAAGACTCCACTGTTCCATCAGGGCATCGATTCCCGAAGTTAGTCGATAGGCTCCGTGCTGTGACCATGACGTCATGATCGTATACGATAGGGATAAGTTCAAGTTTAGCTGCATTCCCGAATCGTGGACAAACATTATGACCTAACCAATCACAGACAAGAATTGAACTGTCATTTGTCAGTTTTGTATTTTGTTTTGTTTTTGCATTATGGATTCTGTTATTAATAACCAGAAAACCCTGTAGTTTTTCATTCCTCCAGCTCGCTGTAATATGGATGCCTACCACTAATTGCAGACTTTAGCCACAGCCTAAAGGTGCGTATCCACCGGCGCATGCGATCACTTGATTGTTCGCAAACTGTCCGCATAAAGATCGCGAACGGTTGTCGGGCTGTCGGTAACTTCAAAAAATTGTACGCTAAACTCAGTTTGGTGTAGACTGTTGTACTGCCCACACCAATTTCCGTCCGTCCAACTGAGGCTTTAACCACTTCTATAGTTTTCAAGATATTTAATTCACTCTTTTTGCATTTTGTAGCTTATAGTTCTGTCACCTCAACCAAGAATACTTTGGACGATTATAATATGCGCATGCGCAATGTCAACTATCTTTGTTTAGTGAATTGCTCCATTACTTAGTCGCCGAATTTATGGAAAAATAAAACTATGAAGGTTGGCTAACTATTTTAATGTATTCTGTGGCAATATTACATACCAAGGTAGAGAAGTCACCAAGAGCCTCGGGATGTTGCGAAGACAATATGAGATATGGTGTCCAAGATAAGGATGTCTATCATGGGGATCTCAAAAACCATAGACGATACGACGATGGTAGAGAAAAGTTGCGCAATTAAACAGTTATTACATCATTAAAGAAACAAAAGTTGGAATCTGTTGATTTCAGCAGGATAGTGCACCCGCTCACAACGCGCTAATCGTGCGAAAATACCTATCCGACAAATTTCCTGGTAAGTAGAAAATTTGCCCGATAGGTATTCTGTTGGAACCAACAGAGTTGCCAACCTTTGTTTTTTTTGTGTGTGTGATACATCGTTGTATTCGTAATAAAAAATGCTACTTAATTTTTTGCGAGACATATAAAAACTAAAGTTGATGATGATTTCTCCGAAAGAACCGTTGTAACGAAAATCTCTCAATGGTGTCTTGTAGAGCTCAAAAAGTGGCAGTGAGAAAGTGTTTTTTTATTTTTTTTGTATCTGTTAAATAATATCATCATCATAAATTAAATAACAATCCTCGAGATCTTCACACATACATCATTTTTACAATACACCTTAAGGGGTTGATTCTATCCCTATATAGATCAGCATAGCTTGTAAAACAAATTTTTTGAATCGGCATTAGTTTTACTTATAATAAAAATTCGAGGTGCGTAAATGTGAAATTTCATTTAAATATTTAAATAGCTGTTGGGTAATAAATTATTATTATTATTCACAAATAAAAAAAATCGACTGCGCATGCGCAAAACAATTTTTTGGATTCGGTATTAGTTTTACTTTTATTCGTGGTGCCTACATACAAAATTTCCATTAAATATCGTAACAAATAAACAAATTGGGATTGCGCAAATATAAAAGTTGTAATGCGCATGCGCAATATTTTTTTGCATCTGCATAGCTGCCTGAAGTTTAAGGAATATTTACTAACACAGAAAACCGCACATTCATATGTTCTTTGCACCAAGAGTTGTAAGAGAAACCCTTTTTGGAGGTTTGGGCTGTAGATAACTTTTAGGCCCGTTGGTCTACGTAGCCGAAAAACAATGGCGACTTTTCATATATCCAGAGGCTGCTCTTCCTCTTACAGTTACAACTGTAAACAACCTAATAACTCAATATACCTAAACCCAGCACAGGGCTAGATTGTCGCCATGCGAGAGAAGGCTTCAGAGGACCATCTCGTAGCTTTGCGCGTTTTTGTACAGGGCTATCAAGGAAGAACCTGAGGGTACTCGTGGGCATACTTTCTGGGCACTGTAAACTAAACAAGTACATGCACTGCATGGGTTTGGGAATCACCATCTTGTAGAGCAGGCGTGGGCAACCTTTTTTTCCAAGGGACCAAAATAAAATTTTTTATATGCGCCACAGGCCACACGAAAATCCAAATAAAAAGTATGTTTAAAGAAATCAATATTTAAGTATCTATTTCTTTTTGGTCTTGATCTATTTTTTGCTTTCGTAAAAATTATTTTAAAAAAAATCAATAAGTACTGAAAATTGACATGAATTCGCAAACAAAATTTACCAGATGTGGATAATAAATCCCCATATTCAGTTTGTATCCAAATTTTCATTTATGCTCTTAAGATTCTTAATCCCTAAATCACGTGTCGTTCGTTGTATTGCCCCACCCGGTATTATCGCGAGGAAAATTCTGGAAAATGCCTGGCGATATCTCTGAAACAATAAATGCATCTTTAACTAGGCTTTCAAACGTCTTGGAAGCTTCGGATCGCGTCCACTAGATGCTGCACGTGTAACATAATCGTATTAATTAATTAATAAATTAGAATTTGAAACTTGTGGGCCCTATGAAGTATTAACTATGAATTATATTAGCGGGCCGGACAAAACTTATCGGCGGGCCGTCGGTGGCCCACGCCTGTTGTAGAGGATGTTACACAGATGACGAGACGGCACACCACATACTCTGCGAATGTCCCGCTCTAGTCCAACTGGAGACAATCCATGTTGGGGGAATCCTGGCCGGACATGGCTACGATTAGGGCCGCCTCCCCTTCCAGCGTCCTAAGGTTCATCTCACGTGTGGGATTGCTTGAGTGAAGTTGAGGGGTCGGGCGACCCTAGTCAGGGAGGTAGTACAAAGAGCACGAATTTGGGGCCTAAGTACGCGTGGACCCTGATCCAGAATCCATATATCCCGAAGAACATGCGTATCACTTTTCAAAGCGATCGGACGTTTCTACACAATGTTATCGGGCACACGGACAGACAGACAGCAATACAAAATTATAAACAATCCGAGGATCGTTAATAAAAATGAAGCGGAGCCTTAACCAATATCGGATTTGATGTCTTTAGAATTATTAATTATAGGACAGTTTAAAGCAACATGTTCTAATACACAATAATTCTAACGATTTGAAATGTGACATTAGAGGGCTCTGCTCTTATAGGAACAAACCAGGCACCACCCAATAAAAAAATGAAAAAAGGTTTCCACCTTAAGACTAGTAACTTTAGCGCATTTTCCATGAATTGATCAGTACTTCCTGAAAGGCCATGCAACGGACTATTTATGTTTACAAAGAAAAATAAGTTATTTTATATGTTTGCCTTTACTAGAAGCATCTGTGGCCAAATTTCAAAAAATATCTCCATAAATAAGAAAGATGACATTACGCAGGACTACATCTGATTTTTACAATATGCGATATGCCTATCTTTGCTAGAAGAATCTTTGGTTAATATTTCAAAAAAATAAGAAAGTCTGCGCATTAATCGGCAAGAGTTTTCTTGGTTGAGGTGCCAGAGCTATAAGCTAGCGGATGCAAAAAGATACATACAAAAAAGTGCTCTAAGAAAGATTTTGCCAAAATCAATTATCTTTAGTAATAAGTAAATTATGGGGCATTAAAGAGATCGACTAAATTCGAGAAACGCCCTCTAGCGGCCAAACGGATAGTGATAGCTGAATTCTGTTTGCGCCAGTGATTTTCTCTATAAAATTGGGCTCCAGACACCTAGGTCCATTTTTCCCTATCTCTTAAAATAATTTCATAAGAAAGTGTGCAATTTGGACTACCCTGTACACACCAAGTATAGAAGTCTATCCTAAATTAATCTTCCACAACTCTAAATAACTAGGTAGACTAAAATCGTTGTAGTGTAGACAATTTATTGCATTTATCTAGCTAGAGTCTCTAGATTTTGCTCTACTGTGTACATTCATCATTAGAGTTTGTAATAAGTTATAGAAAATGAGCAGCCCCTCTTGTACTAGAAATTCTGGTAAAATCCTCAATAATTGCTTAACCAGTCACCTTTTACATGTCCAGGATTTGCTCTTTGCTTTGAAAAATATTTGTTGTACACTTGGCGGACACCGGACACTTACTTGATGGATCGGTTTCATTCGATGTGACATGCATGCGTGTTGATAGTTAGAAGTGATATGTTGGGATGACATATCTAAATAATAGCTCACTATCACGATCGGTTTACTTCAATCCCTGATATCAGAAATCTGGTTAGTGTGTAATAAATTGAGGATTTTCTATAAGTACCAACCTTCCAAACAAAATTTGAGTATTCGCATTGATTAATTAAAAAATACACCATAGGTTTAATTTTTGTTGTTGTCTCCCATGGAATTTTTTATAATGAAACGAATTATTTATAGCTTTCTGCGTCCTCAGAAAGAGTACACTCCCCCCGAAGATGTCAAATCAAAACTGGAAGCGATATTCCATTCTGTACTAGGAACAAAAGAGGGCCAAACACGCCTCGACAACCTAAGCTTACGCTTTCAAGTACTAAACACCTGTTACAAAGAATTTCAACATGGCATTCCGAATTCGCTGCTTCACACAATCGAAACCACCAGTGATGTGCATAACTTCTACACGACTCCATTAAGCACAATCACTCCATACGAAAACATAAAGAATATGGATGTACCACCCAATTTACATGTACAGTACGAGTACCATCGCTTCCATCCAGGTAAGTCTTTCACATGGGAAGTAGGCGTTGGCGCGCCTAAGCAACGTGGTCACGTGATCCGTCTTTGTACAGGGTGTCCCATTAATAATGGTCACAGGCCATATCTATGGAACCGTTAATTGCACCGCTTCGGGAACAAACATTTTTAACCAAAGGGGCGAAATTGCTGGAAATGATCAGTCAACTTGAATGAACATCAATATTGCAATTAAAAGTTGTGAATGTTTGTATTTTCGCAATATCTCTACTTAGAAAACAGATATCAAAATGGGATTTTCACTGATATTCTCACTTTTTCATCTTATTTGATAATATCATATAATAATTATATCGTTACATTTGAAATTAAAAAAAAAAATGCAAACTTTATGTTAATGTCACATCGCGCCCTCTACCACTCGTCACATTTACTAAAAAGACTATTCATGTAAAATCTGATTCCACGAAGGAGCTCATTCCAACAAGACCTATGTGTAAATCTGTTAACCTAAACAGAAGTTACATTCAATTTCTTAAAGAGATGTTCCCCAATTCCTGCACCCCTCATATTTTATGAGCTAGATCAATATGTGCTGCATCAAAATGATGCAAAATTGATACAATATTGCTATACATGTATTTTTATGCATGTTTGTTGGGTATAATTTAGAAAAAGTCATTTTTCTACTTCACCATGAATCGTACGCCCTCTATCGGCGAAGCTAGAAACTTGAAAATAATTTCCAGCGATTTCTCTTGGCCCATTTTGTTTACAAAATTTTTTTCCTGAAGCGCTGCAATTAACGGTTCCATAGATATGGCCTGTGACCATTATTAATGGGACACCCTGTACAACACAAACAATACTGTCGGTGATCTGGTGACTATATTGACATACATGTTTAATTTTAGAAACTGATACGAAGTTTGGTGGGATTACTGCATTCCCTCGCAGTTCGACAATTGTATCCGGACTGAAGTACAAAGAAAAGTACAAGGGTCATCAGCAGAGGGAAAGTTGGCCGTTTACAACGTAGCCTTTATTATTTGATATTTACATGAAATAATATTAATAAAAAAATAGTTAATCGATCTTCCATTTTGTTTATTATCACACTCAACAGTCCGTGCTCCACCATCTCTGTCATTTGCCGAACTTGAAGACGCTGCTCATACTCTTCTTTGGATTTCTATTGTCGACGCTCTATTAAATAAAAATGAAAATGTTATTAATTTCACAATGAGAAATTCTGATGTGATTTTTCATTCGCTTTGAGAATTATAAGGACTAGGCAACTAAGCCAATGGGAGTATGTAAAACTAGGAAGGTCATCTTCATCTTACAAAATTGATCAGTTAGTTAAACAAAAAAGGATCAAAAACTGGGATCACAGTGAATACTAGAAGCTGCCATGGGATTCCTTCACGGAAGTCCTTTCTCCATCCAAAGCTGATGAAAATGTACTCCTGGATAGTCAGCTTTTGGACGCTTAAGGGGACGATGAGGTGAATTGCTGTAGCAGTATGTACTTTCTGTCGGTGGGGTCAAAATGGGAAAGGCATAAAATCAAAAGTTCTTCTGGGAGAACTCTCAAGAATTTGGCGGCTATGAGATTGTGAGGTCGCAACAGATTCCTACACAAGAAAGTTGCTTAGGGATGGGTGATCAAAAGTAGAACATAATCATTTTTTTGGAAAATATTCTGCAACAGATCTAAGGGCTATGAAGGAAGCTGTATAATGAAGACCCCCAATTTCTTATTGCAGTGCATAGACCTTGACAAAAACGAGCTGTTTCAACCAACGTCATTGTTGCACTATCCCAGCTGATCATTTCACCTGGTGCATAGTGGCTAATACTTAAACATCAAAAAGAAACAGCCTCTAGGTCTAACAAAGAGTTAAAATCAAAAAGCGCATTGGATGGGGATCTGTAATTTGACATTCTAATATCAACAAATCTTTCCAACCAAGAATTTTAACCATTTTTCCCATTGTACATACATGGCAAGCTCCGAACAGTAGTCTAGCCTTATCCTCCTCTTGTGGCGATGAGCTCTCGTCTGATAATCCCGTACTTCGTTTAATCTGCAACTTCTGCTTTATCGCCTACAACAAAAGATAATAATATACTCGACAATAATACACGAAAATGGAAACCTGAGATAGGATGACTCGACGCGTATCCGATTTCATGGCCAGTAGCAGGTCTAGCCACGTCCACGTGACGTTATGGTATTCCAGTGTGGGTATTACCAATGAGAAATCGCGTATATCCTCGAGGTTTTTCTCCTTGTTTCCTTTGTAGCTTACTCGTACTGGCACTTCCGGAATTTTAATGTAGATAAACAATTTGTTCTTTTCTGCCCTTTCCTAAAATACCCCCGCATTAATATAGATTATCGCCCTATGATAGAGGCTATCAAAGAACTATCTTGCAAATAGCCCACTACATTTTCTACAAGTATTGTGGCGAGCCCTCTGGAGGGGGTACAATAGGTGCGCAAGATAGGAGGAGACAAATCAGTGAGCCTGGCTGCTTTTATTTTTCATGCTCAATGCTAACACCGGCTGTTTTTGTAATAGGTTATAACAAATAGGGTGAACAAAAAAAAAGCTATGCAGTGATGATCGAGGATGGTAAAAAATGTAGGTAAGCACAAATCAAAAAAACAGTTGCCGCACATACACTGGCCTGTTTAGGCATCACAAGAGCAGTGAGTCCGTCCTACAGCGACAATGAAAAATTATTCCGAAACACATAAAACAATTAAAACAGAATCCCTGCATAATACCCCGCACTCAGCCGGTCGATAATTAATAATAATATGAAATTATTCAGTTTTTTTTTTTCAATAATGCAAATAGTCTGGTCGTAAAAGGTTTGCGATATTTAGGCGCACTTACCAAAGACACAAAAACACTCGCTGAACGCTTGAGGAAACTTCCTCCATGATAAAATGAATCTCTATAAATTAGAAATATTCGGTGGCTGCTCAGACGGTAGAATATTTTAATGAAAGGCAATCCTTTTAGAAAGGTTTTACTAAGCTGACTGCTTTGTTTACACACACTCGAACAAACTTTTTCGGAACACAGGCAAACCATTTTAAACAAGATGTGAAATTTTAGTAGAGGAATTTTTTGCAACTCTGCTTGTATTCAGAAACCAGACTTTTGATCCGGCTCATATTCAATAGCACTGACCCTTGAACTCGTAGAAATCAATTGGTTTGACATCGATGTCTCTTTTCGTTCTCGAGTTAGACGGAGAACAGACAGACGGACAAAACTACCATATAAGCCATAAAAACCAGCGAACTGGGTTTTTAATTAAACAAATAGGGCCAACTCCCCGAGAAATTAGGGTAAACAAATTTTCTCGCTCTTTTTACCGTCGCGAAAAACTAACAGCTAGCAGCAGTCTCATTTTGGCGTCGTTTCCATTATTTAAGGACACACTATTTCCACCATAAAATAAGCTCCTCCTACAACATTTTTCAAATCATCTGCCAATCACAATCAGACTTGGTAACATCTACTTTGAAGGAGGGCGTCCTCACTTCCGCCGAAATAACGCGCATTTTTGGTAAAACGTGCGTTAATGAAATTTCGCCCGTCTTATCGCAAACGACCAGATGTGTCTAACTTAAAGCATCTTATCTTTTAATTGAACTACAAAGGCGATAAAAATCTAAACAAGAAAATGTGCAATCAAACAATTCTAAAAGGAAAAAAGATACTGAGATAACAAATTCAGATACAATAAACCAACTTTTTTTCGCAAATTTGTTAAAACCCATCGATATGTTCATATAGTCTCCACTAATTTCAAGTCCTCTCAAGTTTCCCCAAAATGCATTGGTTCTCTTGGGTTCCCTTTCTCCTCAAATTCCCTTCACACTCCCCCTAAGCTTCTATCAATTCTATCATAAGTGGCTCTCAATCTCTTCGTGACCTTTGAAGGAGACCAGGCTTTTATATTTCAAACCCTACAGTGAAACCGATCACCTGTGTCAACAGGAACGATTTGCTTGCATCTACACAGAGTGCTTTAAGTTATGACATGGAGACATCTATCGATGAATAGTAAACAAAAACAAAATTCTGAGTAACACTGTATGGTAGTGGTTTTTACATTAAGTACCTACTATTAATCACGCCCTCAAAATCCGTAAGACCTCATTAAATGTGTTTCGGAAAAAATTTTTGTCATTGTCAATCAGTTCATTGTGTGTTTATTCGAATCCTTTGTGCGAGCCGGATAGACTCTATCTCAGATTATTTTCTCCGTATCCGAAATTTACTACAGGTAAAAATTCTTGTAATTTATTTGAAATTTCGGAAGTTGATCAAGGCCACGAGTCGTGTACAAGCAGAGATTATAAAATTCTAAGTATCAATTTTGATTTGATTGAGCTAGCTGGACAGGTGCTTTGTGAGTGATGTGGTTGGCCGATACCATTGCACACGGCATTATTATTTGGCGGCCAACGTGGGGCGGCAGTCGCATTTATTATTTACAAACTTGGAAAATGCATATTCATCTACCTCTTAAGATTATATAGAACAATAGTGCAAAATTTTGGGCCTTTCTTTGTTTTGGTTCCCTCTAGCACTAACACTGACAACAAAATCCAACATTTTCCAATGTGGCTTTTACTTTATAGAAACGCTCACTTGGCAAAGACAGTAAGATAAAACAGGATCATGAACTAAGTAGTAGGTATAACGTTCTTATTGAACAGTGTGAGGAAAGGCGGTACACAAAGCATTACAGACCAAACACATGAATGAATTATTCATACATTGCATTAGGAACTTTTGACTTCTGGGAATTTACCTTCATTTTTTCGACATCATCAATTGGAATATAAAAGTTGGAATCTCGCTTGCTACGCCCGGACGAACGGATTCTTTTACTTCTAGACTCGTTGTCGAGCTCCTCGCCTCTTTCGCCGTCGATATTATCAGGATCCTTTTCCGGAAAGCAAAACTTCAACATCGTATTGTAAAATTTCTTAGTCAACCCGATGGTTAAAGGAACGACGTTAATCTCAAAGTGCTCCTTGACGGCTATACCTCCAACAGGCGGCTTTTCTCTGCAAAAAACTCGCACGACCCTCTAACGAACATTAGTTAGTGTAAAAATGATCTCATTTGTATTAGTAGGGGAGCCTAATAAGGGATTTTGGAATTTACTTGAGCGCGTCAGGTTAAAGTAAGGTGGGTTGACTAGGTGTTGAAAAGTGTGCATTTCATTAATATGACGATTTGAGCGTGAGGTGAGGGAGGGGAAAGCCACAAACAAACAAAAAACGTTACCGCGTTACCTTGACATTCTCGAACGCATTGGAATTTTTTTTATTTCGAAGGAAATTATGCAAGAATAACAGAAGTAATATTGAAACCGGCAGATTAACATACCTTCAATATCAAGACACGTGGGGTATATACACTATCAATATCTGACGCGCTCGAGTATTTTCATGAGACTATTTTTTTGTACAGGGTGGCCAACTAAGAATGCGAGGTACTGTATTTGAGAATCCATACATGGCTTGCGGTAAAAAAATTTATTACTAAAAAGGCCACGAGCAAAACCTGGAAAATATTTTTAAGTTTCTGAAATGACCGCTAGGGGGCGTAACTGCAATCTGGAATCTAAAAAAGTGATGTTTCTGTGAATTTCGCTATATTAACCTAACAAAAAAATGTGTGGTGGGGGGTATTCAAAGGTTTCCGTAAAGAACACCCTGTATCTTCGAAACGACTGAGCCGATATCGAGATGCTGTTTTCGCGAGCTACTTTTTCATGAAAAAAAAATCGAACCAATGCATTTAATTTTTTTGAGAAAATTAACCATTTCTGTCGGAATGTCGAAAAAAACCATCAAGCGATGATATGTAAAACTAACAAAACTTTAAATAGTATAATACTTGTAGCTGAAGAATAGCTCTTTTGAACTAACCCGAGTTTGTTTAAATCGGCTCAGGGTACAGGGTGTTCTTTACAGAAACCGTTGAATACCCCCCACCACTTCATTTTTAGAGATACTGGAAAAATTGTCAAACAAAAAAGGTTCAGATTATCGTCAACTTCAAAGACCGGACATTTTTTTGTTAGTTTAATATAGCGAAATTCACAGAAACATCACTTTTTTAGATTCTAGATTGCAGTTACGCCCCCTTCCGGCCATTGCAGAAACTTAAAAATATTTTCCAGGTTTTTCTCGTGGCCGTTTTAGTCATAAATTTTTTTACTGCAAGCCTCTACAATGAACAGGTTCCCAGATACAGTACCTCGCATTCTTATTTGGCCACCCTGTACATGATTAAGTGTAAACGCGCCCCCCAGCGGTGGAGGAAGGTACATCATAAAACTTTTTTATTCAATTCAATACGCTCGAGTAAATCCCCATTTAGCATCCTGGGCTCCCCTACCATATGCTTACTTTGTGTTCGACGGGCATGTTGCTCTGAATTTCAGTAGGAACTAATACCTCCTTGTAAATTTGATTGGGAAGCAAATTGGTCATGCGGAGATATCCCAATTCGAGTAGATGCTCGACGGAATCGTCACTTTTCGAGTTCTTGGTGTACCTGAAACTTGCCAATTGGCAAAGCAGTTCGGATTCGTGCAATCTACTTACAAAAAGTTACTTAGTACCAAATCGGCGATACCAATTTGCCCGTCAGCCTCTGTAAGCCTCCACTGGGCGTGCTTGAAGCAGATCTCGTTCGCTCGAACAATGGTTAACGGTTTATCGTTGCGGGTAGTCGCCAGGCGACTGTTTGCTAACAACTGAGCCTCCTTATAGCACGAGATCATCATATCCAACTCCTCGCTTTGCGCGTTGAGTTGTCCCTTGCAATTATACACCTGCAATGCGCTATTTAATACGCAATTACGCGACGAGGAAGCATTACTAATTCTTCCAGATTTTCCATTTCGTGCAACAACTCCAGATTATTCGGCTCTTCAGCGACTGCCTTGTTAAGCAAGTAGGTTTCTCGTTCTAATCGCCGTAACTTGCTGACCGTCGATCGTATTTGATTTTGTAATATTTGAATCGGCCGTCTTTGGTCTTCGACGCTGTGCAACTGCAATTGGAACCTCATTCGAGCTAAACGCTCCAAGGCTTCCTTCCGATGAGGTTCGACATATAACAGCAAGTTATTAACGATATCCAATAGCATGGCATACTACAGAAAAGTCGTGAGTGTGCCTGTCTATACTTTGCTTGGTCGCAAACCTGTAGCGAGTTTGTGCAGACGTCCAAATCGTGATGCATCAATGTAAACGCATCGACTGCGGTTTGTCGACGATCCCATAACCCGACGTCCTCTTGAAGTGGAGCGGGTACCTCGCCCACCTCCTCCGGATCCACACTGATGTCGCCGTACGACGCGTAAAAAAACTCGCACTTGCACCTGGAAACAATCCGCTGCAACTGTATTGGCCAGTTCTCCTCATTACTACTAGCACCAACGACGTCGCTAACGACTGCCCCCACCGAAACACCGCTCCCCACTATATTCGGAACTTGAGGAATCTCCGATATCACAGTCGACTCCTTCTCTTGTATATTGTCGACGGTTAACCACATTATGTTTTCTAAATGTGTCTGACGTTTTTCTCAATTTCTCAACTAAAGCCGCACTTACCGTTTAGCGAATCGTTTTCGCCCGCGTTTACTGTGGCATAATACTGCAGGCATTCCAGCGAGCCGACCCACGTCGTTTTCGAAACCAAGGCGCGGTCTTTCCATACAGGTCGATGAATCTTTTGGAGAATTTCGGCTTTGGCCGAACTTAATATTACGTAACCCTTCGTTTCACAGCCTTTCAATAATACTTGCGCATTGACTAGAGCAACTGCAAATTAAATTACATTATAAAAACCTACTCAATAATTATGACTTTCAGATAAATTTATTGAAAAATTAACCCCATAAATCTTATTTTAAAGCATCTCTTACTCCAAAAAAAATTTGCATTACTTTTCTTGAACTTAAGCTACCTTTTACTTGACTGACAATGCGAGTTGATGCGAACATTCATAGACAAAATGTAGCCGTTTTTTTCTATGGAAAACAGCACATTTGTAATGTTGATAAAACAAATTTCTAGGTGGTCACTTTAAAAGATGCAGAAAGTAACATATATAGAAAATAAATTTACTTTGTGAGTTAAGCGATTTAAGAATCTTGGAGTCACGACTGCAGCTATCCGCGTGCTTCCAGAACAATCATTACAAAATTGGTCCCTGCTCGGGCGCCATATATGGTACATCCTATACTATCATACACAAAATTATGTTGGTAACCCTGGATATACTTTAATGGGTATGTTCAGCCGACACAACTGTATCTTGAGACGTTGACTTACCTGAACGATGAATGGTGACTTCTGGTGGAAGTGAACAGTTGGTAATCATTTGTGTTTTGTAAAGTCAGTGTCAACGTCAATTAAGTGCGCGATTGAAAAATGACGGATAAAAAACCTGATATGTTTGTTTTGAAAGATTATGTTATCATAAATACTAAATTAGTACCTAAGGTAGGGGAGTTTCTATTTATATCTACAATCTACATTATATATTCAGTTAGGATTTATTAGGTTTCCTTTTTTTGTTTTTTGTAGCTATATTTGTGTAAAGATTTAATTTGCTATGTTAACATGTGTTAATGATCCTGTAAATAGATTATTTTTTCTGTAGGGCAATAAACTATTACTATTATTATTAGCTAAAGATATAAATGAAATGACAGGGATAAAACATAAACAAGAATTGTTGGCACAATCGAGTGTGATTTAATAAATGATCTCAAAATACTATAAATAGGACACTGTAATATTTAGATCTGAAATGTTAATGTTTAAATTTAAATCAATTTTTAACAAAAAGGGATGAATTCGTATTCAGGAAAATTATCAATATCAAAACAGTATGTAAAAACGTTATATCTGGTCGTAACGGCCTTTTGAGCTCAGAGGAGCACTTTTCTGCCTAATCAGCGACAGATAACAACCCAAACAAAAAAACTCGTCGGAGTAAATCGAGATACTCCGGTAGATAATAACAAAAAAGTAATCCAGAACAGACAACGATGAGAACTTAGAAGAGAACTATGAGGTAACAATGAGAGAAGACAAGCGCTAAAAAATACGTATTAAAAATAATGTTGAGGCATAATCCGTACATACCTCACACTAAATATAAATCCGCTAAGCGTATTCAATGGAGCAGCCACAACACATCAGAAATAGAGAGAAATAGAGTGATAGCCAAAACAAAGGACCCTTTTCAGGTAAATATAAGCAGTGGCGTATTAAAGGTCAACAACGCCCTAACGTCCTAACGGATTTTGCGCCCTATATTAGATTTTTTAATAGTGAATAATAAACAAACTTTTACGAAATTATCAAGACAAAATAAAATAAGTACCTTTACATAGAAGACAAAGCGTACTGTAACATCAATTTAATTACGTGGCTTATTTATTTACAATTAATTAATAACAAATTTGTCTTGAAATGAATTGAGTTAAAATATTATTTATCACTTAAATATACACAACTTACAACAGCGCGAACTATTTACTACTTCGGCGTTGAAATTGGAACTGACTGAAACACAATTCGAATACACCCCTGTTTCCCGAAAGTTTTCGAACGCTTCCAAACCAGTATTCTAAAATGTTCTCGAACAAAACACGCCATATTTCCCGGAAAAAAATGCGTCACATCGTTACCACCATAAAGACGAGTATAAATACAAACGGTCATATCCGCTTTCGTTTCTTATAGCGGATGACTGATCTTTTATGGGGCCTTTATGTCTATCGCGATTTCTAAAATATTCGCCACTTAAACGTTTCCCCTTTTAAAACAAATGGAGAGAAATTATTGTACTCACAGTTATATAATAGTATATAATATATAAGTACGTAGTTATACAGGGTTTCCGGGATGGAGCTATATAAAAGTTTGAAACAAGTAAAGAAAAAATCTGAAAATTTCGAGATCAAGATAACGGGTCATAAAAATTGCATTTTAGATGGTTTAGAACTTTCATACACTGGGGAGTTTTGTTGAGTGATAACCACAAAATTTTTAAGTGGCAGCCCTTGTCCAGTTTTACCAGAAACACATTCCTGATCTTACACCAATCGATTTTTTTTTTTGTGATGGGGGTTTGCAAAAAATAGAGTGTATGAATCAAACTTAGAAACAATAAATGATTCGAAAAAACCACCAATATCATTAGGGATCTGCTTCAAAGGGTAACCACAAAATTTTTAAGTGGCAGCCCTTGTCCAGTTTTACCAGAAACACATTCCTGATCTTACACCACTCGATTTTTTTTCTTGTGATGGGGGTTTGCAAAAAATAGAGTGTATGAATCAAACTTAGAAACAATAAATGATTCGAAAAAACCACCAATATCATTAGGGATCTGCTTCAAAGGGTTCAAAATTCCAATCATGTTTTGGGAATTTGTTTCTTCAAAATAAAGTGAAACGCGACCCCCTACAAAAACTGTAGTTATATGTTATTATGTACCGGGTGACCCAATAAGACTGTTCCTCGGTCATATCTCTGGAACCGTTCGTTGTATGACTTGGGGTAAAAAAAATTATTGGGTAAATCGCTGGAAAATATTTTCAAGTTCTATAAATGACCACCAGAGGGCGTAACTGCCATCTTAAATTTAAAGTACCGCAATCCATTGGGCTCGTGTGTTAGAGAGAGAACGCATGATTTTTGCCCAAAAATGGCGGAAGTTACCAGATTCTAGTAACTTTAATGTTAGGGATTGTTCCACCTGTTTGAAGATATCTGTATGTATTTATATAAAACATGACAGTACTATGAAGTTAGGTTATAAAAAATGACAGCTATTCAGATTTTATTTGTCAATTTTTTTAGGTTGGCAGCAAATTTGCCCAACAATGGCGGATGATTGCGGTACTTTCTATATCTAGTGACTTTACTTAAATTTTAAAATTGCATTTTCTTTAAATTTCGCATAATAAACTAAACATTCTTTTTTCACATTTTTAAAGAGAACCAGTTTATCTATCATTTTCGTAAAAACAAAAACTCAGTTATTTAAAAAAAAAAGATAGCGTTGGGCGTTCAATTGTTTTTGCAATAACCTGCTTTAACTTCTTAACCGTTTGACCGATTGTAACAAATTTGGTATCGTTGAAAAGAGCATTCCTTGGGCAATGAGAATATAGTTAATTTAGTTGAATCCTTCTCCGCCAGGGGGCTAGTTTTGACACTATGATCCAAAATCCTAAAAAAATCAAATGGAATGATATGACTTTTTCTTTATGAAAAAGTAGCCAAATAACACCCAAAGACACCAGTGAAAACCGTTTTTTAAAATCTCGTTCCTAACGTCAAATATTGGGAAAATGAGATTAATTAATTAATTAATAAAAATGCTTAAATTGTATCTTATTTAACGTATTTCTGGTATTTGTCGATGGCGCGAAAGATTATTTGGAAAAGGACCCTACACTTTTAGGTAGGCCTTGGAAAATTAAACAAATGAAACATGATGCATTATAAAATAATAACAGCCGTAATTTGTAAATTATTCTACTGTGTTTACATTCAGAAAGTGCAGTTTTTTGAATTTGTAATCTTTTCTAAAATGCCGATTTCTAACCAACATTTAATATAGAAGTTAAAGCAGGTTATTGCAAAAACAATTGAACGCCCCACACCATCTTTGTTTTTGAAATAACCGAGTTTTTGTTTTTACGAAAATGATAAACTGTTTCTCTTTAAAAATGTAAAAAAATTTTTTTAGTTTATTATGCAAAATTTAAAGAAAATGCAATTTTAAAATTTAAGATGGCAGATACGCCCTCTGTTGGTCATTTTTAGAACTTGAAAATATTTTCCAGCGATTCTTCATGACCGATTTACCCAATAATTTTTTTACCCAAAGTCATATGACGAACGGTGCTCGAGATATGGCCAAGGAACAGTCTTATTGGGTCACCCGGTACACTGTGGTTCAGAGGTTTCAATTCTCGGAGTGGCACAGCTGAATATCCGGCTCGCTTGGTTGCGGGCATGCTGTCCCCATCTATGAACGTGCTAGACTGGTACATATCTTCTCTTGCGCCCCTGCCTTACGATGCGTTGACCTTTTATGAGCATTTTTGATTTTTCAGATAGTTCGCTCCTTTTTTTGCGCCCCTAAAATTCCAGCGCCCTAAGCCCGGGTTTTGTCGGCTTATAGGTTAATACGCCACTGGATATAAGTCAACTAACAGTAATGGCGTATCAAGAAAAATGTGCAGGTATAAACCCAATCTTTTCTGAAGGGAACAAGTACACGGAATGCGCAAGACCAAATTAAAGAAGGGATAGATTGCAGAAAGATATATCGCGTGAACTCTAGCGGAAAAAGAATGAAGCAAAGTCAATGCAACCTATAACACTCAACTACCTACATCTAAACTAAACGGGTTTATTAGGAAATACCTAGATGAAGTAAGAAAATCGAATTTAAATGAAAGTAAGTTTCTAAACTTTTTTGTAGTCCTAAGATTCTCTTTAAAAAAACTGTCATATATTCAAAATTATCGAACTTCAGTTAATGTCTTGCTCCCGGAGGTGACATAAATTCGGTTGCCTCACCTCCCACACGTTTACTACATCAGAAATCTTCGCGGGTATACGTAATCGATACGTTTGACCGCCATTTCTTTTGCCTCTCGCCTGAAATCGATGGTATGGATTCTTCTAGGGCCGTAGTAGATCTCGCTTTGGCGCCATCCGTTGGTTATATTGCGATTTAAAATGACGGAAAAGGGAAAAATTGTTTTTATTACACTTCATTGGACTCACCTTATTTTCACCTGTAAATAATGGTAGCTGGCCTTTTCCAGGCTAGCGCACGGAATAGTATTTTATATTATTAGCCAGGTTAAGTGAGTTTTTACTGTTGATAGGAGAAGTTGACTGGCGAGCCGTATTTTAGCATTAGGTACTTGGTACGTAGACTGTGGCTTTCGCCTACCCTTATATAGATATTATAAGAAAAGCATTCAACTTACTTAACCAATTTTTATGAACAACATCGTCATCTTGACAAGCTTGGAGACCCTGCAAATGTTGCTGTCTGGTCGCCGACGAAAGGTCATCGCTAAAAACGACGGCCTTATTATCGGCCTCCGCGATAAGTTGCTTCAGCATGTTCGCGGCGTGACCGGTTTGCGTTTTGGTAAGCGGCGACGGAGCGCCTTGAATTGTGGACGTCTGCAACGTCTGAATTGTGGAGGTGGGGGAAGTCGCCGACGCCTCCGCGTTTCGCCTCTTCAAAGGAGTCGAGCTACTCTCCTTTCGGAAACCTTTCAGCGCTGCTGTTGATAAATTTTTCTTCATCCTCTGCAATTGGACGATGATTAAGAAAGCACCGAATTACTTCGCATACTTGATTTCGCATGAATGAGTCAAACAGAGCGAAGGCAACGTTTCGGTTACTCTTCGTCCATGCGCCCTTTAAGTCGTACACGACCAGCCGATGAGTCGGCGTATCCTTATTTCGTTCGGCAGTTGGATGCTCGCGAGAGAGCAGAACGGTCTCTCTCCCATATGACACTTTCGCTACCGACAGACAGAAACACTTCTCCACGGGTTGCCTGAGCGAAATCGCCTCTTTTTCTGGGTCCTCTTGCAGAGCGCTTTTCAACCAAATTTCCGTATCGTTCAGCTCGCTATTCATGTACACAATCGACCACTCGGTCTTCGGACGATGCTTCAAACCATCATCTACCGGCACCAAGGCCAGCGAGTGCTCTGAAATGAGCCGTGTTTAGTTTTAGCAAGATCCCGCTCCTGTGTATACCCGAGCTGGACGAAAGGCGGCCCCCTAACAGCTCAAAACCGCGCTGCATAGCGAAAGACATCCAATAGCAGACTTGGAACTTGTGCAAGCCCATGAGCAAGTGAATTTTCTTATAGTGGCGACTCAGCTGTATTTTCCGCGGTCGTACGTTATTAAAAATTGTGCCACGTTTCGTCGGTCTAGTGATGCCGGATAAAATCAACTTCAAACTCTCGATCCAACGTAAGGTGCTGCTGTAAAGGGAGAGCATCGGATAATCGATGTTTCCCGTCGGAGATTGATTCGCGATCGGTTTCGTTTCGAGCACAACACCCAGGTGTATGTTTTGCGAACGAAATGCTCTGAACGAATCGTGCTCCTAGAAAAAAATGGCACGAGTGAAATGGCACTTTAAGGGCCAATCCATTTCAAACCGCCCAGGCAGAGTTGCCGAACATTTTTTATTTTCCTGGTTTTCAAGTCGTGGGTTCCCTATAGCACAGACATACATAAAGAACAGATTGCTAACCATAATGCATAAATTGCTTAACACATTTATCCACTTATTTTAATAAAACTGCCGATTTTCCGACTATATTTACCTCTGGCGCCTTTATTTTGAATCCGACGCAAAAAATGAATGAACTTTTTTGTACAGCTTATCAAGGTACATCTTTTTTGTATTTAACATTTTGCAAATTAAAAAAAATTATAAAATAAATAGTTTAACTTTTCAATTTAGAATTTCTCAAAAACTAAGAAACTCACAAAAAAACTGTAATGGATTTTTTTGTGGAGTTTTGTATGCCACATTTGTCAGTGTGGGCAAAAATGATTCCAAAAGAGTTTTTGTTATGGCCCTTTTAAACTGTATGCATGTGGTTCGTTTCTTGTGAACACGATAACTCAAAAACGCCTGAACAGATTTTTATGAAATTTGGAATGTTTATAGGATTGTATAGGGAATGGCACACGACCTATTTTGGTTTCGGTCCGTTACCATCTTCAGGGTTTTTGAGGGTGTTAAAAGTTTAAAAGGGCCATAACGGCTTGAAGAAAATGTTTTTTCGCATATACTGGCTAAGGTGGCACAAAAAACTCTACAAGAAAGTTCATAACAATTTTTTTGTGAGTTTCTATGATTTTGAGAAATTTTAAATTGAACAGTTAAACTCTTCCTTTCATAATTTTTCTAAATTTGCACTTTTTTCAGAAAGTAAGCTTCATAGCGAAAAATGTTACATATAAAAAAAGAAGTGCCTTGATGAGCTGTACAAAAAAGTCTCATCCATTTTAATAATAATAATAATAATAATAATAAGTGTCATTTATTAGACTTCTAAAATAAACATAAAGCAATATAAACGGTAAAAAAGACTATATTGTAGCCAGAAGCCTAAGAGGGCGAAGTTCAGATGTTCAGCATGAACATGTGATACATCTGCTCTACCACTTAACCCTTAATATCTTAGTAATACATTACATCGAGGTGGAATGAAAAATTAAATTAACAAAGGCAGAAGCTATTGATGACGATAAGAAGAAAACTAAAATACAAGGAAAAGGAAGGAAATTGAGAAAAAAAATGGACGAAAGAAAGACAATGATATTACTGCTGATTATACTGCCTAAGTAACAAAATACCTTGAAAATGGTTTTTAAATGTAGCGCTATTCATATTTTTTTTTAATTCATTGGAGAGGTCGTTGTATACTTTGGCAATATTATAAGCATAACATCTTTCATATCTGCGTGTTTTGTGAAATGGTGGTGTCAATAATTTATAGAACCGCGGATTTGAACTAAATTTTAGAAGGTCGTATAAATACGGTGGCATTTGATTTATAACAATTTTGTGAAATATGCAAGCTGAATGTAGTAATCTCCTATTAGCCATATTTAACCAACCGAGCTCTTGTAGTTTGTAAGTAATGCGTTCATGCTTTTTGATTCCAAAGATCAAACGAAGACAAGAGTTTTGCATTTTTTGGATTCTATATTCGTCTCTAATAGTCAAGCAGGGGCCATAAATCACATCACAGTAATTAAAGTTTGACAGCACAAGTGCCTCACATAGCAATACTTTTAAATGTCTAGTTAAGCAGTGGCGATGGGAAAAATCATTTTTAGATTAACATAGGCTTTCTTACATGACTCCGAAACATGTTTACTAAACCGCATATCACTGTCAATATGTAATCCTAAATTTTGTACGCAGTCGTTGATGGGTAACACCATATCTTTTACTTTTATTGTCAACCATCCCTTTCTTACGTCCTTTTCTTTGGGTGGTCCAAATAACATAGCAGAACATTTGGCAGGATTGATTGCTAATCCATGCAAATCGGATAATTCGGAAAGCCTTGCTATATCAGCGTTTATATTATTAATTGCATGTTCTATACCAGACGCAAGGAAAGGATATAACAATTGGGTGTCATCAGCGTATTGGTGAAACGCCACGTGTTTAAGTGAGTAATGGAATTTACACGTATATATCGAGAATAATATCGGGCCCAATACGGATCCTTGAGGCACACCTGCTGCAAGTACTTCACGCTGTGACGTTCGTTGCTTAAGAACAACTTGCTGCCTCCTGTTCGTGATATAACTCTTCAAGAGGACGCAAGCGTCGTCACCAAATCCAATATGATGTAATATAATAATAATAATTGACTTTATTCCCATACAAAATGATATACATGACTGTAGGATGTCAATAAGCGATTGATTAATCTGTGATTAATTGTCAGCGTCAGATTCAAAATAAATGCGACAGAGGTAAATCGGAAGATCGACAGTTTTATTAAAATTTGACATATTTGAGCGCCCCTCCCAACATTAAGCCACTGGATCTCACTGGCAGACATGACTTCTTCTATTTCACTATGTATCAGGATACACAAAAAATCAGCCATGTAGCGATAAGTCACTTTTTTCCGTAGCCAGCTCTTAAGACTATAAAGGCTTATTTTCCGATTTATGTTATTTATTTACCCAAAACATTGTTTCAATAATAATAATAATAATAATAATAATAATAATCTTTATTTCCTGTAGACATATAAAAATGTATAGGACATGTCAGTAACAATAACAAACTTTAAACTTTAAACAATACCATTGACTAATAATACCCCCCCAATATTAGTCAATGACAAAACCCAAAACGAGCTTATAAAGTTTGCGTTTTTTAGAGAACCTTTGAACGAAATGATCTAGAAATCAAAGACAATAAACGAAAAAATGAGCATTTAATCCGATAAAGTGTACATTCAAGAACCTGTACAATTTTTTTGATAATTTTGGTTGATGTACGAGGGTTTTTACAAAAGTTTTAAATTTTAATAAAACACATTAGATATTTGTGAAAGGTTTTTTGATAACAAAGTTTATCTTGGGAGTCCTACAGGAGCTAAGTTTTGATTATTCAAAAATATATTATACGTTTGTTGAAACTGTAAAAATTAGCAATAAGTTATTCAGTCCCACACCCCGAAAAGTAGTTTTATTTAGAGTCTGATTAATCTCGAATTGTCTGAACCGTTTCAATAATAAAACAAACCTACTAATTCCTGGAGGGATTTCTACAGGCTCCGGTGTGTTTCGAGGATCCACAATTTCTGGCAAGAGGAAATTAAAATGAATAAGTATCATATTTATTCATAGTATGAAAGTGAATGGATGCTCTCGTATTTTATGTTACCTTTTTTTTGTTCTTACATGTTTTAAATTTAGTATGCATGTGTTTACTAGCACGTGCCCACTAGGTAAGATTAATTGTGATGTTGCTCTGTAGCTGGCTTTGCTGTTGAGCAATAAATATATATTTATTTATTTAGGTATTTTTTTAAAATAAACCCCTAAGGCAGATCTAAAAAAGCGGCAGAGCATCTCGGGTGACTCTATGGCGTCATTGAATTTGACCCATTTCTTATAGGCTTTTTACAACCTAATTGTTCTGTAAAAAATATTTTAACCACAGTAATTCCATAATCGGTAGATTTTGAAGATGTTTGCGATTTTTCGCGACCCTGTGCCACTTTTTTGTGAAACCACAAACAAAATCAATCTATTGTAGCTACGTTTGTTTCTGAGATACAAGGTGAAAAGTTGAAAACGAAAAGTTTGACTTTTTGGGATGATATCGTATCTTACTTTCCATGTAAGATAGAAAATAGGTAAAAACTGTTTATTTTAGATACTGTTACGTAAGAATTCAGTGGCGTAGGCAAAAAAACTTTTGGACCACCGTTTCTGAGGGTCTGAGGCCCAAAGTTGGCATTTTTTTAATATGTGACACCCTGTATAACTTAACGTCAATTGTTTGCAGTTTTTTTCCTGATTACATTTATGCATCACACTCACAACCGTATATATTTTTTTTAGCAATGAAAATCAATTAAAACCTTATTTTTACTGTTTTTAAATAGTATGCCATGAATTCATGGAGATTTTGTTTTGTTTATTGTCCACGGTAACAAAGGCACTCGATACCAATCAATACAAATGGCTGACGGTAGAAATATGCCATTTCAAAATATGATAAAATATATAATTAAATAAAAAAATATAGAATGATACATCAATGTAATCACAAAAAGAATGCAAAAAATTGAAGTTAAAATATACAGGGTGTTGCATTAAAAAAATTCCAAGTTTGGGTCGAATCACAGAAATTGTTTTTTGCCTACGCCACTGGATTCTACGTAAAAATATCTAAAATACGCAGTTTTTATCTTTTTTCTATCTTACATTGGTAGTAAGATATGATACATCCCAAAATGTCAAACTTTTCGTTTTCACCCTGTAACTTAGAAACAAACATAGTTGGATAGATTCTGTAGGACACTGTACATGTACATTTTCTTGAGCTGGTACTAATGATTTTATGATTATTTCTAATTTGTCGTTTTATTGTATTATTATTTTGAATACTTTTTATGTTAATAATAAAAAATCAAAATTTTCTTAATGTAAACTTTTTTATGATGTGGCCCGCAGCTATCTGTGGAAGCCGAGGTGGAAACCTTAAACCTTGTTGATGATAACATTTTTTATTTCCGCATTTATCTTTTCTAACTTTTGGACGAATAAGGCTTTTTGAGATTAATATCTCTGGGTTCGCTATTTCAGCAGCTAATGGACCATATTCTTCAATATCAAATCAAAGTTAGGAATTATACACCACAAATAATCTTCATGTGTAAATAAATTAAGCCTTTTCATAGAAAGTTGAGTTTTTATTATTAGGGTAATAATATTACAAAGACAAACAGTTATCAGTACCGTAGTTTGAATATCGGAGGTGCAGTTCAAATAAAAAATGCCTTATTATACCTGAAAAAATTTAGGAACCTTATTTTTTACACAATCCTCGTACATACAACTACGTCAACTGCTTATCTACTTATTTGTTCACTTTAAAAAAACAATCCAATAAGTAGTGCAGTTAAATAGCAAAGGAATAAATCTGTAAGTATTTGCACTTGATTCGCGTACTCAACACCAAATAAATAGTTAAAAAGTACTTAGTTCAGAGAAATACTGCATATCTGCACCACTGACCTAAATAAAAATCCACTGCGATTCTTGATCGGACAACGAAAATGGAGAGCATTCCACGAAATTTGTTGTGTACATACTTGATGAGTTAAGGAACAAAATTGTTGAACAGTTTTTTTTAAATAAGTTTTCAAACAAAAGTTATACTGATTTGGAGTTTGGGTCTTTAGGTTACAAAGTGTCCCCCGCTTACTAGTGAGTGATCTAATTTAATAATAATAATAGTAATTTCGCATGTAGTTAATTGAAAATGTTGCAAATAACAAAAAAATAGCGATTTAAATCCATATTGAGATTAAATGATCATAGACAATTCGATATGTCGATTATGATATTGAAGTCTGCAAATTCGATTCCAAAAAGATGTAGATTGTCCGTGGCTGCGAGTGGTTGGAAAATGCTATTTAAGTAGTTCCATTACAATCAATAAATATCATAATATCGACTTAAATCGTTATTTTTTTGTTATTTGATTAATTGAATTTCATAACTATATTACTCTGAATGTAGTTGAGTCCCAGTCATAATTATTTTGTGAGATATTCTCATTAGTGTAAAGAACATTCTGTAAAATTTTCACTTGTTTTCATTCAGTCCCTTTTCAGATATTCGTCGAAGAAAATTGACATTAACATGCTTTCGGCCATTTTTGAAAAGCCATAGAAAAAAAAAAGGAGTGCATCCTCAAGACTAAAACTTTTTCTGCAGGTAGTATTATAAGTACTCTACACAGTAACAATATATTATTAGCGAGCCTCTTCTTCTTCCCAAGAATGTATGGCGAATCAGTAATTTTTTTTAATTTTTTTGAGAATAGTTCCGAGTGACTTTCTTGCATGATAGGAAAATTAAAATAATGTAAATTTGAGATCATTTCATGCTGAACGTTTTTTGAATTATTTTGATATCTTAAAAAATAACTTGGTAATTAAACTTTCCGCAAACCCCGTTTTTCCGTCAAATTCGCCAAACCACCATTTTAGAAATGGCTACCTCAAAAAAACCATGGCTTATAAAATTTTTTCAAATGCTGATTTGTGAAGGGAACCTATGAAATAAAAACCAGAAAAATAAAAAATGCTGAGCAACAAATTATATTTATATTGGGTGATTTCAATTGGATTGACCCTTAAGTAAAAATATACCTGATTGCTGGAGTACTCTGGAATTTTATCCGGAGCGCACTGTATAACGCTATGGTGGTCGTTGGGGTCGCCTAAACTAGCCCACTGAATGTTGACGATCAATTTTAAGTTGGGTAGGTGGAGCAGTTTGCAGTCATCGTACTTTGAAGCGGTCCTCACGAAGATATTTAGATCGCCTTTGTAAACGAACTTTGCTGGAATTGTCCGAGTCAGTTGACATTTCTCATTGCGTTGATTTACCGTTAGTCCAATCCATTATTACTTGGTTCCAAGTCAGTTCCATTTCTTCAGTTGTGTTGTACGGATCTAAAGAGGCGTGCAGCAAAACGGTCAGCTGTTGCACTACCATCGTCAACCGACCGTGCAGCAACAGTCTCATTTTATCCCAAAATGGTAAGGGGGGCGACGGATCGCGGGAAGGCGGAATAATTTTCTCGAACGCTAAAACGATGTGTCAGCCTGAAATTGTCTAAAGGATTACGTACTTAAGTTGCACTGAGCGATAACGGGCTCCCAGCACGGACCGAAGGCGTAACTATACGATTGTATCTCGCAATTGAAGTCGTGATAGAATTTTAACGGTAACATGCTTCGTTGGACTGTCACTGATCCCCACGGTTCTCCCAAGTCAATCGGCACATCGCGTGTCGCTATTTAGAAAGAAGTGTTACTAATAGAAATCGGTACCTGTAATGTATATGTATACAAAATATCTGTGACTCTGTGCTCGGATTAGAAAATTGTCTCGGTTTCCTCAAATTTCAATTATAAGCCTGCTCGTCACGCCTGAGCAATTTACTCATTATATTTTCAATTATCTGACGTATTATTTATTACTCTGATACAGGATCGCAAATTTCGGTCTCAGCCACTCTGTGTAAACATGCCGACAAAACTGTCTGTAAAGGTGATGGTGCTTATGCACTTCTTATACTGCGTGTGTGGAAGGTCCTTACATACTGGAAGTACTGTAAGCGTCCGACTAGAAAAATTCACATTTGTCAAGTGGCCTTGTGTTGCAGGTGCCTTTTCAGAAGGAGGTCCAAGAGTTAGCTTCGTTAGTGACAGCTACCGTAAACTCCTGGGCAGTTCAGGGCGACGTACAGAGTATCGTTGCAAAGCTGCCCGTTGTTATTTTTATGAAGAATTACAAGTTTGATTAGCTCAACATAAAAATAATGTAAATACCGTTCTGGGGAAAAATAAATGATTTCTGATCGCCGCATCCTGTTTCTGCTACATTAACTGCGCTAGAAAAAAAAACCGAATTTCAAGGGCAGCTTCTTGATCTAAATCATGCAGCTCATTTAAAGCCGGAGTTACAATCAAGGCTTCATCATGAACGCATCTCGCTTTTGTGTTTTAGTGGTGATACTACTATTCGCATACGAAGTCAATTCGGCACCGAGCGCAAAATTGAGGGTGAGCTACATTTACTGACAGCTTGAAATGTTAAATATTTCAATTAGGCCAAGCGCGAGAACCAAGGGCCAATTGAAGCCTTTCTCGATTTTTTATGGGAGGTCTTTGCCACATTTACTAGAATACAAGAAGACATATCCAACCTCCCCGTTGTTATTTATTATAAGCATTAAATGGTGTACCCGGCAGCAATTTTAACTTTTTTTTCTCTTTTGTTAAATAGGAAAAACGCCAGGCCGATGGGTTGATCGAAACTGCACTAGACCTCATTCTCGAGGGAGCTTCAAAATTTTCTGAAATACAAGAATCCCTCGAAGGTCTCCCCAGTGTTTCTATAGGCCGTAAATAATGCACCTACATGTATTAGCACAAGTGTGTTTGTATTTTACATGCACAAATAAATAGTCAACTGTTTTTTTTTTGTTTTCACCACTGACATCAGGGTAACAAAACAAACTAAGTAGTTCTCTCATTTAACCCTTTAGATGATGTAGGGCAAATCTCCTAACGTGCTTAATCGACCTCTCTATATGCTACAACCAGCGAAGATGTACCAAAAATACAAGACTGTACAGGGTGGCCAACTAAGAATGCGAGGTACTGTATCTGAGAACCTATCCATCGTAGAGGCTTGCGGTAAAAAAGTTATTACTAAAACGGCCACGAGAAAAACCTGGAAAATATTTTTAAAGTTTCTGAAATGGCCGCTAGGGGGCGAAAAAAAGTGATGTTTCTGTGAATTCCGCTATATTAACCTAACAACAATGTCCGGTCTTTGAAGTCGACGATAATCTTAACCTTTTTTGTTTGACAATTTTTCTTGTATTTCTAAAAATGAAGTGGTGGGGGGGGGGGGGGTATTCAAAGGTTTGCATAAAGAACACCCTGTATCTTCGAAACGGCTGAGCTAATTTAAACAAACTCGTGTTAGTTCAAAAGAGCTGCCTTCAGCTACAATTAGAATACTTGAAGTTTTGTTAGTTTCACATATCGCCGCTTGATGGCCTTTTTCGACATTCCGACACAAATGGATAATTCTCTCAAAAAAATTAAATGCATTGGTTCGATTTTTTTTCATGAAAAAGTAGCTAAATGATGCCTAAACAAGCTCGCGAAAACAGCATCTCGATATCTTGAGATATATATATATATGACATAGATAGATAGATAGATAGATATATATCGTGATGGTCAGCATTTCGAGCATTTACGGCGGCATTAAAAGCTTCCTTTTTTAAATCGATCCACCTTAGGGCCACAAATTATATAATAAAAATAATTCCGTAAAAATTAGCTTAAAAAAATAAAATTTTGAGAGTATAAAATTTTCTTTGGCCTAAATTTTAGGTTAGGAACAAGATATCGTGATGCAGTTTTCGCGAGCTTGTTTAGGCATCGTTTAGCTACTTTTTCATGAAAAAAAAATCAAACCAACGCATTTAATTTTTTTGAGAAAATTAAACCATTTCTGTCGGAATGTCGAAAAAAGCCCTCAAGCGGCGATATGTGAAACTAACAAAACTTCAAATATTATAATATTTGTAGCCGAAGAATAACTCTTTTCAATGAACCCGAGTTTGTTTAAATCGGCGTTTCGAAGATACAGGATGTTCTTTACGGAAACTCTTCAAAGACCGGACATTTGTTTCTTAGGTTAATATAGCGGAATTCACAGAAACATCCCTTTTTTAGATTCCAGATTGCAGTTACGCCCCCTAGCGGCCATTTCAGAAACTTAAAAATATTTTCCAGGTTTTGCTCGTGGCCGTTTTACTAATAACTTTTTTTACCGCAAGCCTCTACGATGGATAGGTTCTCAGATACAGTACCTCGGATTCTTATTTGACCACCCTGTACAATTAATTCAACTCTTAAAATGTACAATAAAAGAAGTGAAGTTCTACGTTTTACCGAAAACCCATGCGCACATACGCACACGTTAGGAAATAGCATAATCTAAAAGGTAAAAGAATCTGTGTAAACTACTGTAACAAGTGGTCGCTTTACCGTGTCAAAAATTTGGTTCTGAATTTGTATTTTGTTCAACATAGACCGCTTCATAGCGTACGTACGTGAACAAAAGAATGTCTGATCCTAACAAGTGATAACGTATTGGAGAAAGCGAGCGCGGTTGCCACGATCTTTTCAAACTTAAAAGTTGCGTTCATTGTTGCATTTGAGCCAGTTGAAAAAGCCGAAGTGCGGGTTGGTTGTTAGAACACGCCAGTCGAGGACATTGCGGGGAAGGCCCGTTTCGGTTTTTCTAGCGGGCGAGATAAAAATAGCGAGAGAAGTGGGAGAGCAAGTGACTGGGGAAGCAAGAAAAGGCAGATGTAAAGCGGCCCTAAAGTATTGCTGTCGCCAACGGCAGCGGAAAAAGAAGATCCTGGCTTTGGAGTAGAAGATCGAAAATCTAATTAAGAAACATGTCTGTACAAAGAAGCAGGGGTATCAGTTCAAGGTCTCGCGCCACCTGGTGGTGACTTTTAAAAGTACGTCAAGGTAAAGTTCCAAGGTGGCACGTGGAAAATGAACGACACCGAAAAAAAGATGGAATTGACTTAGGATGACCTTGATTTGACGTCATGGAACCATCAAATTTTTAAAACCTCGACATTGACCTCTGATGACCTTGAAAATGAAATAGGACAACACAACAATGGGGTCATTGACGTCTGATTGCCTTGAAAGTAAAATATACCACCCCAACAAAGAAGCAATTGACATCTGAAGACCTTGAAAATAGAATACAACACAGCAAAGAAATGGAAGTCATTGGCCTTGAAAATATGACATTAAAAAATGAAGTCATTGACCTTAGGAGTGAAATGTAGCTCCACCTTGACCTCCCCAAGGTCACCGTCATCTTTGAACTTCACCTTGCCCTACTTTCCAAAGCGAGCGACCTTGAAATGAGCCAGGTTCGGCCCTACATAACTACCGAGGGACGAACGGAAGAAAAAATTAAAATTGAAGGATGAAGAGCTGGAAAACCAGCTCAAGCGTGCGGATACTTTGCTTTTTTTAGAGCGAAAAAGAGAACGTGGCGAAGGTTTAGCTGAGGCGGCAGAATGTAGATAGATTTTGGTGGTATGTGTTTGATTCGCAATGATGTCGTACTCTCATTTCCGGCTAAATGGCGGAACAGTTTGGAACCAAATGATATTCTTAGACCTAAAAGGAAGAGCTGAATAGCTTTTGGGCAGAATCGCGCATGCGCAAGTGGTATCTGTACTAGCCACACCAAATTTTTTCCCTTGTAATTATTTTAATTAGCATACGATGTAGTGTTTGCTTCTATAAATTTGAATTTGCAAGCCCTTATAAAACATTGCGCAATATTCGTACAATAAGTTAACAGTTTAGGAGGTCGCCGTGCTTAGGGGTAGTTTTTATTTGCTATAGTTAGCGCGTACGTAGTTTTCTCATGTACGTAGAAGTTTGATTGAGAATGTCGCTTTCATTTATTTGGGACTAAAGTCTTAAGTCTTAAGGAGAAGGTTTTGATGCTACACCCCGACCCATCGTACAAGTCGACAGCATCATACTGAATTTTTTTAAATCATCTTCAATACAAGCGTATAATCAAGTCTAGAGCACGCGCAACGAGTTTAATGGTATGACGCGTAGCGGGGTGTCTTTACACGTTGCTTTAAAGACCAATTATACACGTATTTCGTATAGTATTTTTTATTATATCTGTAATATCATTTAAAAATAAGAGAAATAAAATGAAAATCATATCGACGTTATACTCGAATACAAGTAATTCCATGATTGCCATGGAAATATAACTTGACGTTTGCTTTATAAATCAAATGACTTCGGTTGAAAAAGATCATACACCGCCCATTCAATGGCTTGTAGCAAAAGCAGAAGAAAAGTTGGTAGGTGCAAAATCCAAATCCAGTAAAGAATATGAAAAATTGTTTTCGTGGATGAATTTATTGATAATCAAAATTGATAATCAAATGTATTGATAATGCTGGCATATATGAAGGAAATGTCAAAGGTATTATTTAAATCTTTTATCCTTTGGTGCATGATTTAAAAACGGATTTCCCATGCCCTAAATTACAAAACAAAAGAAGTACAAGCCAAAGAAATCTTTTGCATTTACAGACAGCGATCTAACATGATTTTTTATTTCAGCCTCAAGTGACAGTTTCATAAGTCACATTTGAAGTAGGATTACTAAGCAACCTTTAAATTCGCAAAAAGCTGCGACCAAGAGCAGCCCATATAAGCACAGCAGTTATGCATTTCTTGTGCAGTGTTTACAGAATTGCACTGAAAAATGGGGGCGATCTTTTTTTAATTTCTAAAAAAGCGACATTAACGGCGCATATTTTTGATTTCCCACAAAAAAGAAGCGAGTATTAAAAACTAAAAAGTGTAACCTCCCAGAGAACCTCAAGTGTGGGAATTATATTTTAAAAAAGTCATTTGTTAAGAAAAAACAGCTACCTTTAAAAACAATTTTAAAAACCGTTGATTTCAACAGGATGGTGCACCCGCGGACAACGCCCTAATCTTGCGAGAATTCATTTTTAAAAAAATTAGTAAAATGCCCAGAAGTTAAAAAAACAAAACAGAAAATTAGAAAAACAAAAAAACATTTCATCGTAATTTGCAGTATCTAAATTTGTTTGTAAATTATCAGAATTGTAAGTTTACCACGAAATATACGACCTCGCAGATTCATTATCCTGAAACAGATCTCCAGCTGTATCATCGGGAACAATGTATGTTTAAATAAAAAAATTACAAAGCGTGAAAAAGTAATAAGGTTGATGCTAATCTAAAATGAGGTCAACCAATATCAGACTAATAACTTTTTACCTTGGTACAATAATGGTATATAGTTTAAAACAAATACGTTTATTGTCATCTGCAGAATCGGTAATGGGGAGTACACTTAAAATAATGTACGCGCTTATAGTAGTGTGTGTTTTATGGGCGTCAATAACTGCCGCTCCGGTAGGATCAGATCTGTAAGTTCAAAGTAAAAACCTATTTGTTTCTAGGTGGTTAAACCGAATCTGACCGCCAAAGACAAGCAGCTGGACATGCCCGAATTTCCTTCATCGCCAGAACAACTGGTATCGACAATAATCGGCTTAGCATTAGACATGATCGGTTCAATAAGCGAACTACAGGAAACAATAGCAGAGTTACCGATTATTGGATGAGAAATGGCGGAAACGTTGTACTATTACAATAAATGTGTCAAGTGAAATTAGTTGCATTATTACTCACCACGACGTGGCGCCATCTGTTCCGCGCCGGCTAATTGTCCACACACGTAAAATTGCCTAATGTCCAATAAAGGCTGGCGGAAATCTCGCAGCTGGAATTTCCATTCGGCACACCTCAACGACACAACTCGACACCATAAAGTGGAGAATTCCATCGGCTCCTCCGGCCAGGGACTATCGAAATCAATTTCGCGAATAATTTTGATAACATTATCCGTTCCGTGCATCGAGAGATCCGCCAGAACCATAATTTCAACGTCGGTCATACTCCACGCGAACAAGCGGGTGCGGGACGGCGCAGTGTGCATCATCTGCTTCGACCGTTGCACGTAGATTTCGGCGTTCTTCTTCGTAAGATTCGCGTACAGTTCCTCGACCTTACCCGCGGGTAAATGCATATGCGTCTTGCATAGCTCGGCAATCTAAATATTAATCCAAGATGACGAATTAAACCGATCGACTTACCTTCGCCTTGAGCATCTTCTGTCGCTTAAAACTTTCGCTGTACTCATCTTCCAGTAACTCAAAGTTATCTCTCAGCTTCACCTCGAAAGGATCGTCGCTCATCTCGAACAGAAACTCTTTCACGTTAATCAGCAAATCGCTCGGTAAGGGACTGTCGATTGTAAAAGACTTCCTTTTCAAATTGTGCGTTATCTTCAACCACTTCCAAATCGAAATGAAATCATTCTGGATCGCATCGGCGTAGCTGTGCTCGTGCGGGAAGATCGCCTTGAACATCCCGATCGATAATTCCCACGTCTTATTCCAAGGCAATCGGAAATTTTCGTTATCCAAACGCTCGGCCCTAATCATCGGGTTGTCTTCGATCCGCGCGACCCGCAGACCCTGAATCGTGAAGATGTCGGCGTCGTCTATGGAAATTAAGATCGCGCTATCGGAGAGCCACGTCACGTTTTTCCTACACGATACCTCGATGTTATCTGTAAACAAGAAAACCATTTGTCTCGAATTTTGAGGTTCACGACAATAATACGTCAAATAAGATACAATTTAAGCATTTTAATTAATTAATTAATAAATAATAATAATAATAAATCGTCTTTATTGAACATGTTCTCCGGCGAAATCTAGCTCAAGGCTATTCTATTTAACCAGAAAGTACACAAATTAAATATGCACATTATTATTATTATTAACACCTAATTAATCTCATTTTCCCAATATTTGAAGTTAGGAACGAGATTTTGAAAAACTGTTTTCACTGGCCTCTTTGGATGTTATTTGGCTACTTTTTCATAAAGAAAAAGTCATATCATTCCATTTGATTTTTTTAGGATTTTGGATCATAGTGTCAAAACTAGCCCCCTGGCGGAGAGGGATTCAACTAAATTAACTATATTTGATACTCATTGCCCAAGGAATGCTCTTTTCAACCATACCAAATTTGTTCAAATCGGTAAAACGGTTAAGAAGTTAAAGCAGGTTATTGCAAAAACAACTGAACGCCCCACACCATCTTTGTTTTTGAAATAACTGAATTTTTGTTTTTACGAAAATGATAGATAAACTGGTTCTCTTTAAAAATGTGAAAAAAGAATGTTTAGTTTATTATGCGAAATTTAAAGAAAATGCAATTTTAAAATTTAAGATGGCAGTTACGCCCTCTGGTGGTCATTTTTAGAACTTGAAAATATTTTCCAAAAGCGATTCTTCATAACCGATTTACCCAATAATTCAGTCATTCAGACACAGCGTCGATGTAAGTCGAAATACTCAGGTAGATAATAACGAAAAAGTAATCTAGAAGAGTAAGTTAGGAGAAAACAATGAGAGAAGACAAAACCCTAAAAAAATACGTATTAAGAATTATATATGCTGAGTTATAATCCGTACGTACCTCACACTAACTACTTGCAAATATAAATCCGCTAAGCGTATTCAAGGAGTAGTCACAACACATCAGAAATAGAAAGAAATATTCCAAAGAAATATGATAATAGCCAATACTACGAGCCTTTTTCAGGTAGAGATAAGTCAAGCAAAAGTAATGGCACATCAAGAAAAATTTGCAAGTATTAACCACTATGAATGCAGAATCTGAATGGAACAAGTACAGGTTTACGCAAAACAACGTTAAAGAAGGGATAGAAGTATATGCAAAAAGGTATACTCGGATGGCCTCTAGCGGCAAACTCAAGAATTAAAGTAATAACAACTCTACTACAGAACTAACTTACATCTAGGTTAAACGGGTTTACAAAGGAAATGCATAAATCACTTAAATGAAAGTATAAACCGAATGCTACTTAAATGAAGTAAAAATTTGGAACTTTAAATTGTTAAGTAAAATAACGTTACATGTGTCTGTATCATTCATAACCGGCAACCTCAAAGGCATCAGCAATTTAGTAGTAACTTTATACTGTCTAGCTTTAACGCCTTCAAAGAAAAGTTTCTTTTCGACTGTAAGTAGGTATAGCGGTATCTGAGCGTGGAAAAATTCTGGGGACCGTGGGAAAGTATTTAGGCAAATTTTGGCAGTTAGCCCGGGTCAAATTTCGGCAGTTGGCGCGGAGTTAAATTTCGGCAATTGGACGGGGGTCAATTTTGGCAATTGACTCGGGATTAAAATTTCGGCAGTTGGCCAGGGGTGTGACCCCGAGATATTTCGGAGGCTGTCCAAGTTCATTCCATAAGACACATATCAGTTCACGTGTACACTCGCTACGATCTGGAAGAAGACTGACAGGACTTGGTTGTGCGTTAAAATGACGCATGCGCACATTTCATGGTCAAATCAAAGTAGGTCAAGCTATCGATCAAAGTCTATATACTCTTCATTCTCCGCTGTTCAACCCAAAGGTTGCTGACTGGTCAAAGTTCATTGTAAAAGAAAGCCACGCTATCGATCAATGCCCACCCGCTGTTCAAAGTCCAAAGGTCGATCGGGCAAAGTCCAAAGGTTGCTGACCGGTCAAAGTCCATTACACACCTGTTCTAAGTCGGTCAAAGTCCATTCGCAGCTGTTTAAAGTCTAAAGGTTGGTACCCGATCAAAGTCCAAGGATTTGTGTAAAGTCTAAAGGTTACCGAACGGTCAAAGTCTATTCCTCGCTATTCAAGTCCAAAGGTTAGTGTAAAGTGCAAAAGTTTGTTGCCGATCAAAGTCAAACATAAAATCCTGTTTTTTCCTGTTCCCGTTCCCATGGGAATTTGGGAGCGTTCTAATTCCCCCAAAGTTTGAACGCAATCGCATGAATGGTTTAGACAATCGTAAAAAACAAACCCGACGAACGTTGTATCGCCTCTGCCAGCATAATTAATTATGAGTACATTGACATTGCCTAACATTTTGTTTTAATGCTATTACAGTATGCACATTTTAAATCCTTTAAGGTTTTGTGAGTTAAGAGATACCGTTTCAGGACATGGTGGCGATATGTTGCAAAATCACACTGTGCACATTTTAAATATTTGAAGGTATTGTGACCATATGCCTACTTAATTTTGATTTGTAGTGGTGCCGGCATGTAAGAAGGCCAGAGCGGGCAACAAACACATAAGCAACGACCAACTTATGGTTAACTGATAGCATTGGCAACAATTTACTGCATCAGGCCATTTGTGGTTAAGCGTCTCATTTTCTCCAATTATCCATAGTATGGTTTAACACATGCCATCTGTTGCAGGGGCGCTATAGGCATCCCGCATCCCGTTAATTGAAATTTTCGAGATTTACGAAGCGTCACTTTGCAAAGCGCAAATATGGGATCATGATCCTATTTATTTATGTTATTTACTACGGTTGTATGACTTTATTTACAAATACAAGTTGTAGATGCTCTGTATGATTCGATTTAACTATTCCATGAAGGAAGTACCTAATACAGTTGATTCTTCACTGTAGCTTTCCTCGTCGTGCGGACGCAGCTCTTATGTCCCAGCAATACGAGAAGGGGGTCCAAGCCCCACACTAATCAGACTCTCGACAGGTCTATTGGACAGAAACTAGTTCGTTAATAGAAACAGTGCCTAGTATGTATAACTAACTGAAATGAGTTGGTTTAAAGAGAACAGGTGAACAGGAACAGAGCCTGTTTCTATTGAACAAACCTGTTCTTGATCAGCAGATCTGTTGGGTGTGATTAGCATGACACGAATGTCCTGAAACTTGGCGCATGTGGAGATCTCAAGGTCAAAGTGTGCTCATATCGGCTTTACTATACCACTGTCCTCTAATTAACCTTTCTTCTACTACTTAATGTGGTTTTGCTTGTGCAATAATAGACTTTCATGAATACTCACTACTGTCATTCCCACAGGTACTTTTCGTGTTAAATTATGGTAGCTAAGGCTGGAGTAGAGTCACCCCATTTTGATGTTTTTTATGTACATGCAATTTATCTTTATACGAGTTTTATCTAAATTGCGCCGTAAATGTGTTTTGTACTTGTATTTGATTTATCATGTTTTCCATTTTAGCACAGGGCCTATCCATTGTTTTATATGGGTAACGTTCAACAAATTAGAGACAAGCTGAAATTTGGCAAGGTACTTTATAAGGGTCTAAACACCCTCTGAAACATAAGCGACGAGGCGTTGAGCCCGTCACCCTAAAACCACCCCCCAAGTGGCGTATGATCCACCTTTTTTGACATTTTTCTTAATAACTCTAAAACTAAGCATTTTAAGAAAAAAATGTCAAGGGAGAAAAATTCTAGAGAAGAAAATTTCCTACCGTATATGTATACGTCAAATTTGCTAGATGTTCAGTGGCCCAAATTTCAGCAACTAATTCAACTACTTAATCGAAATACTATAGTATTTCCTAATATTACTATAAAACGCCGGAAACTGTTCACTTAGGTTGTCTACAACATAATGAATTCAATACTGCCCGTAAGGGGGTGTTAGAAGTCACTCATTCTCCGTTTAGTACCTACTTGCAGTTAGTGTGGCTGTAAAGAGTCAATATTTTCCAAAGTCTCCTTTTTTATCGCATTTTTGCAAATTTATTTGTAACTAGTTGTCAGGTAAACTCCTGACTTGACTTTCCGACTACTTTTAATAGAATCATTGCAATTATCTTTGGCCAATCAATGGTCATAGTATAACATTTAGAAAATGCCCTCTAGCGCATTAAATTTGAACCCGACGCAAAAAGTGTAAAGCCTTTCTTTAATAATAATAATAATATTTTTCAAGCCATTATGGTTCTTTTAAACTTTTGACACCCTCAACAACCACGAAGATGGTTATGGATCAAAACCAAAATAGGGCGTTTTCGATTCCCCATACCACCCTATATGTACATATGAATTTCGTCCAAATCGGTTCAGGGTTTTTTTAGTTATCGTGTTCACAAAAAAACGAACCACATACACCCAGACACAGACGTCAAGCTAAAAATGACTTTTTGGAGTCTGTGTGCTTCAAAACGTCCAGAAAACGCAATATCGGCATATCGAAAATTTATCACGATTACAATGTATGTAATTGGAAAGTAAAAAGGTAGCTTTTAATCTCACTTCAGCCGGTTGGTTGGCTGGCTGGGCGCAAATGCGGGCCCATAGAAAAACGCTTGTGGAAAGAGGAGTGTACAATAAATTGTACATGTACCTACCGGTGCCATGTAATGAACAACTTTAGGGACAGGGCTTCAAGATCTGGGGTCAGCGACATCTGGGCGCCATCTGCGAGTGTTATACTATCGTGGTGATTTTTCAGTGTTTTTCTATCTTCTTCTATAGTTTGGATCCGATTGTTTTCAAATTGGTGTCATGGGAAAGATCTTGTAAACTTGATAATGACGCAAAAGTTATTATCCGTGGCGCGTGTGAGCGCATAATGCTTTATTTTATAATAAAACGACCATCACATCTCTCAGGGGAGGGGTACAGGTTAACGCTCCTGACTGCAAGTAGGTACGAACTAAACGGACTACGGAGAATGAGGTGCCGGAAGCCGATACACCCACGATTGGAGTGGAGGTGTCTGCTTAGAGCTAGGGGGGGAGGGGGTCACTTCGAAGACTCTCTTGCAGGAGGCAGTATTGAATTCATCCCTAAGTGACCCGTTTCCGGCGTTTAATAGTAATATTAGGAAATAATAAATACCTACCATAGTATTTCAATTAAGTAGTTGAATGAGTTGCTGAAATTTGGCGCAAATGAACATCTAAAAAATTTGATGTATAAGTAACCGGTAGCAAATTTTTTCTCTACAATTTTTCTCTCTTGAGATTTTTTCTTAAAATGCTTAGTTTTCGAGTTATTGGGCAAAACTTCAAACAAGGTAGATTTTACACCACTTAGGGGGTGGTTTTGGGGTGACGGGCTCAACGCATCGGCGCTGGGGTGCAGACGGTATTTAATACCTTAAAACAAAGTACCTTGCCAAATTTCAGCTTGTCTCTAATTTGTTGAAGGTCATTCTGTATGGTCCCTGTGCTATTTGTATTTATGATGTCTCTTGTATCTCGTTCTTGTTGAAATACTGCATTTGCCTCAACACTTGATTTTTGCTGTACAATTTGATATGTTTGATTTGCATATTTTTCTCTTTTGTATTTTGTCGTCATAGTTTTTTTTTTTGTATTTGTGTAAGTATGCCTGGTTTTTTGTCCATAAAAGGTTTTCCTGCTATCACAATTATTGTGATAGAGGTTTACTTACCCATTCCTGCATCTAATGCCGAAATTTTTTACGTTCTACATTTCCCGAACACCTTTCTAACATATAGGAAAACTCTAGGAACCCAATGTTAGGAGCTGAATAGACCACGCGGACGAGAAAACACAAAAAAGGATCTGGCGGGACCGGGAATCGAACCTGGGTCCTCTCGGTTTATACTTTATAGTCTAGTCCCCAAGACACTAGTTTTTGAACCCTTTATTTAGAAGGGTTCATTACATACCTAAAAGACGCTTGCTTTCATAATAAAATCAAGCATGCGCAGTAAGAGACACAGGATCAACTATGTCAAAAATCGGCCAATTACTTTTTATGGCACGAGGTAGGTAAATAGTAAAATATCTGAACAAAGACAAAAATTTCAACTTTAGTTAGTTTTTTTCTCCTCCTAGACTTCAACATAATTTTTTAGCATTATGGAGGTGTAATAACTATGTCTGAGAGAAACCTCCTGACAAAGCCGTCGACAGCGGGTTAATATATCGTAAGGAGGGGTCTTATCTGCAGCTCGTCCAATTACATCACTGCAAAGGATGTGAGTGTGACATTAAAATATAAAACAGACAGTAGTCAGATGTCAATTAGTAGGTCAATTTTGTTACGATGTCCTGAGCAAAGCAGTAGAAACTCAGCAGTAGTATACAACAATTGAACAAACAAAAGAACAATTGAATTAAAACAATAGATGACAAAGAGGTGAACAAATCCACACACCTGATCAAATACTGTTGGGAAGGAATAAAGATGCAGATCACGTTCAAATCACGCATGTCACTTCAGAGTCACCACCTTTGCCGACAACAAAGACAAACGAAAAATATATCGTTTTATAAATCAGAACAAAATTCCACCCTATCACGATCTAAACTGCTTACTAAGAAAAATGGTCACTCACCCAAAGAAATTCTAGCGGAATGGTTTTGAGAAATCCAAATGTGGAACTCAAAAACGCCGCATATTTTAACATCCCATACAGGTACAGCGACCTTGCTCTTTTCGTTGCTCAAGCAGTGATGCTCCCTAACGTTAGCGATAAACTCGACGATTCCCCTTTGAAGCGTTAAAATTTTGAGGTGGAAATTCGTCGACCAATGGCTGATGATCTCCTCGAGAAACAGTACGGTTAGTTCGGCCGTTTCGTTGTTGTACTCGACCTCGACTGTACGAATGAACAACTTGTGGTTGGGCATATCTTCGGTTCGGACACATCCGTACGCGCCGTTTTCGTCTGTTACCACCGCAACCTTAAATCCCTTAAAGTGGACGGTGGCCGCGTGACTGTTTCTTTCCACGGTCACGGAATTCAGTCGCGACACCACATATTCTGCAACAGCCAAGTTGGATATCGACCACAGATGTCTTAGTGACTTACCTCCGGTGTGAGTTTGCAGAAACACATTAAAGTGAGTCAATGCCAAATTGACCGATATAGAATGATTTGTGCTGGTACGTTTTGGGGTTGCCGCCTGTCTAATTTGCACATTATACTGGCTTAAACACCTGAAATGGGTGGAGATTGACACGAGTCACGAGGTTAAACGACTCACTTAAATGCAAGCAGAACATATGTGGCCAAGTTAAGGCTCCATTCCAACTGTAGCGCGTCTAGTAGCGTCTCAATCTTCGTTTCGGCAGCGCCGTAGGTTCCAAACTTGAGCAACGTCATACCTAAATAAATCGGAGTGCCCCACCTGTGCACTTTCTTCGAGCTCGCCTGATCCTTCTTCCACTCTTTAAAACTCCACCACAACGACTCCATTAATACCTCTATTTGCCAGTGACGATTGGCTAATACTAAATTTGGAAAATAGGACGAGTAGCTGACATCTAAAAATAATCAAGTTATCATACTACAGTTACACTAACACACGGACCTCGAGTCTCGGCAGCCTGCTCCAAGATTAACTTGATGTGGTTAAAGCCGACGTATGATCTACTACCGTATAAATTAACGATGGCGGATACTTGGCAGAACTCCGCGCAACCGTTAATAATTAGTCGTTTCGCTAATTTTTGGAATAAATTACTGTTACGTGCGTTTGCACGATTTGACACCTCTCTATTTGGGAGAGGGTTCTTTGGATTATGTTTGCGGAAGTTTGTTTCTATCCAATGGTATATTGCTTCGTGGTTGTATGTCAGGAGAAGAGTATTTAGTTTTAAACACAAATTGACCACATTCTTCTCTAGCTGCAAAGAGTACAAAAAGTTTTTACAATGGCATCAGAAAACACTGAATTAAAACTGATGAGGTAACGCTGTCACCCATCAACTGCTATGACTAAACCACAGTGGATCAACTATATGGACGGTTGCAGCAGGAAGCAGCTTGGGAAGATGAAAGCTTTGTTTTCTCATGGATAAGAACCCTTATTTGATTTTGAATATGTATTTTGGTTAATATAGGGAAATTTCCACATGTGCCGCTTTATAGCGAACGTGAGTCTGGTGATAACCGGAAACGTATTGCGAAAAGCGAGCGCGGTTGGTACGATTTCATGGGACCTAAAAGTCCGAGGATTTGCGGTGAGAAAATTTTAAAGGCCACCACGTATCACTCTTTGGTGTGAGTTCATACAGTCGTTGTAAACTGTAACTAATTTTCTTTTTTGGGCGAAAACAAGGAAACCAGCTAGTTATTGTTAAATTTCGATTGGTGACAAAGTGCCTCATTTGTAACAACGTCGTTCATTTACGAGTGATAAAATTTACGCGAAGGAACATTTTCGAGTAGGAGCACTTTTAAAACCGCGAGTAAATAAATTGATATTAAAACTCATCGTGGTAAACAAAGATTTTTCGGATTGCCAACAGTAAGGGCTAGTTAAAACAAGTTCCTCAAAATTGGGCGACCTGCAATCAGACCTAGCTAATAAATTGGGCAAATTAATATCGGCACAGCGGGAAAGCGTTACGTTTTTATTAGGACCAGTTATGGTTGAAATTTCAAAAATATAAGAAAGTTGACATTACGCAACCTGCGCATGAACGCATTTGATTTTTGATATTTGGGATCTGTTTGCCTTTATTAAAAGCATCTGTAATTAAAATCTCAAAAAATGTAGATATAAAAATAAGAGAGTTTGCATTGCGCAAGTAAGGTCCTTTAACCTTTGGGACCTCTAGGTCTTAAAGCCGCCGCCAGGGGGAGAATGACCTTCAGAAGCTTTGAAAATCGCTACTCATTTACAAAACAATACAATGCCAATGCCTTCTAAGTGCATCTAAATCTTTCCTAAGCTCGCTTAGCTTTGCAAAAATCTCAAGGGCATCTGGAGAGCGCTTTTGGAAAGTCTTCAATGCTACGCCCAAATATCGAAAACGCTCAATGAGCGAAAATAACGCACACAACGCGTTATGGCCGAAGCTAAATGACCAAACACCGAAATTAACGTGTTATGGTCGTTAACTTGTGATCACAACCCGTTGTAGCCATTTTAGGAGCGACCACAACGCGTTTTGATCGTTTGAAGAATGATCATAATATACTGAATTATTTATTAAATGACAACATATTTAAAAAATATACCTATTTTGAAAATAACAACGTCATGCACACGTTGTTTCGGTCTAAACACCAGAAATTATGACGGGACATCCTGTATATGAACAAATAAACTGGTTCACACTTACGCACTTTGCGAGAAACCGGCTTTCAACACTCCGCGTACCTTCGGACGACAGATCTGGCGAGTCGATTTTATTGCTCCGCGCGACATATGCTCTAATGCAAACCGAGTAGATCTGTTCACACCTAAGCTACGACTTACGATATTTAATTCTTGATAAATGCAATTCAAGAATGACCTGGTTTATGGCATATGAAAAATAATGATTATACAAAATTAATTCTTCCTTCGAGTCAAATGAATTCATTTTTGATACTAATTAGTGACAACATTGCAATTTTTATATTTTCTGATCGGAATTGTTTACCGCTACGCCGACTCGGCGAAAACCGACTCGTGTGTTTAGCCCTAATTGTGATGGGCGGATTTATTTGAAAGTTCTGGAGAAAGAGATTTTTTTAATACTAGATGTGACGTTTCGTTAAATACTGGAATCAATGAAAAAAACGTGGCTGGTTCGCGACGGTCGAAAAGCGTGTACGTTTCTTTACGCAATTTTTATTCGCCCTGTTTTGTGGGCGGTGTAGTTGACCGCATTACAGTGCACACAGCAATCCTTTAACATGAAAATAAAATTACCAGCAAGCAAATAATATCCTTAAAATAAATAAAACAAGCAATTTTTTATTAAAATAGATATTGAACCAAATTGTACAAATTATGTGTTCGTACAAGAACTAGTCAGGAGCTGCATAGTACTTGCTTAGAGCAATAATGCCATATCTTAGTATTACAATAGCGATTGAAATGGTATAATTTGAAATCAAACTAATAACTGAATTACTAGCGATACATCGCATTAAGGAAACACGTTAAAACTGAAGAAATCCGATGTTCGGTTGATTGAAACCATTCAATTCGCATTGTGGTTGCTTCTAAAATGACCACAACGTGTTATGGGCATAAGTTCACGACCATAACACGAAAAAATATTTAATTTCGGTTTTTGGTCATTTTTATCAATATTAATTTTAATGCCTTAATAACATTTTGATTATAGAATTATTCCTTTGTGTAACTTTATTTTTGTTTTGTTTGCTAAAACTTTTCAATTAGATAGGTAGGTATATTATATACAGGGTGGTGACTTGCGTAGCGCACCATAGGGATTTCAATGAAAAATTCATAACATGCGATTATTGGCTCCGCAAATTATTTTAGAGCAAATATATATTAAGTTTTTTTGTAAAAACAAATTTTTTACGTCAGTCAACCGAGTTTTCAATTTTTTGCATAATAAAGACGGAAAATTGTAAAAATAAAACCCCCATCTTTTTCAATAATCTGTGATGCCATGGAATTTTATAATACAAAAACTACGCCAATATCCGTTATGCCATGGAATGTCCGCTATAAAACAAATCAAATTCTATCAAAAAGTATTATATTTAGAACAGCCAATTCAACATAAAGAAAGGCCAAATTACTAATAGCGGTTTCCTAATATGACAATTTACAATAAATGTTCGAATAAGTCACCATTAACTGCAAGACAGTAACCAAGTCGATCATAAAATCCATTTCGAACTGTTGCTGGAATATCTTTTTGTTTTAGAAAATTCCACGGCATCGCAGATTATTGAAAAAGATGCGGGTTTTATTTTTCCAATTTTCCGTCTTTATATGAAAAAAATTGAATACTAATACGGTGATTTGGCGTAAAAAAAAATTTTCTAGAAAAAACTTTAGTACATTTTTTTTGCTATAAATTAATTTGGGGAGCCAATAATCGCATTTTATGAATTTTACATTGAAATCCCTATGATGCGTTACGCAAGTCACCACCCTGTATAGTATTTCTTAGTTTTACAATTCTTTCTTTTAATGTATAATGATTCAGGGGCAGTTATTAACTGTTTTTTTTGTTTTGTTTTTTGAAAATTCACTTTCTTTTTTCTCTCAATTATCTTTTCTTTTGTTATTTAATGCACAATGCTTTATATGTTCTATATATATAAAAGTTGACCTGTAAATGGATGCGTTCTGTTGGTACTAAACTATTATTTTTATTATTATTATTTTGCTTCGTCTATAACGCGTTGTGTGCCTTATTTTCGCTCATTGAGCGTTTTCAATGTTTGTGCGTAACATATACAATACACCGTATACCCACCCCCACCAACGGTACAGCAAAGAAACATATAAGCTGTGTGTCGGTTTCTTGTTGCCAAGTGACTCGATAGTTTAGTTGTGAAGCAATATTGAAAGTGTGTGGGGGTGGTATTTTGAATGATTTTAGCTTTACGAGGCAGATAAAAATTGCCTTTTTTTTGCATGGCCACCTCGTTATTATGTAAATTACATATAACTTATTTAAGATTAGAATATAAAAACCAGGAAAACCAAGATATTTCGAAAACTATCAGAGATAGGTATAGGACATTATTATCAAAAGTTGAAGGTTTTTGGAGGAGCTAAATGATGACAGAAAAATATACAGGGTGTTCCGTTAAAAAAAAGTAAGACTTTTTAATATGAAGTTTTGTAACTTTGGATCTAGAAAAAAACACCCTGTAAGCTATTTTTTAATGTTTCATAGTAGATGTATTTATTTGACTTTTACTTAACCCAGGATAAAAGATATAAAACATGGAATCAAAATTTAAGTAATAATTTTGACAATATACTGACGCTTGCAAATGCCCAATTTTTCTTAAAAATCGAATTATTTTTAAAACTACTAGCTTTTCGGATATTAACCATACGAGTATAATAAAAAAGACGTACAATTACACGTAGAATTCAAAAATGCATTCAAATACAGGGGGTTCTATTTAAAAAAATGTACCATTTTGGCGCCCTACTTTGTGGGCGCATCCTGTATAATTCCAAATATTTTTAAAATGTGGAGAATATTCAACCATATCATAATACAAAAGCACTTTATCGAAAAATCTTATCTTCAAGGCATTAAGTTACTCAGCACAATCGTTGACTCACCCTGTACATATGCGTAGAACGTGCGTATCCCAGATAGCATTGTATATTTCTGTAATATCTCAGCAATATTGAAAAAAATATATTTGAACATGCGTTAAATATACCTAGAATATACGTGCCTTGTACGGATATGCGAATGGGAATACCTCAGATATTTTGAAATAAAACGCCCTACAGGTTTACCTTCCATCGCAGTTGGTTAAAAATGTTTGAGAACAACTGACAGATGGACCCAGGAATTCATACCTACCTACAAGGGTGGGGTGCGGCAGGTGCACCTGCGACCTGTCTACATTCACGGCACGCTTTAGTACATAGATACAGTGATATTCATGTAGAAGTAGACATAGGGATTTCCTATGTCTACTTTTACATGATAAAAAGTCTCCTGAAAGACGCCTAATTTTATGCAACCAAAATAACTTCTTGAAACAAATAAAGATCTGGCTGTCATATTAATTATTAATTTGAATATTGTTGCTTTAGCTTCACAGAAAATAAATCTCTTAAGCTCCTTTAACTGTTATCGGCACTATACCAATTGAAAATATCAACTTTTTCTTTAGTTGAATACATCACACACGAACTGAAATTAGAATAGGAAAGTCAAAGCGATAATATTATTAATTAATATGACAGGCAGATCCTCATTTATTGTAGGTAGTTACTTTGGTTACATAAAATTAGGCGTCTTTCAGAAGACTTTTTATCATGTAAAAGTAGACATAGGAACCCTATGTCTACTTCTACATGAATATCACTGTATATTAGGGAACCACCTCCAAGAATAATAATAATCGTACACTGACCCCATTTCATCACATAAGCTACCCATGCCAGTGATTAACAGTTGTGAAAACTGCCTCGACTTACCTTCGCATCCAATTTCAATAACTTTAACAACAACAGCTTTTCTTTATTATTATAAAGGTGTAAGTCACTCATTTGAAACGAGTAGTGCATGTGCGAAATGGACTGCTCCGTACTTGTAGCCGAATTAGCAGTCATTATGCGACTATTAACACTGAACATCTTTAATGACGAAATAAACTCTGTCCTGCTATTTTTACGCACGCCCCTTATCGAAATATCCTCCATTTTATAAATGAAATTCTACAACAAATCTGTGACTATCGGTTCTCTAAGATGCATGTGGTTTACCTTTGGTATAATTGGGAGAATCCGATAGTAATTGTCCTCATAGCTGTTACTTGCACGACGAGTATTTCGTTTGGTTTCCTGACCTAAGCTGTAAAAGCTATCGTTGATAGTAGCGGCTATTTGGGTGGTGCTTACGCATAGTTTCTACGGTTGCTAATATTAGACCGTGACCAAGACACTTGCGCCTTACTTCAACCGACAATGGTCCTTTCGCTACCAAGGTAGCTTCCATTGTGATTGCGAAACTTAATTGACCCAAACAGGTTTCCTCGTTCGCCTGCTTCTCTGGGTGTCGCAATAATTTAGCGCACGCTTCGGTTAGTGTAACATTAACAATTAAAGTACGAGCATTTTGTACAATGCTACCATCTAGGTGTAGTTCGTTTGCGTTAGCGTGTACTAACCAGCCCGGAGACTCGGAATGGAGCAACATAATTGAGACATTATAAACGTGCACTGCCATGAACTAAAAATCAACTGTAGTCAATCTCATTAGATTAACCTGCGTGTCACCTGCGCAAATGTGTTAATAAATGGGGGTACTTTCTTGTCACGAAAGTCAACCGGTTGAATATCATCGGCAACTTCGTTTGGCTCGAACTCAATAATATCTTTGTTAATTCGAACATCTTTCACGACTAATGTGACTAGTTTGGTAAGGTCGGAGTTCAGGAAGCTGCTTTTGATACTGATTTCGTCGACGTGCTAGAACGACACCAATGAACTACAAAAATGGCAAGCGGTGAAACTACAATAGCGAATCCTTTCTTGGCAATGTGGACATCGTACAACTTCAGGTAGGGAATTCCAATTCGTCCAATGCGAACCACAACTCTAAATTTACGTTCAATTAAACAGGCTATGACTTTAGGTAAAATCCTAGGAGAAAAAGTGAGGTTAGAAGGAAGAAAATTGCAATTTTGAAACGTACCATGACGTTGTACAATAAATGATTAATATTATTAGAATAAATATTAGGAAGCTATGCATTTTTTCAACATTTTAAACATTATATTGACATTTTGTAATGGGAACAACAACAAAATACAAATGATGAAAGATAAATAAATAAACCCAACATTGCTGCAACGTGATTGGTTAACAAAATTTTGATCGCATGTGGTTGTTGTAATTAATTATCCCTGTTTCAATCCATCGATCGAAGTAAATGACCTTGGCCATAATCTAATAAAATCATGCAAGGGTTAAGAAGGGTACAATTTATTGTTTTATTCTAAAAGTTGTGCACTTTCGCTCCCTTTAAATACGTATCATGAGCCTGTATATAGATGCATACAGGGTGGTCCCTCTCCTGAGTCCTGACTGCCTAAATTTGGCCTATGATTTGGCATAGTCCCAGGCTTTTTGTATAGGTACCTACGTATATGAGGCTCTAACTAAAGCAAAGGGAAGCTCGCTTTAAAGTAAATTGCAGTGCGGCGACCATAACGCCAATTGGTACCTTCTTACCTACATTTATTTGGTGAGTATTCATTTTGTAGTTGCATATTTGAGTGCCGCCGTGCCTATTTATTTACCAGATAAAGTGCTAGTATTAGTAGTAATGTTATGTTTATCCTTGGAAGATTGCTAAACCACTCCAGATTTGAAGTTTATTAATTTACATTGTTGAATGGTCCTTTTGATCATTTTCTCTTTATGACGAAGCCACGGCAATTAAAAGATACTAATAATATGGTGACTGTCTTAATTATTTTTATATAGTTCAGTTGGTTACCAAATAAAGAGGGGTCAAAATGATGTAACTCTTAAATCGGTGAAAAGTTCGGTATGTATTTGCCTTGTCGTTGTTCTTCAGAGCAGCTTCTCTATGATTCATGCATCAAGAGTCTTTCCGTCCCCTTTTTACCACCCGCACGTTAATAAGGGAGGTATTGCATTGGGGTAAACAATGGCCTCCACTTTTTTAACGGAAATACATGTTTTTCAGGAATCCGAATCAAACAAAATCTCAATGATGTCGGTCTGTCTGTATACTCTCATTTCCGGCTAAATCGATTGGAATCAAACTTGGACATAAAAGGGCAGAATCGCGCATGCGCAGATTTGCGGGTGATGTCTGTGCTAGCCACAGCAAATTTTTCCAATTATTAACGAGCGGCCGAGTTCGTTTATGATTTTGAACTTTCTGTCCGTCCGTCCGCCCATCTGTGTACATGATAACTTGGTACGCCAAGTTTTATGTAAGTATATAAATTTATTTTTATTTTGCCTTTATTTTTGAGTGGGCGGGGTTTCAGCCAAGACTGCTCTACCGAGCCAACCCACTCCCGAACCCGGATTCGAACCAGGGACCCCTTAGCACCACAGTCCAGCGTTAACTGAACTGCGCCACACGGGCCGGCCTAATAATAACAGATTGTGACATAAAATTCAGTGGTTAATAGTCGGTACAAGAAAGAATAAAATGATTACTTCCTGTAAACACACTTTCAAAACAACAATCAAAATAAACGCTATACCCGCCATTACTCAAACCCGATTCGGATTCGCATACCGTTAACCGACGTTAACTTTTTTCCCCAACTTTTGTCATGAAAATCCCGACCTTCGGCATCTGCGCAGAACGGATAAAATCTAAAACATAGCACGATTTATACAAAGCGTATCGTATTTTTCAGATGTAAAGGTGTGTTGCCTAACCATAAGGGTAGGTGTTACTATATTGTATATACAGGGTGTTTTTTTGGGAGGTTTAGTTAAACGTTTCTGGGAAAGTAAAATAGGTAGGTTTTTGAAAATGTGTACTTAGGAGTTACGCTGAAGGCCGAATCGATGTAAAATATTTTCAAAATTGCCGCACTTCCGGAAACACCGGAAGTAGATAGTAGCTTCGTTATTTTAACTAGCAACCCCAATTTTTTATTGGGTTTTTGGATTCTACGTGAAATTTCAGTTCTTTGGATACCCATATGTCGATATCTGCCATTTATGGTTTTTAAGTTATTTTGACTTTAAGAAAAAAAATGGCGGATGCAGATGGTACCTTGATAATTGATTACTTGAAAGCGGTTGTAGTCATGGCAACCTATTGTTATCAGTGCATATAGAATGAATACAGCTTTCTTTTAGTGTACTTCAAAAAAAGTTAAGTTGCGTAAGACCGCCCCTATGGAGATCCAAATTTATGAAACTTCAAAGACTAAAAACTCAGTTTTTTTAAATGGAATCACCATTTTCTTAATATTGCATGAGATAAAGAATCGAAATGGGCATATTTTGACAATACATGTTCCTATAGCTATCTTTAACAGTTTCTGACTTATTCCCATTTTATTGAATTGACACTATTTTTTTCGAATTTTCTTTTTAGTAGTCGGCTATGATTTTATAACAATTGAATTTTAAACAATTCTAGTGACACTAATCCGTCACCTATTGTTATAGGTTAACATAAGTTTTTCAAAAATCGAAAAATGACTCGCAGTGGTTTCACCTATTTTTGAATTTAATTGTTATTTATGGTGAAATGGACAGAATCGCGGCACATGCTTGCCGTACATTCATTCGAAGGCTGGAACGAAATTGTATGAATTTTGGAAATGTTGTATCCCCAAATGCACTACAAACCGTTGAAGCACAAGTGATAAAAAGCTCTACAAGAGAATATTTAAGAAAATGAATTGAATTGCAAATGCAAGATTAACAAAATAAATTCAATGTAAAATATAAAAAACTTCGTTGAAACATTTTTTGTATGGAATTGTTGCTAGCACAGATATCTCATTACCTCTCTGAATTTTTAGAAATTCAGTTGAACGACTCTGTCTAGATTTCTCAAAAATTTTCCGTCCTATATCCTTAATAAATGACTTATTTATTAATGAATTATTTAGACTAGAATCAATGATATTAAAGAATCCTTTTCTTGATTTGTTTAAAATTCGATTGTAATAAAATCATGGTGAACTACTAAAATGAAAATGCAAAAAAAATGGCATCAATTCAATGAAATAGGAATAAATCAGAAAATGTTAAAGATAGCTATAGGAACAATGTAGTATCAAAATATTCCAATTTCGATTCTCTATCTCATGCAATAGGAAGAACATGGTCATTCCATTAAAAAAACCTGAGTTTTTGGACTTTGAAGTTTCTTAAATTTGGATCTCCATAGGTGCGGTTGTACGCAACTTAATTTTTTTTTAAGTACACTAAAAGAAAGCCCTATTCATTCTCTATGCACTGATAAAAATGGATTGCCATGACTATAACCGTTTTCAAGTAATCAATTATCAAGATACCATCTGCATCCGCCATTTTTTTCATAAAGTCAAAATAACTTAAAAACCATAAATGGTAGATATCGACATATGGGTATCAAAAGAACTGAAATTTCACGTAGAATCCAAAAATGCAATAAAAAATAGGGGTTGCCATTTAAAATAACGAAGTTACTATCTACTTCCGGTGTTTCCGGAAGTGCGGCCATTTTTAAAATATTTTACATAAATTCGGCCTTCAGAGTAACTCCTAAGTACAAATTTTCAAAAACCTACCTATTTTACTTTCCCAGAAACTTTTAACCTAAACTCCCAAAAAAACACCCTGTATACAATGATATTATATTACAGAAAAGACGGACTTCATTTCCAACACGGTTTAAAATTTGATTAGTTAAATTCCACTATAAATGACTTTTTAACGGGTAAATTAAATAAATTTCGACACCCTACAATTTCCAATAATATATTCAAAACCCTTAAACTGAAAATCTACCACATTTGCAACGAAAATTTGAGAAAAATTAAATTAAATTTGTCCTCTACCGTCACAATGTATCGTTAATGTGTGTTGTTTATGATGGTAAACCGTAAGAGGGAGTGTCTTAAGATGTAGTCCCATCTGGCGATGTATCACTTGTTTTTCAAGCAACTTTTGTGAATGTATTTTGCCTGTCATAAAGTTAATCCGCTAGAGCTTGAGGGGTGCTGGTCCGAATTTTAACCATTACGTCGTACCTGCTAACTCGCATCACACATAGATTCTGAACCCAAGAGTTTTGTGTTAGCAGAGTCTGACCCCACAGACGGGTAACATGGACTTTGGTTGTGGGAGTTCGCAGTCTATAGTTGAGTCCCAACATAGTGTCGTAAATAAATGTGGTTACAGTTATGCATCACTGTTGTGGCTGTCCGTTCAAGATGAAAATTGTTAGTTTACAAAGTCAGTACATACATATCAAACTTCAAGCAATTCGATAATTTCCATTGAGCAAAATTATAAATCTAAGTTGGGACCAAAACCATGAAATCGAAACGTACAAAATAGTTTAGCAAACATTACACCAAAAACGTAAACGATTTCAAACAAAATGTTAACGGTATCAAACACATGAATCTGCATTGAGGTTAAATCAAGTCAATTTCAAAAACAAATATTGAAAAAACATTAAAAACAAGATGCCAAACGTCAGAAACGTTTGGGTTCTCCGAGACGGACAAGATGGTACACGAAAGTTTGTAAGCAAAAGTAAATAAACGTATCCAGTACTAGAAAATTAGACCTTAATTTATTTACATATCTTTACATAGTCTTTCATTTCAGTATAGACTAAAAAAACAATTTCATCTACGATTTCAGGAACTTATTTGCACATTTCCTTACCAGGATTTGTATCAACTTATCCTCGCCGACTGTTGAAAATTCACATCCAAACTCCAATAAATAGTTACAACTGTCATCATTACTACGCCTTATCAGATATCGTAACTGTTCTAACGTTAAAAAGTTTCCGCTTACATCTAATATTGCCAGAATCACTTGCAACAAATTGTCTAAATCTTTAACACTAATTGTTTCTAATCGAAAATCAATAACGGTCACCGAAATTAATTTGACGATATTGTAATCTATGTGTTTCGAGTTCGATAGCTTCCTTGTTAAATTTGCCAAAATTTGTAGGACGGCCGAAAGAATTTCTGGATGTTCGCAATGATTGTTGATCACGTCGTATAACCACGACAGCATCCCGTAGCTTGTCGTCAAGATTTCTTGGCCCAGTTTTAATTTGGAGGTGCTCTCGAACACATTCAAAATGGCTAGTTTGGTCTCAGAGTCCGAAACGCAACTAGTAAACAATTCCATAATTAATTTAAACGCCATTTTGTAGCTGGCAACGGAACAATCGTGATCTGTTCGCATACCGTCGTGTAAAATTTTTAAAATAAAAAATCTCGGATCTTTATGGTTCACGTCGGGCACGTGCAGAAATGTGTACAGTTCAGGTATTCCGCTCAAATCCGGTGTTGCTTTGGCTGTTAAATATCGGGAAAGTGGCAAAAACATCGGATGCAGAGGGCGCGTTAGGATAAGAACCATTCTGGCCCAAAATATCGACGCGAAATTGTTCAGCTTAATATCCTCCAAAGTGGCGACGCCTCGACAAAGTGCTTCAATTAACCCCAAGCGCAAGATCCTATCTTTACCGCTTCGTCTCGCCTCGAGATGATAGTGAAATCGTGCCAGAACGTGACAGGAAGCCAATCGTATCTCTTTGCTGTAACAGCTCAGACCGAGGACCGTCATACTTAACGCGCCCGATTTGATGAACATCTGAATTGAAACTTGATTTTCGGGCGCCAACAGTGAGGCGAACAGAGGCAGGAAAAATGCCAAACTGTACACCTTGTCGTTCGGCGTATTGATGGGGTCAGTCAGCGTGAGATCGAGCGGGTGATTAAGTATAGTATTGTTGATCTTCCATTCTTCGAGTATTTCGAGGATGGCGTGCATGCGCGGTTGACGCCAGAGCGTCCATTGGATATCTTGCCGCACCGAATAGTGCGCCGCCGCGGCTTTACCCCAGAGGAAGGGTTTGAAGTCGTAAAATCCGGTCTGCTGGGCTTCTGACTCGTACCTGTAACAAGTTAGGACCACTGTTGAGTATTGGAAATCCATCATGTGGAAAGAACTACATATATAATCATAATCGTTTAGAAAATGTTTTCCAGCCAACGCCATATTTAATGGAAAAAACAAACAAACAAACGGCTTTCGTGGCAAATAAAATCAGATCTAGTCACGTATGGGGTACAAAATACGGTTAGTGGAACCAAAAATATCTTGGAGAAATAGACCTTGGTGACTAGAAAAGACCCTGGTGGATACATCCGTTAGTCTTAAATCTGACAAACAAATTCTGCATGATCTTTGATGTGTCTTTGAAACTGTTTTGAAATGTTTTTGTAACGTTTTTATTAAAATTCGTGTTTCGTGTTTGAAACATTTCAAAAAAATTGTTTATAATTTCGCATCCGATTTTGATGAGTGTACACTGAGCATTATGTAGATGTATTAGGAACATAGGCAAAAATCCGCCTGATGTTTGCTGTCTAAAATTCCGGCATCTGCGGTGTGACCCAGGCATGTCAAACACGCGACCCGCAGTTTTAAAGTCCACGATCCGTCACGATGTTTGCAAATTATAAAATTTAATCTCGAGAACCGTTCATCATATGACTTGGAGATAAAAAAAATGATTGGGTAAATCGGTCATGAAGAATCGCTGGAAAATATTTTCAAGTTCTAAAAATGACCAACAGAGGGCGTAACTGCCATATTAAATTTTAAAATTGCATTCTCTTTAAATTTCGCATAATAAACTTTTTAAAGAGAACCAGTTTGTCTATCATTTTCGTAAAAACAAAAAGAAAGATGGTCCCCGCATCTTCTATTTGCGTTATCCGAATCGACCACGAACTGTCGCCGCCAGCATATTAAATGCTTCTTGGTTAGAAATCGGCATTTTAGAAAAGATTACAAACTCAAAAAACTGCACTTTCTGAATGTAATTACTAACCTAAATGTAATGCTATTTGGTATGGTTGGAAAGCATTTTTTCAGAGATTCCCCCTCCGAATTACCGAAACGGATTTTTTAAATATCTCGTTTATTTACTAAGATATGGGGGGTGGTAAGTTTTCAAATTGTCACCCTGTATAACTTATTTAAGATTAGAATATAAAACCCAGGAAAACCGAGATATTTCGAAAACTATCAGAGATAGGTATAGGACATTATTATCAAACGTTGAAGGTTTTTGGAGGAGCTAAATGATGACAGAAAATATACAGGGTGTTCCATTTAAAAAAAATGAGATTTTTTAATATGAAGCTTTGCAACTTTGGACCTACCAAAAAAAACACCCTGTAAGCTATATTTTTAATGTTTCATAGTAGATCTATTTATTTGACTTTTACTTAACCCAGGATAAAAGATATAAAACCAGAAATCAAAATTTAAGTAATAATTTTGACAATATACTGACGCTTACAAATGTCCAATTTTTCTTAAAAATCGAATTATCTTTAAAACTTGTACTAGCTTTTCGGATATTAACCATATAATAAAAAAGACGTACAATTACACGTAGAATTCAACAATGCATTCAAATACAGGGGGTCTATTTAAAAAATGTACCATTTGGACGCCCTACTTTATGGGCGCACCCTGTATAATTCCAAATATTTTTAAAATGTGGAGAATATTCAACCATATCATAATACAAAAGCACTCTATCGAAAAATCTTATCTTCAAGGCATTCAGTTACTCCGCGCAATCGTTGACTCACCCTGTACTATAAAAATATTCTTTCTTGAAGATCATTTTTATTCTATAATACCGTTTATTAATTGTTCTGGCACAATAAAACACTTGTTTTGTGCATTTTATGTGTTTATGTCTCCAGTAATCCTGCATTTTCACTAACCCGGTCTGTTATCTTCCGGACTAGAGAGTCTACTATACTGATGCAAATGTGCTCCATAGCACCCACAAGTTCTCCCCAAGCCTTGTCTATGTAATCTTGTGCACTCACGCAGACCTATTTTGGTTTCAGCACCTTCACTAAGGTTGGACCACACTGTATGTAAAATATTTCAATTTTTTGAATGTAAATCTGGTGAGTTTTTATGAATAAACACAAAGCGTGACCGTTCCGTTTGAATTTGTATTTCAGTATTTGTTTTTCCTTTTAGAAATTTGTGTAGATGCGTAATTTTATTTTAATTTTATCGCAATTGCAAATTCTTCAATTTAGATAAGTGCTAGAAGTAAGACATATGACTTATAAAATGTATCTGGTCGTTTGCGATAAGAAGTTTTATTGTTAGGCGAAACTTTATGTGGTTCTGAAAAGAAGATGCAGGTGTTTTACGAAGATGTGCGCGTTATGGCATTATTAAAGTTTAATTGTGATTGGCGGTTTATGTCAAAGTTCATAAAGAATATTTTGGGCAGTCAGCCCTATTTTTTTTTAGTTAGCAGACATAATTAATTGTTATTATAATAAGGCTGTGTAGAAGTTGAGTAATTGAAAAAAATCGAAAGTAGGTTAGTAAAAGTTCGCAAGAAATTTTTTTAAAACGAGTAGTAGTTCGAGGTTTAGTAAACCAAGCTTTGTCATTCACTAAAAGTAGGTGTTCTACCGTCCAAAAAGCCACCAAATTTTGTCATCTCATTGAACAGGTTTTTTTGTTGTCAAGATCCAGTTTAATAAAAAAAAGAACTAAAGTTCCTGAAGCTGTCAGGGTGTGTTTGTCTCAAAGTGGGCCTGAATATCGCAACATTTTTATGACCAGAATTATTGGATTATTAAAAACTGTAAGTAATTAAGATTTCTTTATTTAATTGTCTGTCGAACGACTGCGTGCGTGGTATGTATAAAAACAGGCCTTTCTTTCTTTCTTCTTCCAACATTGTTGTGTTAATAATGTTAATGTCAATTACCTATGTGTTTAATCGAACCCAAAGTGTGACCTAGACAGTTTTCAATGTGGGATTTTTTTTATTCGATCAGGATTTTTGATTCGGAATTTTCGGGAGTTGCTTGATATTTCGCAGTAAGCGTGATTTTTTCGACACTGCGACACAAAACAAGAAATTACAATGGCCTAAGGACCCCTATCCTTCCCTTCCTTATTGTATAAAGAATATTAATAAGCACAAAAACTTTAAAGCGCATACTTACATTTGTATCAAAGATAAATTTATTTGATCAGCAGCCCCCACGGTTCCGTGATACGCCGACAGAAGTACGGGCACATGACTCCTGTGCATCAAACCCGGCCACCGCTTAAAGAGCTCCAACATGAAACTCAACAATTGCCTCTTACACTCGGAACTATCCCCCAAAATCACCTCCAAAAACTCCGAATGCGAACCTGTCATCTCGAGGATGGTCTGAGCTTCGTCCTTGGTCAAATCTAAAAATCGCACGAGGACGTTCATTACTTCGAGAAAATTCGCCCGACCCAACAGTCCAAATTTCAAGCACAGACCGCAATACAAGTTGAAGGCGCCGTCCTCGCACACTCTTCGAAATGAGACTTTTCGATTGGAGAGTTCGTTTAGAAGGTGTACGCTTACTCGGGCCACCTCGTCGAGCTTCGACCAGTCTTCGTTCGATTTATCTTTATGCTTGAAGAGGGCGTTCGTGAGCGAGGCGATCGTTAGCAAAATATTGTGCGCCTCGTCTTGTGACGCTTCCGGCAGGATCTTTTGGAAAATTGCCGCTAATATGTGGATGTGGTACGGCTGGGTCACCTCAAGTTTGCACACCTTGCCGGCGTGTGAGCGACAGGTTTCCGATGACATGAATCTGGCGATTAGTGTAACGATGGTGTCTTTGTGTGCTTCGAAGTGATGCGAGACCTTTTTCGATTTTGCCAGTATTTTTGTAATGCTAGGCTCGAGGTGAGTGTACATCGGGCCCAGTACGTCGGCGCTTGCGTCGACGGATATTGCCGACTTGAGTAAAACCAAGAGTAGACTTTTCTGTTTTAGAATCTTCTCGAAGTGGGCTTGAAACGTGTCTAAAAGATCTCGTCGTCTACTCAAAAGAAGCCCTGCTAGGACAACGTCCTCCTTATGCAAGTCGGCTTTGAGGAGAATACTTTCGAAAAGGCTCACTTTGATGTCGGCCAGATTATGCGGGAACTTACGCAGGTAATTATGAAGTAGACTTGTGCAGGCGCTTGCTTCAAATCCGTCGAGATTAAGCGATGCCAGCAGCTCGGACATGTTCGCGATAACCTCCTTGGTTAAGGGATGAAGGTTGTCACTTTCGCCAAGAAACTTTCCAAACGTGTAGACCAACGCCTTGAAATGGAAAGCTAGAAAGTCATCCGACGTGCTTCTCTCCAAATTAACGCAAATGCTCAAGACAGCCACACATTGGGCGCGATCCAGGCCCACGGGTTCCAAAATGTCAGTGATATCGTGCCACTTTTTGCGCTTTTTTAAAACCTTACACAACGCATGTGACAACTTCGCCCGAAACGGTTTCAGAAGCGAATCCAGATTAGTGGGCGAGAGCTTCGCCATTTCCACGATTAACTGATTCGTAACGCTCCGAGTTGTAGGCGAAAATCTTTGCAACAAAGTGGGATGTTTGAAAACATAACCGAACTCGTTGACCTTTTTGATGACCCCAATGCAACTTTGTAGGTGAGCCTCGTTTAGTAAATCGCAATTCAGATGTGTAAAATAAAACAAGGCTTGGTTCAAACAGTGCCTCAGCTCCCACCGTCTCTCACAACTCAACTCGGCAACCTCACCATTTACAAACAGTGCACTGAAACTTTGGGCAGTGGACAACTTGGTTTTGACCAAGGCCGATGCTTCCCCCTTCGTCCACTCACAAATATACGTCTGCAGAGATTCCGAAACCAAGTCCGCATATTTTTCATCTTGAACAATCGCGGCTATCATCCGCGAAGAAGTCTGCAGGTGTAATAAATTCACCAACACTGCGTTTAAGTAGTGTTTGAATTGGCGATTCTGCCCCAGGTATTTCAGCGCGCCCAACAGCATCGGGCTCAGCCCTGTAGATCTAACAGACTCATTCGACTGATAAGAATCGTGCTGCAGACCGTCCAAAATCTCCAATATCTGCTCCTGTTTCGCCGCATATTCGAACTTGGCAAACTCGCGCAACTCCCCAATGTAATCCATCACGCCCCTACTCGTCTCCCGAATTACGTCGACAAGCATACCGGATATTTCACCGACGTTCGCGAAATACAAAACGGTATTAATCCACACTTCGGGTTCCTCCGTAGCATCTTCGAATATCGCCGAATTGTTTAGCAAAACGATCAAGGTTGTGTACGCGTTTTCGTCGCCAGTCTCGTGGTAGTGTTGCAAAATTAACGAGAATACCGTGGGGAATATCTCGGAGCTTGGAGTAAAAATCGACGGCTCATATTTCAAAAATAGGTTCACCAAACGGACTTTGAAACGTTCACCTTTTGAAAGTGTATCGAGTTCGTCCAGTAGAGACTTTAGGTTGGTATTTGCTAATCCTTCGAGCAACGGTGGACTATTGGCCTCGTACAGATTGAGTAAGTCGAGCACTGCTTCAACGTTGTCCTCAACTGAGTACGGCTCGTCGTCGACTTTAGTCCAATTGCTGATGACCTGATCGACGTTTAGAAAGTGTTTGGAAATATACTCGTTTATCGAAATCTTTAAGATGTAAAACTGCTGTTGGTTTAAAGATCTTTCCAACGCGTTCACGTAATTTGCAAATGATCTTAGACTTTCGCTCAAAAACGCGATTATGTTATACTTCACTACAGGTTTTTCAAATGTGGTATTCTTCGGAAGGATAATCTGGAGTATTGATGTGGGGGCCACCAGACTTGGAATGATTTGACATATCTAAAAGAAATTTCTGTTTAAATTATGTCCTAAAGGTAATCGAAATGTACAGAATTAAAACAAACAAGAGCTGGTGATGACTTTTTGATGACTTTACTTACTGACTCGTTTACGTGTTGCTCCTTAGGTTATAACTCGTGGTATAAATCTTACCTTTTTTCTTTGCCTATAGAAATGCCTGTCATGTATTATGCGGATTGATACAGTAAGATATCCAAAACTTAATTTGGGTAGATTTATGACAAGAAAAATTCGGAAAGTTGGACTCAAAGCGCTGAATTGAAATATCCCCAAAGATCAAAATCTATACATCATCTGCTTTATTTACATATGATGCAAACGTTATAGGCTACAATTTCACGAAATAAACAATGCAATGTAAATTTCCTAACTGAAAAATCTTATAATTAATACACAATTTAAATTAATTGTAACGTTTTTTTCTTTCTCCTTCAACTTTTAAATGTTATACTTCTTACCCTTTACGCTATTTGTGTATCTCCCGTGTAACTTCACTGCATTAATTTTGTTGGTAAAAGTTCTTGTTTCATAGTTCTTTATTTTCCCGCTAGAGGTTGCGTAGATATAATTAATATTTGGTTGAAAGGATTAATTATTTCCTTTGCTTACTTCCCTAGTAATGAACTATTATGAGGTTGGTTTTAAAATGTTTATTACAACTGATAATAAGGTCAAATAGTGCCTAAAATTTTGGTTCTGTAAGAATCAGACCTAAGCTGAACTGCGCCTATTACAATAAAGACATTATTATTCTATCAGTGGGGCTTGTTTCTGTAAATCGCTGTCCATTTCAACCGCTAATACCAGTCCGCGTTCTCGTAGTTAATAGGTCCTGAGTACTGTCATTTATGCGTTCGCTCGTTAAGACCGAAATTTAAAGGGACACAGTCAACAAAAAAGATGTGAGCATATGCTGTCTTCCCAGCTCTCCACAATATCGGGAAACATAAATTGGCATGCAAAGCCAATATATTATTTTAATTATTAAAATCTGGCCCAAAAGATGGAGAGTCGGTTGAAAATCGTTGCGGTTCGGTAGATGCAGAAGTGATGGCAGTAGTGTAGCGGAGCAGACACTCGGCACCAGGTGTTTTGTTATAACGATAATTTTGAACGAGTAACACTCGGTTGCATTGTCCATCAGGCTGCTTTGTTTATATGCGAGGTGTCGCTTTGGCTTAGATTAAGGCATGGAAAGGCAGTTTCGAACAATGCAGACGACTCGTTAAGTACTGATTCAAGAACAAACACCTCCAGTCTGTGGACGAAACAAATTTTCAATCTGTCCTTGAATGTGACCTCTTCTCGGTCTTTGCTTCGATCCTCAGTTTGACTTGAAACTCTACTCAGTTTTTAAGAGTAATAAGAAATAAAGAACTGGTCCTTGCTGTAAGGAGCAATGCCTCGGAACTTTCTAGATGCCAGGGAGAGAATATCTTTCTAGGCACAATTGTTATTATGTTTACCTTAGGTTGTAAGGTCCAAGAGAACAAAAGGGATTTGTTCACAAGAATTTCGATTTAGAAATAAACTTTATAACATTATAGCATTGCTAGTTTAGTCATTTGAATTATCGCTTTCCATTAAGTGTCGATTACGATTTACAGTATTCGCTTCGTTTGACTTGACAAACGCTAAATTTTGCCTTCACTTAATATCCCGTGCTAGCAATTTTTGTTCTTTGCAAAGGCAAAACCTTCCCTGTGCGAACAAAAAGCACGCAAGAGCTAATTAGAGAAGGGATAGAACGAAGTGCAAATATATCGTGTGAACTCTAGCGACAAGAGAATGAAGTAAGGTTAATGAAACCTATAACACTCGGATGACCTCTATCGGCGAAAAGAAAGAACTAGGGTAATCTACTAAAATAACTTACATTTTAAATAAAGGGGTTTAGTTAGCGTAAAAATAAATGAGACTACATTTAAATTGTGAGGGAAAAGAACGTACATAGTCAAACCATTTTAACTGCGTTATTCCTGCGGCAGTATATTTTCGATAAGTATTTTCTGACTATGAGTTAATCCTTTTCTGTCAAGTACTTCTAAATTAAAATTTTGGTGCTGAGTAAGACTCAAAGGTATACTATTATCTGCAACGTTTGGAAACCAACTGCTATCATTATATATCAAATTCTTCTGCACAGGGTGGCCAAATAAGAATGCGAGGTACTGTATCTGGGAACCTGTCCATCGTAGAGGCTTGCGGTAAAAAAATTTATTACTAAAACGGCCACGAGAAAAACCTGGAAAATATTTTTAAGTTTCTGCAATGGCCGCTAGGGGGCGTAACTGCAATCGGGAATCTAAAAAAATGGTTTTTCTGTGAATTCCGCTATATTAACCAAACAAAAAAATGTCCGGTCTTTGAAGTTGACGATAATCTGAACCTTTTTTGTTTGACAATTTTCCGGTATCTCTAAAAATGAAGTGGTGGGGGGTATTCCAAGGTTTCTGTAAAGAACACCCTGTATCTTCGAAACGACTGAGCCGATAACCGATTAACTCGGGTTAATTGAAAAGTTATTCTTCGGCTACAAATATTATAATATTGGAAGTCTTGTTAGTTTCACATATCGCCGCTTGAGGGCTTTTTTCGACATTCCGACAGAATTATTTGTATTATATAATTTGTCGTCCTAAGGTGGATCAATTTAAAAAAGGAAGCTTTTAATGCCGCCGTAAATGCCCGAAATGCTGGCCACCATGATATAAAAATATATATGTATAGATAAATCTGAAGATATCAAGATGCTGTTTTCGCGAGTTTGTTTAGGCATCATTTAGCTACTTTTTAATGAAAAAAAAATCGAACCAATGCATTTAATTTTTTTGAGAAAATTATCCATTTCTGTCGGATTGTCGAAAAAAGCCCTCAAGCGGTGATATGTGAAACTAACAAAACTTCAAATAGTATAATATTTGTAGCTGAAGAATAGCTCTTTTGAACTAACCCGAGTTTGTTTAAATCGGCTCAGCCGTTTCGAAGATACAGGGTGTTCTTTACGGAAACCTTTGAATACCCCCCCCACTTCATTTTTAGAGATACAGGAAAAATTGTCAAACAAAAATTGTTCAGATGATCGTCAACTTCAAAGACCGCACATTTTTTTGTTAGGTTAATGTTTCACAGAAACATCAGTTTTTTAGATTCCAGTAAAGTCACTAAATATAGAAAGTACCGCAATCCATTGGGCTCGTGTGTTAGAGAGAGTACCCACGATTTTTGCCCAAAAATGGCGGTTGATTGCGGTACTTTCTATATCTAGTGACTTTAGATTCCAGATTGCAGTTACGCCCCCTAGCGGTCATTTCAGAAACTTTGCAGGTTTTGCTCGTGGCCGTTTTAGTAATAAATTTTTTTACCGCAAGCCTCTGCGATGGATAGATTCTCAGATACAGTACCTCACATTCTTAGTTGGCCACCCTGTACATGTGTTTGTGACTGAACTCCTAAACGGCTGGACGGATTTTGATGAAATGTGTCTATGTATGTCTTCAGATGGTTTAGATTCACAATTGAACCCGGTGGGATTATAGGATTATTTTAAAAAAATATTTTTTCGTTGATGGTGCACTCTGCTATTTCAAATGTCAGTGGGCTCCAACATGGCGGACGAGTCATACCTATTGGTAGCTATAAGTAATACAACCCAGGCTTCCAACAATTACGGAAAAGTAGAAACGATGAAAACAGTGTTATAGCAACCAAGGCCTCCTTCCTTTTCATACCAATCTTTGATCTAAAGCGACAATTGCTTTGCTTCATAAATAGTGGCGATATTAACAATGCTTTCTATACCTTAATCTATTGTTAATGTGTATGGAAAAGCACTTGTGGAACAATATTTGTCACTTTTTCCACTAAATATTAATAATTTACGCCACATAAAAATACACCAAGTTCGTCTAGCGTACCTCACTAGTTCATCTCAATCTGAATATATGCGCAATCGTTTACGTTCATCCCCGAAAAGCGCGCTAACTTCGTTTACATGTTAAGTTAACGTTTGATTGCAATTTTGTATATACATGGTAATTCAAAAATATATACTTACCATGTCAAACCCCTCTATTTAGTACTCTTTGATTTATAAAACTTCTAAGTAATGAACTCCTTGCCAAATGGTTTGTTCATAAGTCTCCTTTAAGTTACTCCATCTGAACAGACAATACTTTGCACAATGCATATGCCAATGAACACGTAACGGCTACTCTGTTCACTTGCAGCAACTTTATGGAGATCAACAAACAAATGACCACTACCAACCTGCTGTACGCTTAACGTCTCGGTACTCAGCTCAACAGTGGTCGGTTGCACCTCCTTCATTAACGAAACGGCGAACTTAACCGTATTTAACCACCTATCCGTATGGCGTGGCTCGAGAAAGTTGCGCAAGTTACTCCACACCGACTTGACCAAATCGGGACAGGCGCCGCAAATCTTCCTAACCAATTCCCCGGCGTAAGAGTGCTCCCACGGCCGTTCCAAGCTGTCCAGAACCGTGTGCATTAGACTGTTGTAAGTCTTCGGGCGGGATCCGATGTAGGGATCTTTAAAGATGACACCGTACTTGTGCGAGGTACACAGTACCAGGAGAAAATCGTGTACGCACTCGCTTACCATCGCTTTCTTCACGGGGTCGAACTACAAGAGCGATATAGACTGTATACAAACAAACAAAAATCAGAACTTACACCAGTCTGTGCGGCTTGCATCCCCTTCCAGTTGTACAAACTGACAATTTCACGAACAACTAAAGTGCTGAATAAGCTCATTTTTGTAGTCTTCATCACGCCCCCATTTTCGAGCACGAATCTCTTTAACGTCGATAAAACAAGAACTATAGTTTCTGCAGAATCGTACTGTAACCCCTTAAAGATGCTCGATAACAAAATTCGTTTCTCTAAGAAGATTAGTATCGTAGCAGTTTCCCCTTCGACCAAGAACGACATTAAAAATCTAATGTACGCATTACGAACGCTATCCTCATCGTCCCCTCGTTTCGCTAATACTTCTACATTTGACGGGTTTATGTTGATATGTAGCAGAATTTCTTTTGCCAAGCTTTTTGAGAAAGTAACGATAGTCGTTAGTAACTTTAAAATAACTTTCTTGTCCTTTCGCGGGGAACCCAAAGCCAACATTTTGTTTATTGACGATAAATGAGACTGCACAAACAGCTTGCAGGAGTTATTAGCCGAATTGTCAAGGTTACTTTCGCCGGTTACGATTTGCAACAACACGTAATTTAGGATTTCCAAAATATTCGGCGTGGGTATTTCGTTTGATGACAGTAACTGAATTAATTCCATGCAGCTACCTCCACTCTCTAGGTACTCGATGACGTAGCTACCGTCTTCTCTGCAGTTTATCAAAAATTCTTGAATTGCTGTTAAAGAAATTGTTATTGATCGAAAAGTTTACTTGAATAACGTTACCCAAGACTTTTTGTGCAGTTTTCAATTTTTTTCGGAATTCCTTTGCAGACCAAAGTCTCGGTTTCTTGTTGGGTGGTGCGCCTTCGTCATTCTCTATTTCTTTCGTGAGTTCTTCAACTTCCATTTCGATACAAAATTTCTAACGTGCTTAATTGAGGTTATGTTTATATTTTTGAATTTGTCGATACTCGATTGCTTAACAGACGCACGTGGATATTATCTTAGACTATGATTCTTTCCTTCTCTAAGGATATTATTATGACGGTACGTGAGCCACAATTTGACCCATCCAAAACAGGCGTAATGTGTGTTGCCTAACATCTCAACATTCACCTAGTATTATATACAGGGCTTCCAACAATAAGGTCATTCGATGATTATGTGAGAAACCAATTTTACTCAATAACAGATGACGTCATATTTTTTATAATCGTGTCAAATAAACATTTGCAAAATTTCAAGGTCTTGCGACGATTTATTTACTGTAATGAAAAAGTTAACTGCCTACAAAGGGTAGTTGTGAGAGTGGGATGACGAAAAACAACACTCTCACTCACTCTCGCAAATTCAATTCTCTACTGAAACTGAACTTATCACCACCCAACGCTTACCGTTGAAACCCATGTTTTCTTTCAGCGACGACCTAAATCGAAAATTTTTGAGGATTCCGACGTTTCTGAAATTTTTGAGCAATAGTTCTAATTTGAGGATCTGCCCTAAAAATTTCAAAAACGATGACAATCCTAAATGTCTTTAAAATCCTGAAAACTATAAATCTCTAAATCAGATCTTGAAGATCTTGTGCACCTGTAATATTCAAATCGAGATCAAAAGGTAAGTATATCACATATTCAAAACTAAGACACCCTGCTAATGCTAAATATGAATATTCATTACATCACCCGGTTGAAAGAGTGCAAGGAGCATTACGTTAATTAACGTTAATAATAATAATAATAATAATAATATATTTATTGCGTAATTGTAAAACAAAGACCCAAAAGGCAAGAATTCGACGTGGTCGATCTTCCATTCTGCCAAAGTAAATTAAATATAATGGCACAGCTTAACTATAATATAACTTACATTGTAATTGTAATTTAGTAAATAACGAAACAAAAAAGAGAGACAAATTTAAAGATAATAAAATAATTAGTGTAATAATATGCTTTAAGTGCAAGTTAAACTTTAATTTTTCCTAGTATTAAAGACCCATTGACATTAGATTTGAAGTGGGTAACTTAAATTTATAGATTCAAAAATTAAATTAAACGTACACCAAAACAAAGAAACATGTCGGTGCAAAATATTACTATAAAGTTTTTTTTTTTTTTGGCTTGGATTCCATCTGCTAAAAATTCTATTAAACATGAAAAAGCGTTTTTGTTATTATAATATCCAAGAATTGACATAACATTGTAGGGACCCGATATTTTCCTTGCTATCAACTGTTGACCCAACTGTTTTTGCTGCTTTTCAAATTTTTTGCACTCAAAGAAGATGTGGCCTAGACTTCCCACCATTCCGCAATGCTCGCATGCAAAGTTATAAAGTAGATAATTGGTATAGTGCAAATCTTTAACAACCTTGACCTGTTAAAAGCAACATGGAAAATTACATGGTTTACCTACAACAAGTCCATTCATGCATCAAACAGTTCGATAACTTCCACATATTTAAACGAATGATCAAAAGTATCAATTTAAATTTAGTGATCCAAATATAACCATAAATTGAGCAAACATTTACACCATAAATGGAAACGATTTCATCAAACCAATAAAAGTTAATGGCATTTTCTATACACGTGATTCCAGATTGAAGTTAAATCAGCATGGCAATTTCGAAACAAAGATTGAAACTTATTTTTAAAAAACATAAAATGTTGTATACAGAACACAAATTAATTACTTATAAAGAAATGCAAAGATGACTATCTGCATTAAATAACCGAAATATCAAATGTAAAATGCTTTCTATAATGTCACTTCAAACAAGATCTCTACATATTGGAGCATAGCGTGCTCAAGCAAGCTTTTGTTAGTTTACTAGTACAAGCCTATACACACATCAAACTTCAAATAACTCGATAATTTTCACATGAACTCGATCCAAGACCATGGTAATCAAAACAGAAACACAAATTGAGCAAACATTTACACCAACAATGAAAACGATTTAACAACAAAAGCGAACAGAATTTGTCATACACGTGATGCATTGAAAATCATGTCAATTTCAAAAACAAAGATTGAAAATTATGTAAAAATATGAATGTATACAAAAAACAAATAATGTTTATAAAGAAATGTAAAGATTATTACCAGTGTTAAACAACACGAAAATACCAACTGCTTACGAAGCGTTTCGGCTTTAGACAGCGCGCGCCAATGAATAAGGTACCTATTCTTTATTCATTGGCGCGCCCAAAGAGCTTTCTCCTTCTAATGGCGCGGTTGTCAGCTATCAAACATATGCGCATCAGCGTAGGTTGTATATACAGGGTGGAACCTCCCACTTTATATTATTTTATTAAGGTGTTTATGTATTCACACTCAAGTATCAGTATATTGTTGCCCTGTATGAATAGATTAATCATTTATACTGTGTAAAAGTAGGTACCTCATATAGTTCGATTCCTCGCTGTATCTGTTCCATTCTCTTCCGTGCGGACTGCTGATTTTATGTCTTAGCAATGTGAGAAAGAGGCTCTGTGAGTAACTTGGGTGTTTGTTGATAATATCGACTTCAGCATTTTCAGATGTAGGTACTTCTTGGTGTGAAATTAATGGTAGCCGATGCCGGAGCAAAGCTGTGCCATTTCGATAGTTTTTAATGAACCGACAATTTATCATTTTTTGAGTTGTGTTGTCTAATATGTGTTTTTGTACTAAATTGCATTTACCATTTGTATTACGTCACTTGTCGCTCGTAGAACGGACACGACGAAATTTTTTTCTATCTGTCAGTTAACGTTAGTTTACAGTTATTGTATTTGTCAATTAGTGTTAATCAACAGTTGTACCTATCTGTAAATTATTACTAATTGCAAGATGCAACTGTCGGTTAACACTAATTGACAGATACAACTGTCAGATAGAGTTAACTGACAGATAGAAGTTTAAATTAGTACTAATTAACAGACACAACTGTCGATTAACACTAATTGATTACCGTTAATTGACAGATAGAAGTGTAAATTAGTACCTACTTTTTTTGTACTCAGATCTAAGTATTATAGGTATGTATCGTATCTGTCGATTAGTAAACATTTTCATCGTGTCCGAGTTTTACGCCTTCTTAATAAAACAAACCGACATACATTTAAAAATCACATTTCGAAATAAAATATGTGACGTTGTGTGCACAATAAAGGTCGATTCCCACTTTCGTGCAAGGCACGTACTCGGCACATGCAAGGCACCGACTCGGCAACATATCTATATGAATCTTATGAATTTTTTGGGGTGTAATTTACACTATGCGAGCAACGACTCGGCAAGCTACGGCCTTTGCACGCAGCGTTCTTCCGAAACAATATTTGCCGGGCATGTACCGTGCACGTTCCGACAAGTGTGAATACAATCTGTGCAGGTTACCGACTTTCGTTCATTTTTCATAGTACAAGAAAGGTTGAAGGGTCAGCAAAGGAACACTTTTTCAGCGGAACAAAATGAGATGCTGATTGAATGTGTCCAAGAAAATGATTTCGGTCATAAAAGATACTTCTTATGCATTTTATGTACACAAAAACGTATTTTTCTTTTTCTGCAATATGTACTTTCTTGTTCTTCATCATCTAATATTAGACCAATTTTAATTAACGTGAAAGTTTCGAACATTTTTACAGTTGAAACTCACGTAGAAACTGCTTACCTGCGGCAAACGTGTCGCAGTGTGAATTGAACTCAAAAAACTTTGCCCGTGCCGAGTATGTGCCGTGCCGGTTCTTTGCACGAAAGTGAGAATCGGCCTTTATAATGAAACATTATTCATCAAAGTCGTAAAAGCCAATCCAAGACGTACGTTTGTACGTCAAAATGGCGGCGCGGCGCCTATGGTGCATATACTCATATGTCTGTGCCATGGTGTCCGCTATAAATTGGATGGGCAGTCCTCCATATCCGATCTACTATAGTCATAGGTCTGTATCATGGTATGGTCTGTATCATGGTATATGTCTGTATGATTTGGTCCATCCGCAAAACTTTCAGTTTGTCATTGGAGTTCATTATGAAATTATAGAATAGCAATATTATCTTTGCTTATCATGCTTTTAGCTTCACAATTCGTTTCTTATTAGGATTCTATCCTAATCCTTTATAATTACATGCATTTGCTATTAATATGATCGGCATTTCTGTTGCAACGATTGACAAGTTGCCTATGTTTGTTAGCAATCTGTTATTTGTTCTTGGGTTACGCCACTGGAATTAAAATCGAACTTATAATTTACTGCGCAGATGTGAAATTTAAAATAAACGCTTCTTCATCAATTCTTATTTCTAAATAAATTGTTATAAACATCAGAGATTTGTCTCTGATAAACATAGTGAAATTTAAACAAATATGCGAAAATTCCAAAGAATTAGTTGAGTATAATCGCATTTGCAAATATTTGCAACAAAATGTTTTCATCACCCAGCAACGAAAGTTCTAATCCGGGCGTTTATAACAACAATAATAAGTAAACAATCACAATAATAATTTCATTAATTAGATCAAGTTTAATTTCTAGCAGCTATATTTCAAACCATGTAAACTTAAAGGCCGTCGATGAATTACCGGAGCAACATCAATCGACCTTTTCCAACTTCCAGTACTTCAATGTAATACAATCGACTGTGTTCGACTCTCTGCTTTATACAGGTAAATACGTTTGTTTTTATGCGAGCCGTATCGATTCGAATGCGTTTTAGATGAGTCGATTGTGGTTTCGGCACCCACAGGATCGGGCAAGACCGTCATTTTCGAATTGGCTATAATCAACTTTTTAAATCGACTGGCGTCGTTTAATCAGCAGATACCGTACAAAGTCATTTATGGTAACTATTTTTTACTTCAATGTTGATACTTTTTTGAGAGTATACCTAAGCTTGACACTATTTCCACACGTATAGATACACTTTAAACATTGCATTTTCCCTATATACCCCATTTGGAGGGATTTTGCACAAATAAAGATTTTTACTAAATAGGGCCGCAAGTGACCTTAGCGCGAAACAGACAATAATGATAATTAATTTTTGAAATTTCAGTTGCACCGGTCAAGGCGCTGTGCGAAGAACGACTGGTCGATTGGTACACTAAGTTTTCGGCGTTAGGCCTGAGTTGCATTTCCGTAACCGGCGACACCGACTACTACGACTTTAAAAGATTGATCACTCACAACTTCATTATTACGACGCCGGAAAAGTGGGACGTCCTGACGCGACGATGGCGCGATAACAGAAATTTCATTCCGTTCATCAAGCTGTTTATGATCGACGAAGTGCATATACTAAATGATAATCAACGCGGACCTACGGTCGAGGTGATCATTAGTCGGATGAAAGCGATCCACAATGCGATGGGCAGTACGGAGTACGGGTACGGTACGATGAATCTTAGATTCATCGCCGCATCGGCTACTATACCGAATGTTGAAGATGTAGCCGAGTGGCTTACCATGCCAATGATTGGTGCAAAGGCGTTTAAGTAAGTATTGCGATGGGTGGACCCAGGTTGAGTTATTATAAGGGTAACATTGTTATTGACAGAGCCTCCTATTCATCCACGCCAACCATTTTTTTTTTACATTTTTTTTGGTTTTTCGGTTGAAAAAGATCATACACCCTCCACTCAGTGGCTTGTTACAGAAGCAGAAGAAAAGATGGTACCTGCAAAATCCAAACGCATAAACCTATCGTGCTTATGCGTTTGGATTTTGCAGGTAAAAAAAAGATAATACACCCTCCACTCCGTGACTTGTTACAGAAGCAGAAGAAAAGATGGTACCTGCAAAATCCAAACGCATAAGCATGATAGGTTTATGCGTTTGGATTTTGCAGGTACCATCTTTTCTTCTGCTTCTGTAACAAGCCACGGAGTGGAGGGTGTATTACCTTTTTCAACAGAAAGACGGTGATTTTTTATAAGCAAACTTCGAAGTGACATTTCCATGATAATCATGGAATTACGAATAACCAGCCCACTTAATCAAAAATCTATTGGAGTATAACATCAATATGATTTTATTTAATTTCCTGTATTCCGCTACGAGTCGTGCCTCGTTGCGCGTTCTTTAAAAACATGATTATACACTTGTTTATTAATATTCTATTGTTTATCACACTGAATTTAATGTCTGATTATTTAATCCGTTTTTTTTTTAAAAGCGGTTATCCGACTCGAAAATGTTCCTTCACGTATATTTTACCACTCTCAAGTAAAAGACCTTCTCACACATCAAGTTGCTCAAAAGTTTTTCTTCGTACTGGAATTGATTGTAATTTGTTTATTCGCATACATATTAAAATTGCAGGTAAGTCGCAATTTGTCAGAAATCCAAATTTGTTTAAATGTTCATCCATGATGTACGCGAAAGTTTGGAGTTCTCGTCACTTTATATGTTTTTACCCGAAGTTGAAGTGGTTATTCTTTACTACTATTTTGATAGATTTCACTCGCTAATTGCACCTTCCGGTTCCCGAATTTCAATCGCAAATATTTACACATACACAAGGACATTTCTCGCAAAGTCGCAACGCATCTAAAAATATCCACCCCGAATCAATTCATACACTGTTCCCACTTTTCTCGCTCGTTAGAAGTTTTGAAACGGAAATCCGAATAGCTTTTGTTACTTGCGACCTTGACCAGGGGGGCCTGCGCTCCTTGTGTTCATAACCTCCTGCTCTCCATCACCACGTTTACAATCCCCTTGGATTATCCTTCAGTACTATCTGGTTGCCTGTCTCTTGTCGACCAGTATAAGTCGAATTTTCCTTCTGTAGTTGGTCGCTTCCGTCCTATTTTTTTGGAAAGTAATGATGTGAATAGATTCCCCACTACCACTATGTTCCATTCCCTCTAGGGTTTTGAAGTGTTGATCTGAGATTTCATCTTCATCGCTTGCCAAAACCACTCACGAGAATACCCTCCCGCGTGAAGGGCACTTCTGATATCTCCTGTTTCCTGTTTTTATTGGCTCAAGGTGGTTTTTCTTTCATCCGCTCGTTTCCTTCTTCCTCAGTAGTCATATAGGACCGAACTTGGCTCAGTTCAAGGTCGCCTGCCACCTGGTGGTGACTGGAGAGCAGGCCAAGGTAAAGTTCAAAAGTCGAGTGTCACATGGCGGTGGATTTTTTAAAATAGATCAAGCTTAAGGACTTTCAAGGTCATCGGACGTCAATGACCCAATTTTTTGTTGTATTTCACTGTCAAGGTTCCTAATTGTTAACGACTGCATTTTTGCCGTGCTACATTTTACTCCCAAGGTCATTAAATGTCAATGACCCCATTTTTGTGATGTCTTGTATTTTATTTTCGAGGTCATGAAATTTCATGGCCTCATTTTTGTAATTTCATTTTTAACGTCAATGGCCCATTTTGTGGTGTCATGTCATTTTCAAGGTTATTCAAGCTTAATGATCTCCATTTCTGTGCGGTGTCATATTCTACTTTCAAGGTCATCGGAGGTCAATAACTCCCTTTTTGTGTATTTCATTTTCAAAGCAGTGAGAGGTAAATGGCCGCATTTTTGTGTTGCCCTATTTTATTTTCAAGGTTATCTGGGGTCAGGAGCCTCATTTTTTGTGGTGTTATATTTTTTCAGTGTTATCAAAGTTTAATGACCTCCAATTTTTGCGGCGTCATATTTCATTTTCAAGACGAGAGATTAATGACTAGTATTCAGTTTAAAGGTGATGAAAGTACGACTTTATTTTTGCGCTGTTATTCCACTCTCAAGGTCATCAGAGGTCAATTAGTTGCGATGTCAAATGTCAGTGACCTCGTTTTGCACGGCGTGGTTTCATTTTAAAGGTCAAAGACTCCAGTTTTCCAAGATTGAATTCGATTTTCAAGGTCATCAGACGTCAAATTTCACTTTCAGGGCCATCCAAGGCCAGTCAGATCACTAGGTGGCTAGCGACCTTGAACTGAGCCAAGTTCGACTACTACTCTCTCCGATACCTGTGCTTCCTTCTCTCTCTCTCTACAGACATTCTTCCTTATTCGTTTTTCGATCTATTCCTCCAAATCAATCTAAACTTCTTCCTTTGGCATCTCGATCCTGGCCCGCACTTGAGTGGTACTATCTCATCGACTTCCTCTGTTGTCATCAGGAGTTCCAACTTCTTCTCTTCACACAGTTTTAGCACTTGAAACCCATCCTTCATTTTCTCTCTCACTTGTCTATTGTTTATTCGTAACAAAAAGGCTCCCAAAAATTGGGATTGTTTACTCACAGCTAATTATTGTGTCATTTTGCCAGATTTGGGGATGATATGCGACCCGTTAAGCTGAAAAAGGTTGTTTTGGGCTACAACTACAATCCCTACCATTCCAGCCCTTTTAAATTTGATATCACATTAAACTACAAACTGCAATCGATAATTCTTCAGTATGCCGAAGGCAAACCAACCTTGGTAAGTCGATGATGATCGAGTGGTAGTTACTTATTAGAGCTTTGGTTTCAGATATTTTGCAGCACGAGAAAAAATGTCGAAATGACGGCTACGTATTTAACGCAGAATTTAACAATCAATTTGCAACCGTCCCAGAGACAGGTGCTCGTCGACGCCTGCGCGAATATCACAGAGCCGAAAATAAAGCAACTGCTCGCGCACGGCGTCAGCTTCCATCACGCCGGACTTCTGGCTGAAGATCGTAGGATTGTGGAGAACTTGTTTCGTAACTCTAGTCTACCGATTCTTGTTACGACGAGTACGCTTGCGATGGGTATAAATCTACCCGCTCACCTTGTTATCGTAAAGTCGACCAAACATTACTCTAACGGCGAATATCAGGATTGCAGCGAGAGTATGTTGTTGCAAATGATTGGGAGAGCGGGAAGGCCGCAGTATGATACAACTGCCACTGCCGTGATCCTGACAACTGCATCTGATAAGGTAGGTTTTGGGGTATTGCTATGCCATGGAGGGAACGTAGGAAATTCGAAGTGAGCCGGCGTACCCGGTTATCTACATCCCAAAATTACAACTTCTTTCAATAATTACTTTCTAAAAATACGAACCGGTGTCAAACTTCAAGTTTTTTAAGGGCGCACTTTACGGATGTAATCTCGACTTAATTGGGGGCTGCTAGCCGTAAGATATTCAACTAGTTACGGTTAATTATAGTTATCCAAGTAGTCGGAATGAAATCTTCAAATTCGGTAGTCCACCGCAATGCCCTTTTTTCCTTGGAAATTGGAATTTGAGGTCAATTGGTGTAATCTATAGTCACGTTGATATTTTCTTTAAACTGCACGACATTGGCGGTTTAATTCTGAATTTTTGTATAAACAAAAATCGATTAATGGATAATTAACGAACCGAATACTAAGTGTATTCTGATTATCTTTTCCCTGGCAAGAGAGCTTTCGGTGGCTGTGAAAACAATTTAAATATTTGTACAAGAACGGTTGCAAAAGACAAACAATTAGACTAAATGAAAACTTATAAAGCTCACTCCCTCGTCTCCTCGAGCAAATAAGTTAATTCAGAAACTACGGTTTCTTATTAACGAAGCACTGAACTATTCGTCTATATACAGAGTGCTGAGGTAAACAGGTGCCTTGTTACACAATCACCAAAACAATAAGCGCCTACGTTTCAGAGTCCACCAAAACAAAGAAGAAACGATTATCGTCCGGCTCTTCTATTTAAAACAAATTTCCCCTTTCAACTACCGCCTCCACTTTCTTAACAAATTAATGTGTCGTCGTCGAATAATATGCATCTGTGTTAAACTTCGACGATAACACGGCCTTATCTTGAAACTAATTAGCTTTCGCAGCGATAACGACCGGAGATAACATGAGACAAACATTTACAAAACATGACACGCAAATCTATCTATAACAAAATAAACAATTTAAAAGGCAATTATTTAAAGAAAATTATACATTAAAAAAATAAATGAAATTCACACGTACAGGGTGACCCAACATTACTGTATGTGATGAAGCCAAACAAACGTAGTGACGTGACATAGTTTTCAGAACAGTATTTCAAGCAGGTCAAGGCAGGACCGAACGCTAAAAACATGTAAAATAAACCGATACAACGAAATATCGAAGGATCCTCAGTATTACAATCACTTTTTAACGACAATTTATTTTAATCTTACATAAGTAATACATTTTATAGTTAACAAAAATGCATCAAATTCATGTCTTGGTCATTGAGATAATGCTCTTAATCTTGTTCCCATAATAATGCTCTTGGTCTTTTTTCCAACGATCTTGGTGTATAAATGACGATTTTGACATGTTTTGATCAAAATCCACGTGGTCGCCAAAAATGCAACATATTCATGTCTTGGGTATTAAGATAATGCCCCTAGTCTTTTTCCCAACGATCTTGGTACATAAATAACGATTTTGACATATTTTGGTCAAAATCCATGTGGTCACCATAAATAGATCAAATTCATGTTTTGGTCATTGAGATCATGCTTTTGGTCTTTTTTCCAATGATCTTGGTGTATAAATGACGATTTTGACATGTTTTGATCAAAATCCATGTGGTCGCCATAAATAGATCAAATTCATGTTTTGGTCATTGAGATCATGCTCTTGGTCTTTTTCCCAACGATCTTGGTGCATAAATAACGATTTTGACATATTTTGGTCAAAATCCATGTGACCTCAGAAAAATAATTTAACATCTTTGAATCACACACATGCGGTTATCAAATGTGGACGTCACGTACTCTTTCAACATCAAGATAATGCGTTTGAAAGCTTTTACAACTCCAAATTTATGTGTAAAGAATAACTTTGGGTACATTTTGCTCTAAAACTTTTGATCTATACCACAGAGAAGAGTTATATTGAATTATTACACATCTAAGGGTCATAGGGAATAATCTAGTGAAAGTCCGAACTCGATACATGACCTAGGGAATGAAATATGTTGATTTCTATTATATTGAGCCCGCAGTTTTTCCTGTTCCCGAGTCATTCGAAGTCCTATAACTTTTGTTGTTTGTTTTTTATTTTTTATTTTATTTTATTTTTTTATTTTATTTTATTTTTATTTTATTTTTTATTTTATTTTTTATTTTTATTTTTTTTTTATTTTTATTTTATTTTATTTTATTATACCTCTCTTGTTTTGGGCCCTCAACAGGCATGCGCCCAATTACAGAGTGACCCGCATAATGCTATTTAGAGGTGCCTCTGCAGAAGGTCTTAAGATGGTCTATACTACTCCGGTATTTACCTTACGAATTAGGAATTGTTGAACTAGCTTCCTGAAAATCAATAGCGCCCGTCCTTAATGTCCAAAGTACCCGTGCACCAAATTTCAACACAATCGGCCACTTTTAAAAAGAGTTAGAGCGCACACGGACGGACGGATGGACGACAATACAAAACTATAAAGGATCTGAGGATCCTTAATAAGCTGTTGAGATACATTCACTACTCACTCTAGTGCCTGATTATAGAGTAGATTGTGCCGGATTATTGTAGAGTAGGTCAGCTGAGTCGCTATATGCCGGACTGTCGAGCGGCGGATTACCGAGCGCCTACTGCAATTGAATGACACTTATGAATTAAAGACATGCACGGCACATGCAATAGGATGGGAGACTTTGTATATGCATTTTCAATTATTTTTAACGTTAAAAGTTGGTTGTAACCTGAGATTGGACACAAAATTCGTTCCTATTCGAGGTCAAGGTTTTGTACCAGAATGATTAAAGTATTTTATTTATTTGTTCAATTTTATTACGTGTTAAACATCTGTAAATGATTGCGTGGGATTTACAGTTTATCTCCGGTCGTTGCGATAAGAGTTCACCTGCGTAGGCTAATTAGTTTCAAGATAAGCACGTGTTATCGCAGATGTTTTTTCACTATGGTGAACACAGGTGTTTAATGTATTCGATGACGCAGTAGGAGGTGGCCCGAAAAAGGAATTTTTGTAGAAGAAATTCATTTGAGTGCTCTAAGAGATTTTTAATACGTCGTTGAAAGTGAAGTAAAGTTAAGTGTAAGCGTGTATTACCTTTACGAAAAAGTGTAGTCGGACCGGTGTGCCTATTGTACGTTTATCGCTTGGGTGAAGCGTTTTCGAGTATCAGTTAAGGAGAGTTTTTCCGCTATCAAAAAGCCAATTTTACATCTGTAATTACAACAAACCCAAATTTAAGTGCAATTATTTATTATAAATTGCAGTTACAACCGAATTTTGGATTATTAGCACTTTAAGCTAATCAGTTGTTTCTATCGATCGTTTGCTGCGTGGTATTTGTATTATGGCCCTGAGTGCCTATATTTCTTTCAGTTGATTTTGTCTAATGAATTTGTTTCATCTGTAAATATCTTATCTAGTAGCGGATGCTGAACTTGCAAGTGTGCATAACAGCATTTCTTTTAGCGCACGAGTTTAAGAAGGGGGTAGTGTGGCGCGCAATTATGAACTTTGTCGTAAACTGATCAGACACTTACGGTTTCAGGCACGCTATGAAAATATGCTTGGAGGTAGCCAATCGGTCGAGTCAAGTTTACACACTCACTTAATCGAGCATGTGAACGCAGAGGTCGTATTACACACGATTACAGATTTAGGCGTTGCGATGGAGTGGTTAACTTCCACCTTTCTGTATATTCGTGCTAGGAAAAACCCCAAACATTACGGATTACCCGCCGGACTCAATAGTGATCAAATAGACAACAAATTATTGGGTAATTTTATGGCTGACTTAGTGTAATATGACCATTTGCCAACTTACAGAAATGTGCCAAGTGGAAATCAATCGGCTGTCGCGTTCGAAGATGTTGACCATCGACGAGGATGTGAACATTGCTCCCACACCGGTGGGATCGCTTATGGCAAAATATTACGTCGCCTTTGATACCATGAACCTTTTCACTAAGGCGAGTTTTGGTCGACGTAGGTCGAAAATTAAATAAAGTTGTGCTTTAGGTTACAGGGCACGAAGTTCTACAACAGATTTTGGGGTTGATATCGAAATGTAAAGAATTTTCCGACATGTATCTGCGAGTGAATGACAAGAAACCGTTGAACATCTTGAACCAATGCCATGGAAGGCAAACAATTCGATTTCCATTGAATGGAAAAATAAAAACGCTCGATATGAAGGTCAATTGGTAAGTCGGGCGTCTTCGTTATCTAGTAATTTATTTTCGTAATTATTTCAGTATAATTCAAGCGGAGTTTGGATGTCTGCACATAGCCGAACCGTCACTAATAAATGAATCGCAAAAAATCATGCGCATCGGTGAGCGAGTGTCGAGCTGTATGTATTCCAAGTCGTTTGCACTCTCTAACTTACCTGCTCTTATATAGGCTTGGCTGAGTATTTATCATCGAGGCATGGCTGCTTCTCTGCTCTACTGAGCGCGTTAACTTTGGTGAAGTGCTTTCGCGCAAGATTGTGGGAAAACTCGCCGTACGTCAGTAAGCAGCTCAGCAAAATAGGCAATGCCTTCGCAACTGCGTTCGCGAATGCTGAGAAGACCACATTTCAGCAGTTACTCGCAGCAAATCCGCGAGATCTGGAAAGGGTAAGTTAGTACTGCGCCCTACCGGTACTGCTACACAATAGTGTCGTAGATAATTAATCGCAAGCCTCCGATGGGTAACGTAATACAGCAGCAAATTGAACACTTACCCCAGTACTCTCTAATCCTCACGAAGGAAGACAGTCACACTCATCTTTCGGTACACTTGAAGATTACCCTGGAAAACGCCCCCATTCTCCACGACGAATGTACCGTGCCTCAAGACAGCGTTATGACTTTACTAATTGGCGATTCCAACAACGATATCGTACTATTGAAACCCTTCAAGTAAGTATACAGTTAACTGCGCATGCGCACTGCAACTCTCGATCCATACAGACACAGCGAGTTTATCGAAACTCCGTCATTCGAAACGACTTTCGACTTTCCTAAAACCTACACCCAAGAAATAATGGCGCACTTCATCAGTGAAGATTGGGGTACGTTCAATCTCTTTTAACAGTAAAATAAGCTCAATAATTATTTCAGTCGGTATCGATTGCCAAACTCGTTTGGCTCTATCCGCCAATGTAACTCCTCCGAAGAACGCTACAGCCCCGAAAAAACCCGCACAGGTATAGATATCAGTTGGTTCGTGTTTGCTTATGACACTATTTCGCAGACACCAAAAAAGGTTGCGAAGCAAACCAAGCGAGCTTCTCACGTTCAGATGCTGGTCGACTCCTACTTCAAAAAGTCGAAAAATTGCAACAAGAAAAGCAATTCAAACGTAAGTATATCATCTTTGCAAGGATAATTCACAGAGGTACACGTACCTACTGTACAGATAACTGAGGGTAGACGGATATGGAAGGTTATTCAAATTTTAATCTTGGTTCAGTGCACGTCAGGTGAGTAAGATGGTGGAGTTTCCTTTGGCCTTTCTCTTCCATAATTTTGAGTAGTAAGCCAAAACACCTTCTTCCTCTACCTTACCAAAGTAAAGTGGTGACTATGAACATAACCAGGAACCGTAAAGCAGAGAGACATTCGTGTATAAATAGCCAGTCTACAGATTTTTCTTTTCTACGTTAGTTTGGAAGTTGGCTTGCGAAACATCCCCAATCTGTCTGTCTGTCTACTATTTTTATTTTTAAGCTACTTTTTATTTGAACCAAATAGTAAATGATATCAGACAATCTGCAAAATGATCTTTTTCAGTACCTACAAAGTTCTAAAAACCTTCTGAATATATCCATAAACTTGACTAATTTTCTACTAAGTAATTTTAGGTCAAAGGGTTATTGACCTCCCAAGTTTTCTTACAGGTGTAATATATTTCATTTTGTTATAGATTGGAGTATTCTTTTTTTTTCATAAACTTTTTTTTGGGGTGTCAAATTACAAATTTTTGCAAACGGCGACACAAGTTTTTTTTTTCATTTTTTTTACAATTCGTCTTTGAGGAAGGGCAATTATTTTTAAATTTCAGGTAATGAAAAAGAACGTTATGCCCTTGGAAGTGTTTGCTACCCGCAAAGATCATACTACACTAGATACGACAACGCTGTATAAATTGTATACTCCCATAATTCGTTCATTGTGACGTATCTGCAGGGGCTATGTTTTTATTACAATAGTACAAACCACCTGGCGGGGTACGAAGACGCGCGAAATTGTAAAGCGCAGATATTTTTAAAACAAAGGACTATTGTATGGGATGTTGGTGTCATTCGCAAGCTGCGACCTTGTGTGGGTGTTAGTTGTGAACTTGTGAAGCAATTTTTTATCTCGTTACATTCCGTATATCCACATCTTGTTTTTAATTAAATTTTTTGAATTTCTAATAGTGTATTAGTCCTATATATTTTGATAGTACAATAATTGTAAACAGGGTGAGTATTTTAAGCATTAGGATCTTGGAAACAGTAAGACATAGAGATTCGGTTAAATGAGGAAAGAGTTGTCATTTTAACAACTTATTCAAGATATGCTTTTGTTTTTTGAAAAAAATCCAGTTTACTAGATATTGAGCGAAAAACAGATTTAGTGATTTTTCTTTTAAATGTAGAATGGTTAATATTAGAAATACCAAAATATGTAAAGAACAAAAATCGTACATTTTTTCCGCTTAATAAGGTACATTTATGAATTTTCATTCTTCTTTTAATAATTTTCGAGTTATAACGCAAACTTCCATTTTTTTAAATGGCAACCATAGCTGGCTGTGACATTTTTAAAAAGTGCAGTTTTTTCTGTTTACGATGATATAACGTTCATTGTACTTGCTGACAAATAAACATGATACCTACAAATGAAAAATCTAAAATTGAAAGATCTGGCGATCTTGGTGACCAAAGGGCCGACCCGTTCCTACCTACGCATGTCTTTGGAAATAGTTGGTTTATGTGCTCTCGTACTTGCAGTTGGTTGTGCGGTGGGGCACCGTTGTGGTGAAACCAGCGTAAATTACGTGGTGTTTCCAAATCTAACCCATCCTACATATCTTGAAATACGTTTGGTAGCAAATAAAGATAACGTTGGCGTGTCAAATTTTCATCGTAAATTAGAGGTCCAAGAATTCGTGATCCAATAATTCCGCACCAAACATTAAATCCAAGTTTTTTTAGGTCTTCAACAATAAACAGCAGTATTTTGATTATTTATTGTTTTCCATAGCATGATATGATCTACTTTTAATAGTATATTGAATATAATTGTTCATGTATCTTTCATAGTGAATTTTCGAAAATTACCTTTAAATATGTTAAATGTGCAACAGTTACGCTATTACCTATTTCACTAGACGTTGTTTTCCATGGCAAACTCTGTTTATTTACCTCTCAATAATACGAAAATTTCTGCAGCGCGTTTATTTATTAAAGTATGTTTAGCAAGCCTTATATCGTTATAAAGAAAAAAATTTGTCCATTTTAAAAATGTCAGCCAACTATGACGATCATTACAAAAATTAGAGTTTGTATTATAACTCAAAAATTGTAAAATATCGAAGGAAATTAGTAGGTATTTCATAATGTTAAGCATTAAAATGTCTAAAACTTTTATTCGTGTCATTTTGCTGTATTTCTAAAAATAACTATTCTACAACACTTAAATGAAAAATCACTAAATCTGTTTTTCGCTCATATCTAGTAAATTGTGATTTTTTTCAAAAAACAAAGGCATATGTTAAATAAGCTCTTAAAACGACAACTCTTTCCTCATTTAACGGACTCTGTATGTCTTATGGTTTTTGAGATGATGCCAATGCTTAAAATGAAAAAAAAAACTCACCCTGTGTATTAATAATAGTTTACAAAAAACCATTAAGTGATTCCTCAAATTTACAATGGGGCAGAAAGACAGAGACAGATGTTAATACAATTTGTTGGGGTTCAAATGATCTTGCTCCTTAATTATAGAGAAATTCCGATTTTCAACTCGCAAAATTTGAAATCAAACTCATGTTTTTAACAGTTTTAAGTTCAATACTTATAAAGGTACAATTTGTTATGAATTTTATGAAGTTATTCATTGTCCTTTTAACCCTCGCGTAACCAAGACACCCTGACGTATTAAAAATAAACCCATAAAAAGCGTTTAAAAAAGCGTCAGAGCACCTCGGTGTGACCCCACGGAGTCATTGGATTTGACCCATTTTCAATTGGCTTGTTACATGTGGTATATTTGTTAACCGTGCAAAGTTTCAACCGAATAGGTTCAAGCGTTTGGCAAGGACAGAGAAGCGTGACCCCACGGGGTCATTGGATTTGACCCAATTTCAATAGGCTTATTACATGTGGCATATATGCCAACTGTGCAAAGTTTGAACTAAATAGGTTCAAGACATTGGCAGAGACAGAGAGGCGTGACCCCAAGGGGTCATTGGATTTGACCCATTTTCAATAGGCTTATTACTTGCGACATATAGGTCAACTGTGCAAAGTTTGAACCAAATCGGTCCAAGCGTTTGACAGTTATCGTTTTCACGGACAGACGAACAGACGGACACCATCGACTCCCCTATAAAGCTTGCATCGCTTTGCTCTGCTGCTTTATAAAGTCAATCCCCCCCATTTTGATATGTCGGAAGGGAGAAAGGAGGTAAAAAACAGTTCCTTTCGTTGAGACCTTTAGTTATAGAATACCTTGAAAGATAAAATCAATAATCCCCCCCCCCCCTCCAGCCTGATTTCAAAAAAGAATCTCGGAGGTGTTTGTATTATTATTATTATTATTAAACCAACTACGTTCAATGAGATCGATTTCAGCAAATTCCGACTCACTTTACCTTGACACAATTTTATTACGTAGGAGACTAAGCGGGATCTCGTTTACCTAATCACAAAATGTTTAATTATAACAAATCTAAATTAGATAAATGTACGGTTGCTGTAAATATGCCTGAGCATAATATAGGTATTTAAAGATTAGGTAAAGTATCGTATGTACCTGAAACTAAAACTTTTACAAAATTATGCTAAGAAAAAAGACTTTTGCAAATATTCAGTTCATCCGAAAAAATTGGAAAATGTATTGGTTGGCGTTGGTTAAAAAAATACAAAGGGAAAGTGTAAATCCTCACAAATTACGTTTTTCTCAAACCAACTGAATAAGACGCTATTTTGTGACAGTGTTCGGTAGGTACGTAAAATTGACGTTTTGCGGATTAATCGCTTTCACCATGGCAACTGTACAAAAAGTGGATACTTTTGGTCCTAGTACCAAAAAGAAATTGACCTTGAAAGTTGGCCAATTCAAAAATTACAATCACGGAGATAATATGTCACATTGACATCGTTTTACATTGCAGGTTGTAAGATATTTCTATACATACAAATCAAATATTTTTGCATATTCAATGCAAATAATGATGTTACCTATACGTATGTACATGTATTGAAAATGATTTACGCTCGCTATTTTTATTTAAACCATGTGTAACGTAATTTACATATTCGATGAACGTATAATTTTAATACGTATACAACCCGCCGTCGCGCGTAACGCCATCTACTTCAGACCCACTGCACTATTATCTGTCATTTTGAATTCAAAATTTGAAAAAGTTAATTGCAATTAATTTTAATTAAAAAACTGTATGGTAAGTTTTTTATTTCAATACAAAATATAACAATATTAATTGTGTATACAATAGAAATGACTGAAACTGATAGCGACATGCATTGCACTCCGCCAGAGATTTTAGAAACGACAGAACATGCTACCTCAAGATTTGCGCCCTACAAAGTCGCGAGAGGTGAGAAGTAAGAAGTAAGAACGAATAGGTTATAAGTTAACCTAAAAACTAGAGTGGCATGACACGTGAGGACAAAAAAGCAGAAGTTCTTATACTAGTAGTGAAACTGTGACTGAATCTAAATTCAAATATAATTTGAAGTAAAGGGAGTTGGAGAAAAGATTTTATGTTTTATTCGTACAAAAAATGCGTTTTCGGGACTCGGACTATCTTCCTTGTCCCGAAAACTGACAATTTTTGTACTAATGAAACAAATAACTATTTTCATTTTAAGGTCCTGTCTGTTACAGAACCTATCCTTTCCTGAATGACGCCCACGTATACACATGTGATTTTATCATATGAACGTGAGGAATGTTCAGTAGGTCATATTTACGTGTCTCGTCTTTAGACAATATAACCATTCTTTGTACTTATGATATGATTCGAACTCGTACGAAGACGGCTTCGGATGAATCAGTTAGGTTCTTAACTTCGAAAGCCCCCTATAATATTTTTATGGAACTACTTAAACACAAAACAACTCTTGCATTTACGCTGGCTATCTAGTGTAGTATGATCTTTGCTACCCGTTAATCCTTTTAATGAAACCCAGGCAAACCATATTGACAACAAATTAAAACCATTGTAAATAATAATAATAATAATACATGAATCCCTATATTCATTAAACAAAAAAATGAAATAATTATTTGCCTCGTGTAACATTACAATGACTTGTCCAAACCAAACGGCACACTATCTATGTTAGTAGGCTATATTGCCACTTCACGTGACAATATTGTTTGTGAAGTATGTGGCTTTCTCCACAAGCATCGTGATCGTACTTCTTTCATTGTAATTAATTCTGTAAAACCCATTGCTTCACTGGATCGCAGCTATATTGATGTCGAGACCTTAACGCCATCTATCCGAACTAAGCTGCCTACTATGGATGTGTTGAGACTTGAATTTTACCCAATCACAAACCTGATTTTTTGACTCTTTGAATGACACCAACATCATTATATGTTTTGGCACAAACAACGCAAAGAGACCATTTACCTATCTAAATAATATTCTTCCCTAGTTCAATATAAGCTACTGTGTTGATGTTTAAGGGTTCTGCTCTTTCTCAGAGTAACACTAGTAAAACTAGTACACCAAGCGCTCAACTTGAGAAGCAAAGAAATGATAACCCAGTACCCTCTCCTGCCACAACCCTTTCCATTGCCGAACCCGGTGATCAGACGAGTTCAATATTTGACGATGCCAAGATTAAGTTTGCAACTCAGACGACCGTGCGAGAGATAGTCGAAGAATCAAATAAGGAATTCATGCAACAAACCAGGAAGTGGTCCTCGGTGCCGTCTTACACGGACACTATTCAGACCAAGCGATCAAAGCCGCCTTCATCAAGATACGCAAATAAGTTTTTCGATTTTGATCAAATTGGTGATTCGGTAAGTAACTAGGAATTATTGCGATCCTACTTATTTACCATTACAGAATGACAATCTGTACTCTCTTAAAAAGCAATATGGGCACGGAACACCAAAACAGATCGAGCACGCGCTTCCCGATTCTTCCTCGTCACGTCCGGCGGAATTCAAAACTGAACGTTTTTCGCAAGACAGCATAGAGGATTATATGAAAAACCTACCGATGGACTTTCCCGAACCGTCGAGTGATCCCGTAGACGCCCCTTTGCCGAAGAGTATCTCGTGGCGGTCACCATTGGTGATATCCCCGGTAGTTAAACATCCCTCCATTTATGATAGTGAAATAGGACAGAGTCGCGGAGAGAATGGTAATCGGCCGTTTGTTGCGGACTCGTCAGGTGGGCTTAGGTACGTAATTCGGACTGGGTTTGGTTAGCTATAAGGGAATTGAGTTCGAATGGCAGGTAAAAATAGCTATTTCTGTGTAAGGGTTCTTAGGAGAGTAGCAATTGCGTCATTAGAATTTTGGTAGACAGGTTTTTACGGATATCAGTAGAGTAGCGCAGGTGCTCGTTATCTGACGGTGATCTTGGAAGGTAGGTCAAGGTGAAAATGTGTTTATTGTTCCGTTCTAAATAAAAGCTTTATTGACAAACAGACCCGTGAACAGCGACCAACCTTTGGACTTTGAGCGGTGAGCAAATTTTGGACTCTGCATACGCTATCCATGACATAATTAATATTCCTTTATATCCTCCTATATACCCGTTGATCGATAGCTCGAACTACTCCAGTACCGCATAAGCAACTCTTGACGTAATTCGCAAGGTCCCCACCAGGAAGCGAGCGACTATTATTCATCACTTTGGCCTACCTTTTAGGGGCAGGTCCGAGGTCAATGACCTTAATAAGATGAATGGTTATGAAAAGAACAAAAAAAATGATATACAAAAATGAATGACAATTTTTTCGGTTTTTAGGGAAAACGGTAATGTGAAGAGAATGATTTCATGCTCGCCCGCAATTTCGGATTGTGGAAGTTTGTTTTCACAACCGCAACCACGACCAACACTAAAGACTAATAACCAAAGTAAGGGATTTCCACTGTCAGATAGGGATTACCAGTTGCATATGACACAAAAAGAATCGCAAGCAAATTTATCGCGATCGTGCAACGGTTGGGAAGATATAATCTCTTCGTCGTTATTGGAATCACTTCAAGGCAACTCCAAGAAGGTTACATCGACAACGCCGAAAAGAACCACAGCCAAACGCAGTGTACCCGAGTATTACAGTGGTACAGCGACCAGAGGCACATGCTCCACGAAAACGCAAACAAGCGCTACGACTACCACAACTAACGCGGGCACGCAAACAAACCACTCGCTCGAAATTGACAATCACGACAGTCAACCTGACCTTACAGTCAAAGCACCGTCGATTAATTCCACCATTTCAAGCGTGCTCGGCGACATCGAATCTCAACGGCAAAGCCCGAACAGGTCGCTGTACTCGGATAAAAGCGAAGTATTTAATAACAATTTAATCGCGTATAACTCCGCCCACAATCCCCCTCGACATCCCGTCAAAGAGGTGACAAATCTCCCGCCTTTCTTTGAATTGCCGAAGCGCGACATATTCGATAACGGCCGGTGCTATCCGTTAAATTTACAACCGATACCCGAGCTGGTCTGTCGCACCCAACCCGGCTTGCGGCCGTCGAAGAGGCGCAGTTTTACAATACCCAACCAGAACATCTTCGACGACCTGCCGATGCATAATCACAGGTTCGTGGATTTGCAGGAAGCGGGACCGAGCGGCATGAATTGTCAGGGTTACCCACCCTTTCCTCCTCCTACCTACAGTTACCCGTACACGAATCCTGGTTGGCATCAACTATTCCCGCCCATACCTACCAAATACAGCTCATTCAATATGTATAACAATTCCAAGCAGTATATGTTACAACAATATCTCAATCCTTTTTATGACAACATGCAAGCCACCCACTATGGGGAACATAACGGACTTGGCCGGTTCGAAGATAGTGACAGTGATTAAAATGTTTCATGTCAAGAGCTATTAATTTATTATTCAGTTAGTTTTGTTAAGCATAAAATGTTCATTTTATTATTTTGTTACAGTTTCTTAATATAGGTATAATTGTGTTAGCTAAAAGTTATTAAATCATCCAAGCGAATTTCTCATTTTTCTCTCTCTAGTTACAGTTTAAATATTTTTCTTCGAAATTTGTTTAAATACCTGTGTTAAGTTTACCTTCAAGACCACATAAAGGCATAATATTAATCGTTATGTGCACGTAATATAAAGGTCTCGTCTGGTCAGATGTTTTGTAAAGGCGTTATCTGACAAGTTAATTGGGTTTATTTACTAACAACGCCACGTGCGAGATAATGAAGCGGTGTTTCCAGTTTCACGGAGGCGGCTGTCATGCCGTGATGTTGTTTGCAAGTTCATTAAAAGAAGCGTACGCCAATGTTGCGCTAAATTTATTACGAGTAAGTTTTTGCCGATTACGTTTGAAACCACATACGGTTCCGGGTTCCGTAGTTAAAAGGACGTGATGTTGGACCTCTACAGATAGGCAACACATCTTTCCACGAAAGAAATTTCAAAATACCATTCTGCGCAGACGTCAATTAGTATCGTTTTGGGTGCTTTTCATAGTTTAGTGGTGTTCGATATATTTTTTCCAAGCGATATCAAGGTAGTACTCGTTTTATTTAATCGGGCTTGATTTTTAAGCGGATAATTATATTTTTACACGAAAGTGTTGTTGCAACGGAAAAAAGTAGAGATCAAAAGCTAAAGCTGTCGCGATTTTATCATGTGCTTTTGATATCGAGAGTTTTTTTCCAGGAAACAACAAAATTTGAGTGAATTAAAAATAAAATTATCCTGATTTAAAACCAAGATAGAGTGTATTTTAGGGAGATTAATAAAAGACAGTAAATTTTACAACCACTATATATTTTACGCATTCCTACGCGCATTTTTATTGCTGATAAAAAGCTACCTAGCGTTTAATTAGATAAAAAATCATCTGATTGGTTAGAATTTGAAACCATCACCAAGCTCATTGGTTGTATATTAATAGAGTGTATTAATCTATTTTTTTCACTACTAGCGTCTGATGACATGATTATTAACCTTTTTTCCACTTGTAAAGTAGGCTTTCTCGGCATTTGTTCAAAGTAGTTAATAATGTGGTGTGGACATTATTAACTAGTAGTCAATAATGAGATCTGTCACGCTGTCACTTTTAGAAAACACAACCCGAAATTTCGCTCAATAAACGTTTGGACAAGTTCTCTAAAATGAATAATTGCCACCATCAGCCATTTCCAGAGAAATTACATACCTAAAATTATCACATTTTGAAAAAATTCGAACGAAATTACTCTTTGAAAATATCTCAAAGACAGAACAAAATACGGCCTGTTTGACTTGTAATTCTACGTACTTGAATGACATGTTAAATTAATAAACAAAAAATTCTGTCAACCGTTCACTTTCTTATCAATATAATATGTTAATTTAGAGGACTTCAAGTGCTAGTAGTGAAAAAAATAGTATATATACCATGGTAGAGAAGTCTATTATTGCCTTCGCGCCTCGAGATATAATCTTGGTGCTCAGGCAATAATACTGGACTTCTCTACCTTGATATATAATGTACTATTATTTTTCATTATATTTGTCTATTATAATTATGTCAATTATATCTGTCATATGTGATATATAAAGTGGTCTATTACGCCCAAGGGCATAATGGATTGTCATCTCATTTCTCATTATGCCCTCAAATGGCCTGTCAAATTGATTGATGGAGTCATATTATGTAATAAAAAAGATGCAACTTGATTCGTATGAAGCACTTTAACAAGTCGGTGTCCCGTTTTTGATAAAGTGATGGTAATTAAAAATCTTGTAACCATCATGATTATTGGTTAACCTCATCCAACTACTCATTGTATAAAACAAAAGTTAGTGTACAGGTAGATATTTATACGTTGTTTTACTTCCATTTCATATACGAGGAGGACTACTATTAGATTGCAACCTTTTGTTGTTAACTCTGACATTTTGATGAAGCATTTGCCATTGAAATTGAAAATTGCTGTGAAAAGGATGTAAAATTGGAACGGGGCCATTTCTTTTCTACCTTATCTGTACACTTGCACATTTAAATTCTTGACAGTCTCTTGGTGTGTTAACAGACCTCCCTTAAAAGGGAATTGCATAGTCATAATGCAAACTTTTGACATCTTTGGTAGTTTTCTTAAAATAATACAACTTTACCCACTGTGGAACAAAATTAAGACAAACATAACCTGAAAATAGTATATATTCATGTTAAACTAATCTTAAATGTAGTCCCTTTAGAAACCAGGGTCGTTTTACCTGCATTTTCCTGTGACATCACAGTTACACTAACTGATTTAAGATAAGATACGTCTCGCATTCCACCTAATATTAAATACACTCTGAATTTGGTTTAATTTGCTATCAATGTAATTGGTATTCCTATTTTGAATTATTTCAGATTGATTAGCGATTTCCATTCTTTGTGTTCGAATCTGCCCTTTTTGAGTGTTATTAACTTTTTTGACCGTGCAGAGATAGATGACGAAGTGATAAAGATACCGTATCCAGGACCTTGAGATACCTTCTGGACTGGAGAAGGTCCGGTTAATTAACAATGTATTTCATGTACCTATACCATTTTAACTCGCGACACAAGATGATCCATGAATCATTGTGGTTTCATAAATTTACGTATGCTATGAACATTAGTCGATCGATAGATAGTCAGTAGGTAAGTACCTACTAATTTTTGCAGTCACTGGCAGAATAAACGACCCTTGAATGCAATTAGTTTTAAGGTTCCCCCTTAACCATGCGATCAAAAATGAGTTGCTGTCGAGTGACCTTTGGAATTTTTGTTTACATGGGAAATCGTACTTAACTTAAACTTCCAAAGGCGACTCGACAGCAAGTCATTTTTGATCGCCCGTTAGCACATGGACTGCTATTAGCCCTATGCTTTCAATACAAAATGGATGGTCACGGATAGAGGGCACTGTAGTCGTGGGTATGTGAATCTCAGGGTAAACTAAAGTCGTGTAAACACCACTCAGATCGCGTAAAGAGTAGCTTTTATAGTAACTGCGTAGTACGGGAAGCTTTAAATACTCTTGATTATCTTCTATCCGCCCACAAATAAGAATAGGTTTGCTTTTTTGGCATATCTAGGCGATTAATTAAGTGACGTTTGTTAATTTATAGGTTGACAGTCTCAAATCGTGTCTAAGCGGACAACTTCGGACAGGCTCGTTTACCCTGACACTCACATATCCAGGCGATGTCCTTGACCATATTTTAGTTACAATTAGCAGTCCATGTACTATATGGTCTAAGGGTTCCCCCCAACTGTTGTATACTTACTAATTTTTTATAGGAGAAAAAATTGCAAATATTAATAAAAGTGACATTTATTAGATTCTGAGAATACAAAAAATAATGTAATCCTAGAAAATAAACGTTGAAATAGATAATAAATTAAATAATTTTAATAAAAATAAATTAACATTCCGTAATTTAACGGGGCGAAGTTCAGTTTTGTGGTGAGACAGCCCTGAGAGCTGCTCTACCACTTAACTAAGACATTTTTGAATTATAACAAAATACAAAAATACGCAAATAAAATGTTTTGATTAGGCTTTAACGTTCACTAAGACTAAAATGTATATATCTATCAGAAGAAGGAACTTTCTTTAAAATGTTATGGTTCAGTTTTTCCACCATGAGTGCTACGGTTGGTTGCGCATTAGATCATTTTCGTACGACATACGTCCGATGTCAGTTTATGACATGTTTAACTTTGCTTACGTACCTACCTTACTATGGAATAACAGTCTTAATTTAGTAGGTGCTCTTCGGTATTTTGTTGGAATTCCATAAAAAGTCTCGTCTTAAAGGCTATAAAAGAGAAAATGTTAATAAATCAAACAAAACAAAATAAACAATAACTTCAACTTATTGTTAACTTGTAAAAAAATAAATAAATGAGAAGGTACATTGAGAGGTGCCACCCTGTATATACAACTTCTGACGCTACATACATTTTTGAGAGTTGGCAACCATGCAATTTCTAGGTGGGAAATAAAGTCACTAAATATAGAAAGTACCGCAATCCATTGGGCTCGTGTGTTAGAGAGAGAACGCATGATTTTTTCCCAAAAATGGCGGAAGTTACCAGATTCTAGTAACTTTAATGTTAGGGATTGTTCCACCTGTTTGGAGATATCTGTATATATTTTTATAAAACATGACAGTACTATGAAGTTAGGTTACAAAAAATTACAGCTATTCAGATTTTATTTGTCAATTTTTTAAAGTTGGCAGTAAATTTGCCCAAAAATGGTGGATGATTGCGGTACTTTCTATATCTAGTGACTTTAGTGAGAAAAAGCTGCCTGCGCCATCTAGAAAGCACGAACGGGGGTTACGTTTGTCTTGAATGGCGGTCGTGAAAGCGTCGCTCCATAAATGTTTGTTGTTATTTTGTATTTAATGCAGGTAGTAATTTTTGCATTTCTTTATACCGTATTTGTGTTTTGTATGCCGTATTTTATATTTTTTGTGTTTAAATCTTTGTTTTTGAAATTTACTTGGTTTAACCGCAATGTGATACCGTTATGCTTTTGTTTGTAATTGTTTACATTTTTGGTGTAATGCTTGCTTAATTTATGTTTATTGATGTTGATTACTTGGTCTTGTCCCTGAAGTAACATTCATATAAGTTTTGATAATTTTATTTTAATATGTGGAAATTACCGATTCGTTTGATGTATGTACTGACTTGTTGTTTGTAACTAACAATTTTCTCCGTGAATAAAGCAGTCACGGGGGTGGTAAAAACTGTAGTCAAAATTAAGCTACGACACCTAATTCCGTGATTGTCTTCGACATTCAACTGTAGGCTCGAAACCCCGAACGAGGGACGACGTTACCTATTTTGCGGGGGCGAGATTACGCTAATCAAAGCTCTTCAGTTTAGAATCTATGTGCGATAAATGAGTAGCGATTCAATAATTTTCACATATCTTGTTTTTAATTAAATTTGCCTACAAGGCCATGTAATTTTCCATCTTGCTTTTAACAAAAGGACTTTATTGCACCAAAGATGAGTCACATCCTGTGTATTTCACCCTTTCTTAGAATCTTGGTACCTGCTTACCTGACCCATAATTCCCAAAACTTGTTTTTAACCTCTATGTTACCTCTTGAAGTTTACCTGCTACTTTTTGCGATGTTATAATTTTATGTTACGCATTCACATCATTACAAACAATTAATTTTACAACATAATTTGATATTAATTTGACGGCTGGTTTTTTTATTGGTCTTGGTCTTTTTTTCCCAGCCTATTTCTATTTTTATTCCGTGAACTACCAAATGATAGTAGTAATTTATTTTGGACTTAAATTTCCGAGCTTTTACAATCATAATAATTACGATCATTATAAAACAAACTTTTCACAATTTCATTGTTTTATTTAACGTTCCTTCCCTACTGTGCTTAAGGTCCTAGCGTTGTTTACAACTAACGTAAGGGGGCCTTGCCTTAGACGTTTTATCACGTGCCACTTTTCAAATTTAAGCGGGAGCTTGTTTAATTTTGGAGGGAATCTTCATTTGGGTGGCCATTTTTAAACGTTACCGGGTTAAATTTACTTCCGTGTTCTTGTAGTGTGAAGTACACTACAACATTCTCTTGAAATATGAAGATTTGGTCTGTTATAGACTCTTGTTTTTTGAAAATGTTGCTGGAGAGATGGACAGCCCGCATTGGTTTGGACAAAGTACCGAAACACCATTGACACTGTTATACTTACTTGGGGGCCGCGTCGATCGAACTCCATACGGTGGTCCATACCATCATCATTTTATCCGGTGTGATCCTATGTCGCGATGCATCGTAGTATTCGTAGTCATATGTTTTCTGGGCGTTGATATTGAATTTTGGCCGTTGAATATGTCCATCATAACTGCAAATGAAACAGTGTCCACATTAAGTTATTAACTTTGTTCGCAACGTGTCAGCCAATAAGGCTGTTTCTGCGAACCCACTAAGATACACTTTAGATATCCAAACTTGGATTCGAACCACAGACACTAATGATTGTAAGTATACGGTAGGTACACACTGAATAGGACCAGAATACTTCCATTAGTTTATGCGGCATTTTTATATATTTTTTTACCGTATTTTCTAATTGAAATGTATTAACTCGTGTCTTTTTAGCACATTTTCCAACAAAGTTGGGTGCGCTATTGCAGCCACTTTCTCTTTCTGGCCGTAACTACTCCCACAGTTTTCAAGATAATTAATTTGTTCTTTTTGCATTCGGTAACGTATAGGTGCGGCACATGAGCTTAGGAAAATCTTGACGATGAAACTGCGCAATGTCAACTTTCTTATTTATTTATGTATTTTGTTGAAATTTTAACCACAGATACTTCTAGTAAAGGCAAACATATCGCATATTGTAAACATCAGATTAATGTGCAGGATGCGCAATATCAACTGCCTTATTTATCGAGATATCTTTTTGAAATTTTAATCACAGATTCTTCTGCTGTTAAAGGCAAATCTAAACCTCTCGCCAAGATACTCTACCTATAGAAAATAAACCAAAACAGAAAATGCGGTAATAAAGAAGTGAAAACTGCTAATTCTAGGTTTAATCGTGGTACCAAAATATTATTACAACTTAGCCAAAATGGCACTTACGATTGTAGTCCTTGAAACTGTTCGGATTTTTTATACATCGTTGCCAATATTATCGAACATATTAGTGTCGGAATGAAAAAAAGTAAGCACCAAAATAAGCTGAACCAATACCCGTTCTGAAAACAAGCGCCATTAGAGCTCTTCAACGCGCAAATCGCACTGTTAATACCAAAGGAAGCAAGATCTTGTCGCAAGTGGCAATTAAGGTTGAATTTAATCCCGCGCTCAATGGACCGCACTGTCCGACTTTTTCTTTTGTATTGTCGATGACCCTGTACAAATAGCTTCTTATCAGTTTTTCAATTTCGAGCACGAAATTGCGAGCAATCTAAAAACGAAGATTTGTAAATGATGGTAATGATTATGGCGGTTAAGGATCACCTTTGTCAAAGCGGTTACTCCCTTGTTTTGAAGATAGTCTTCTGCTGCCTTTACCTCATCAATTAAACTGTTTATGGCCATCTCAAAGGATTCTTTTCCGAACTTAAGGCCCTCCATTAAATTTTTTGCTACCACCTATAAAAAATACAATATAGTGCCTAGATATCAGCTATTTAAGAGGGGAACATTTTATGTAGTCTACCTAGATATGAAAGAATAGTTATTTACATAAAAGTCAGGAAAATAACACATTACCTACCTACTGGCGAGGAAATATTGAAGTACGAGGCCCCTTTGGACTTCCGAGTGAAGCAATGTCATTTTACTGACGAGTTTTGTATTAAATTTAACCCGAAATCGTATTTTAATATAAAATTTTAACTTTTAAATAGAAGTATTAGAATCGTCGGTAAGTCTTTGAAATTGACTATTATCAAGGAGTATATACGTTATATACTCTTTGCTATTACAAAAATTTAAAGTGTTTTGAATATAAGCTTCCGGGTGAATCGATATCATGGATGTTTATGATTTTTAATTCAATATTATTTTCCACTCGAAATGGAGGGTTCATTGCGTCCATAGCAGCCGTCTTAATTTTGACATAAAGTTAACGTTAATTAAAGGAGACTTTTGCGTGATTATGAAACTGGCCCTTTGGGGGCTGTTCTGTTGAAATTATTTAAAAAATCTGTTTTTCAGGCTCTGTGTGTGGCGCCAGATATGATTCGTATGGTATCTGACATTGTGTTACAATATGTGTATGCTCCATCGACATATAGAAATGGACTGCGCGTCCCAATGCTAAGCGTAGGTACTGGAAGTGAGCGAGAGGGGAATACTAAAGAGGCAAGCGCTCTCTCTCTATCGCGATTGTGCGTTGGTCTTACTGCCACAGCAATGTTGATTGTATGCGAGAAGCGCGATAGAAAGAGCGCTTGCCTCTTAGCATTCCCTTCTCGCTCACTTGCGGTATCCCCGCTTAGCACTGACGAAATGGTCAAACTTGTCGAAGTCTCGAAGGTCGTATGATGAAAAACCTTTCTCTACTCGAGATACTATATCCGATCAAAAATGAGTTGCTGTCGAGTCATCTTTGGAATTTTTGTTTACATGGGAAATCGTACTTAACTTGAACTTCCGACGGCGATTCGACAGCCAATCATATTTGATCGCTCGTTAGAAGATGTGTATGAACCTATGAACCCACAATTGGCTCTTCTTTTGAAGTTTCTTGTGGAAAAGTACAAAAAGCAAAAGGTCGTCTGCTTCCATCGCCATTCGCGATGCATTGGAAGTGACAGCTATCTCTTCACTCTGCGTCGCTTTAAACACGCCTCGTGAGAAGGGGATCTTAGGGTACGCAATCGGGCTTTGGATTACAAGGTCGCGTGTTCGAACCTGAGTACGTGTGCTTTTTTTTCCTGGCCGCTCATTAAATTTACGCGACAATTTTTTTTAATTAATTATTTTAATTAAAAGGAATGGCGACAGTTGTAATGCCACGATGGAGAAGATGCTAGGGAAGGTTTAATTTATGCGAATCGACGTGCGGTTTCGTGATACTTGAAATTTGAAACGGGGGGGGGGGGGGGGGGCTTTAAAGCGCAATCGCGTTTTTTCATTATAGTTTTTTAAGGACACTTCCTGGATAGGCACGTTCAATGGAGAAAATTTAGCTCGAAATATCTATCCAATGCCTCAATCGCCGTCAAAATTCGTAGAACAAACGTCTATGTATCAAATTTCATTTAAATTCTTCCATAACTACAAAAGTTGGCACTGCGCATGCGCAAAACCAAATTTTGAAACTGCCGTTCGATTTTCCTTTATTCCAAATGCCAATGGTTTTGCGCAGGCGCACTGCCAACTTTTTTATCTATGGAACCATTTAAATGAAATTCTTCTTATAAACTGAAATTGAAGTAGCACGTCAAAAATGGATTGCCCATGTGCAACGCTATCTTTCATATTTGTGGCCGGATTTTTACGATTTTAACAGAAGGTGCATCTTACAAATGGGAAATGAACGCAAGTGGAAATGCGCTTTTTGTAAATCGTTTACGATTGTTACTTTTTTGGTGGTGGAGATCTTTTATGCACCCACCGCATATATTCTTGTTTCGTTGAAGTGTCCCACGTGATACAACCAGATTCGTCGCAAGTAATCATTTTAAAAAAAACCGATATCGTGTTTTAAAGCATCAAAATTCGCCATCTTTTTGCCTGTTGAAATGATGAGTGCGGACATGTGATAACTTTCGAGAGAGTTGGCAACTCTGGGGGAAAAACCACAGGCAAAGTCAACTAACTTTCAGATCGAACCTGGGTTGAATCGACGGACGTTTCACGGCATCTTCGAATCTCGATAGGATTAGCACGTTGTGTATACTAGGCGGTTCTTTTATGTGTTGGGACGTGAGACACAATCAGATTAATTAAAAGTTATAGTTTTATGCGTAAGAAAAGACAAAACAAATAAAATATATTACGCACACACAAAAGAATCCAGGAAAAAGATTCTTTGTCGGACTAAATAAACCTGGCATAACACACAAATACAAGACGTCAAGCACAACAAAATGTAAAAGAAATACACAAATAAAAAATGTCAAATCGTACAATTCACAAATCCCTTCAAGAGCTTACGCAACGTCCGGCAACGGGGATAAGATTGAGGAAGCAACATAATTCAACGAATAATCAAACTTTCTAAGGAATATCCTCCAAGGAATGTAGTTAAACAACTCATACAGAGAATTCAATTAGAGGACCCCCTTTCTTGTATATGCTAAGACAAGAGCTGCAGTCCGCACGAGATGAAGGAGCAACATATGCAGCGAAGAATCACACTGCATGCGCGGTACTTCTTCCAGTGAATAGTTAAATCGAAACGAAACTTGTATGTTTGGGTTGAACTAGATACGTAGGAATCCGAATAGCCGACAATAAAAAAATTAATTAAATAACTTTTCGCGCTAATCTGCGTGCGTGTAAATTCCCGGTCCTTCGGCAGCTGCACAGAACGATTGCTGTATATACAGAGCGTTTCGTATGTTTCCCATACCACCAAATGTAAGGTGTATTGCCTAACCATTTGGGTATGTCACCACATACTTGATGAGCAAATTTGGTTTACGATGGATCCGAAGAATGAGTACCTCGAGTGGATAATAAAGAAGTTCCTATACAAGGACGTTAAAAATACCTTAACGTCATTGTTTCTATACATAGATCAGGAGATGAGCTGCAAAGTGTAAAGTTTGTAGATGATTTCATCCTACCAACGCGTTGCGAGAAAGCTGTGGTGGATCGCATGGATGAAAAACTCCAGGAAAACTTGTTGGGTGTGATCGAACCCAAATATACTGTAATATGGGTCGAGGATTTTGATTGGCAAGGTGCTAGTGCATGGAAAACAACTAACGCCATGTTCTGCTGATGAATTTAAACTTATTCCCAACTAAGTTAATAGGGGCCTTTCAAACAAGTTGCCAGATTTTGCCAATCGCGGCGCTAAAGTCACTAAAAATCGATATTTTTCATGAAATTTCAGTCAGCAGATTCGATTGTCATTATAATGGTAACACCCAAGGATGCAGGATTCGATTGTTCATTATAATGGTAACACCCAAGGATGCTATATAATATAAGGATTGCTCGATCCCTATACTTGTAATGCCCGAGTTTAAGTCATATGTGCCGTCACCAACGGACGTGGCTGTCAGAATGTGACAGTTATAATTTGCTAAGTTGTCAACGTTTTTGCAGTTGTTAGATATGAACGCACTTAGTTATCTTTTGTTAGGGGAAGAAGACTATATTACAGTAAATTTTTTTAAAGAAAAGGCGCACTACTCATCCCATTTTTAAAGAGAGATTCCGGTATTTGCGGGATCCCGCAAAATTTTAAATAAATTGGCAAATAAGCTGTTTTGTGCAGTTAACTTCAGTATTAAAATAAATCGCTAATTATCACAATATTGAACAAAAAAGTACCTTCAGCCTAATTTAGAACTCAAAAAAAACCTCACCTGTACATTACAAAAAGGTGAACTTCTAAAGTGCCTAAAAATCATAGTACATTTTTAACGATTTTAACAATAACTTCTCCGTTTATGCGTTTCATTAATAAAGTAAACAGATTCGTCCTCTTGGTCGACAAATTCCTCAGTCTCGCAAATAAAATGGGATCCCGCCCCATTTATGTGCGGGATTAATCCCGCAAAAATGCTAAAACCTCCCGGTATTGCATTCCCTAGTAATAACCAATTGATCATCTTCGGGATTGCTTTTTTATATTTTTCCATAAAAAACAATAACATTAGAAAATGAACGTTTCATACCCACTGTATTTTATAGAAAATTTAATTCTAAACCAATTAATTTCTCTTCATTTTTTCCCTTGGAGTAATAGTTGAAGTCAAATGCGAAAAGAAACGACAGCTTGCCATTTTTTCTTCGTTTTTGTTTATACATATCAATATATTCCGGGAGTTTTCGGCTAGGGGGACTATGATTTTCGGATTCAGGGGATCTTTTTACATATAAGACACTTGATTTCGTTGAGTGAACACCCAGCCCAATCTGCCCAAACTGTAATTCGACTGCACTAAGTACTTATGAATATTGACACAACAAATGCGATCGCGTGGCATTTGACGTCACTTTCATTCGTCCAATAGTGAAGCGTTTCGCAAATTTGAATTTCATTCGCTTATTTTGCACTTTTGAATTAACATTTTTAGCAATTAAAAAACAACTAAATAAGAAACTAATGGTTTAAGTTAAGTATAATGTCAGGACAATAAATATTCGCTGGAGAAATAATCAAGTAAATTTAAACCACATGCATATTCCCTATTACATATGCCCGCGAAGGTTTCTGATGTAGTAAACGTGAGCGAGATGAGGCCGCTAAAACCGCGCATATGTCCTACCAGACTACCATGAGTTAAACGAGACGAAGGCGAGATTGACGGAGACATGGCTAGTCAAAGAATAATTGAACCATTCAGCTGCCTTTGGACTTCATCCTGTGGTGCCAGAGAAGAAAAAGAAAGATTGCAGCACGAGGTTTTGCGTGGATTACAGGCAATTTAGCAACGTATCAGAAAAAGATCATTATCCGTTTCCTCGAATAGATGACACGCTATATACGCTTGCCGGTGCCAAATGGTTTTCCACCTCAGATAAGAAATCGGCCTACTGACAACTTGGTTTTGGATCTTAAACATCGCGAGAAGACCGCTTGGGGTAGCAATTTATCGTCATGCCATTTGGTCTGTGCAACACGCCCGCAACGTTCCGGTCTTGAGGTGCATTTGGTCGACGTAATAGATATTGGTCGAACGTTAGAAGAGCATCTCAAGAAGCTCGAAGACGTATTTAGGAGATTGAGCTGTACGAACCTCCAAGTTAAGCGTAAGCCCGTGGTGCCATTTCTAGAAAGTTCAAAGTGTAAATTTCACGAATAAAAGATGCTCAAATGCAAATGGGCTGATATAAAAATTGTTGGAAAAAAGAGACACAACACCGGCGTTATAAAAATAAATTTAGTTTATTTCCGTGCTCGCATTTGTTGACTGTTCCACAGTGGCAAACACGTGATACTAACTGGTACACTTTCGGGTTTTGAAGGAGCTGTTCATGACTCATGCGTGGTTTTTTATGTAATAAAATCGAATAAATGCCATTCGCTTCAAAATCGCACTAACCAAATAATAAACAAAGTCACACATTGATACGCACGTGGCACGCGCAGCACAATCCACGGCTACACTTGACATCAGAGGAGCTGAAGCAGTTTTCAATTTGACAAGGAGATCTCTTCCAATCTCGGCGAGACATAAAATTCATTTTCACATTTCCATTGTCCAACTTTATACACCACTCAGCAGGTAGCCTGAGCTAAGGGGAGGGTGCGCGTTGGTGGACGCAAGAGTTTTAAATGGGGGGGAGGGCAGTGTTACGAACCTTTTAGAATGTTATCGAGACGTCATAAAGCTCATCGTTTCTATGAAATACGATATGCCATTCGAGAGTGTTCCGTAACGTTCGAGAAGCTTTTTGTTTGCTAGTAGTAGATATTATTAAATTTACGTTACAATATGATGGAGGATTCTCACCATATTCGGCAATCATTCGTATTCTTACAATTTGTACACCACTTCACAACTGCTGAAACTGCTTAACAGTTAAAAATGATGACTAGGTAGATTACATAAAAATGCCCCCTCGTAATTACGAACTTACCTTCGTCTTCTGAGCTGTCGTTATCATTGGAAGGACATACGTCTGTTGATATTCACGTAACTTGCTTGCAGATTTGGTTAATTCGTCTTGGACTCCACTTGGAACAATTCCATTCAATTCGTTCAACTTGCCAGCTAAGAGATCTAAATTGACTGTGGTAATGGTAGTATTAAACTTGTCAATAAACATAATAAACTTGATATTTGCTATACCAGAAGCAATTAGATTTCGTAAATTTTTTTCGGCATCCGCACTCAACAAAGTAATATGTTCAGTATCTACCTGAATCTGCTTGATTAGCTCATTGAGCATCTTGGTAATATCAAATTTATCCAAATATGTGATTATTTCGTCAATGTCAAATAGATTTTGTAATTCAAAGACATTATAGAAGCTTAAATTTTGATGACAGGAACTGAGCACCCTATTGATTTCTATATCGATGCCTATGCCAGCGCTGTCGGTTCCTTTCAGGATGTCGTCAATCAGCTTTGCAATCTGACTGTTATTGGGCTCTCGGAGTGTATCGCAAATTACTCTTTGCCCTGCAATTCCCACAGAAACGTGTATTATAATCGCAACGACTAAAATAATTGCGATGAAAAACATCATCCCAACTCCTCTGGAAAAAAATATATATTACGACTTATTTGCTACAAGAAGATAATGACTCACATCATTAAGAAGCAACTTCCCATAGATTTATCACAACAATTACCACCGTTAGCATCCGGATGCTTGCAAAAAACTCCAAACATCAGTCCAAGTACAATACAAAGTACAACGATGAGCAAAATCAAACAAACAGCAAGCTCGGGATAGTAACGGTACACCGAATATTCATCCAAGTAACCCCCAAACTCCTCCAACGGCTTCTCCACAGAATTCTCCAGCGTCTGCCCGAGATCCCGTAAAACGGAAGTTATATTTGAGCCGCCCGCTACTATCTGTTTTCCGGCCTCATCTACGGACTTTTTCACGTTCTCTATTTGCGTGCCGATTTGACCCTTTATTTCCTTCTGAATTTTCTCCAACTCTCTCTGTCCTTCTAACACATTATTTGTAATTCCGGATTTTAAAATTTTATCCAATTCTTTTATTTGCTCGGTTATTTTCGGCAACTGAAAAATTAATAAATTATCAGAAATGACGATGATTTTTTATCATAATTTTTGTTTTTAATGACCGACCAACTGCTATGAAAAAACTTTGTGTTTTTTCTTTTGTTGAAGAAATATCGATCACGATGCCTTTTGTTTATTTTAAATATAAAGGGTTTTGCTCCCCGTGCAGTGGACGCGCCCAGATAGGGGGACGCTCATCGCAGACCCCTGAATGATGGTAAAGTTACTCGCGTGTTTGGGTGAGGGATATTAGTGGCTCGTTGGGGCTGAAACCCAGACTGGTAGCGACAGAGGCTGTCGCCGCAGACCAAACTCCCAAGTCAAAGTTACCGACCTCCGGGTGGTGACCCCGCTCTGTCGGGTAGGGGCTGGCAGGGAAGCCCTGGGCAGACGGCTCTGCCCAGATAAGTCGGTATTTCCGCACTACTCGTGGGAATTGTATAGGCCCTAAACAAACCCTATTTAAGGACCTGGTAGTGGGCCAAATCCTCTTCGCAAGAAGAATAAGACTGTGGCACAGAAGGCCATGGTGAGGAAGCGCTGGCTCGAGTGTAAAACCTCGGGTCAAGCTGGCCCTGCGCCATAGACTAAGGCTGTGGCTGGGTCGTTGACTTCGGAGGGCACCCCGACGTCAGGGACCGATCGTCTTGGATCGAAGGGAAGCACTCCAGGGTCTGGCTCGGGGCAGCCTGAAGAGAAGACTAGAGGTGCATAGAGTCCCTTAAGTTGCGGGTGCACTACGAAGCCATGAGCAAGTTGCGGAGGAGGCGCTCAGGGTGGCCATTGTTCCGGTGTCGCGCTCGGAGGTGGACATCACTGAGCCTCAGTCGAGGTGCGTTATGGCTGCATTGAATGCAGTCGTTGACGAGAAGGCGGGAAAAGGGAGGGGTGTCTATGGACTGCCCTCTTATTAGGCCCAATGGCGCGTTTAAAAGTTCAGAAGCATACCCCTAGGCATAGAGAAAATTTGGGAAATAATTCTACAGTATAAGTACTAGGTAAGTGTAGTGGAAAAATAACATAACATCTTAAGAAATGGAAGTTGGAATGTTACGCACACTCTTTCCACAGATATACGTAAAGAACGTATATGTGTGCTCTTACCAACTTAGTGAAATATGGAGTAACATAACCTCACATTTCGACGAAATTATGTGAACTTTGTATTAAGATTGTGGAAAATTTAGGGTTTCTCCCGCAACGTTGATAACGCTTAATTAAAGTGCCCTCTAGCCATTTTTATCAATTTCATGATCGTACCTGGGGCACTTAATAACGTTAGAGTATAATTCTCTAGAAATTAAACAGTTATTTGTTTAAAATTCAAACACTTTATAAATCTCATATTAACATAAAAAATGTTTTTGATACTAATTAAATCAATCTGAGCAAATTAGGAGAAAGAAAATCGTATTAACACTTTTTTGTAAAGAGTAAAAAATATTGTATTGAGAGGTTCCACCCTGTATATACAACTTACGACGATACATACATTTTTGAGAGTTGGTAACCATGCAATTTCTAGGTGGGGAAATGCTGCCTGCGCCACCTAGAAAGCACGAATGTGGGTTACGTTGGGCATCTTGCCTTGAATGGCGGTCGTTTGTTGTTATTTTGTGTTATTTAATGCAGGTAGTAATTTTTGCATTTCTTTATATCGCATTTGTGTTTTGTATGCCACATTTTATATTTTTTGTGTGTTTCAAGCTTTGATTTTGAGATTACTTGATTTAACCGCAATGCAGAATGTTAAATACCGTTATGCTATTGTTTGTCATTGTTTACGTTTTTGGTGTAATGCTTGCTTAATTTATGTTTATTGATGTTGATTACTTGGCCTTGCCCCTGAAGTAACATTCATATAAGTTTTGATCATTTTACTTTAATATGTGGAAATACCGATTCGTTTGATGTATGTACTGACTTGTTGTTTGTAACTAACATTTTCTCCGTGAATGAAGCAGTCACGGGGGTGGTAAAAACTGTAGTGAAAATTGAGCTACGACACCTAATTCCGTGATTGTATTCGACATTCAACTGTAGGCTTGAAACCCCGAAACCAGGGACGGGTTACCTATCTTGCAGGAGCGGGATTACGCTAATCAAAGCTCTTCAGTTTAAAATCTATGTGCGATAAATGAGTTACGATTCGTAATTTCCACATATCTTAATTGGGTTTAGTTAAATTTGCCTACAAGGCCAATTTTTCATCTTGCTTTTAACAAAAGAACTTTATTGCACCAAAGATGAGTCACATCCTGTGTATTTCACCCTTTCTTAGAATCTTGGCACCTGCTTACCTGACCCATAATTCCCAAACCTTGTTTTTAACCTATGTTATCTCTTGAAGTCTACATGCTACTTTTTGTGATGTTATAATTTTATGTTACGCATTCACATCATTAAAAACAATTAATTTTACTACACAATTTAATATTAATTTGAAGGCTAGTTTTTTTTATTGGTAAGTTCTCTTTTTTTTCAGCTATTTCTATGAACTTCTATGAACTACCATTTTCAAAGTTTATTTTTGCAATGTAATTTATTTCGACTTGCAATCCTTTACAATCAATAATAATTGCCATCATTATTAGACAAACTTTTCACAATTTCAGTGTTTTATTTTACGTTCCTTCCCTACTGTGCTTCAGGTCATAGCGTTCTTTACAACTAACGAAAGGGGGCCCTGCCTTAGATGTTTTATCACGTGCCACTTTTCATATTTAAGCGGGATCTCGTTTAGTTTTGGAGGGAATAGTCATTCGAGTGGCCAATTTTAAACGTTCCGTGTTCTTGTAGTGTGAAGTTAGCGTAGAACCTGGTGGTCAAGTACACTACAGTATATGTATAGAAACACATTTTGGTTTGAATATAAAATGCTCTTAATTGGTTCGGGAGGGGTGGCGGGGATTTCGAGGGGCCCATAGGGTCAAATTATGTAGATCCGGCCCTGGGGAGGACGCTTCCTTTTTCGTACCAGTGGGGGAACCGAAGATGATAAGGATTCCGCCCAGAAGACTTGAAGGTACCAGTGGGGGAACCGAAGATGATAAGGATTCCGCCCAGAAGACTTGAAGGTGGAAACGCACCAACACAGCGGACGGAGTCGGAGCTTTGAATATAAAATTAGGAAGAAGTCTAAGCCTGTACTTTCGCGTGGGTCTCTGAAAGTACCTTGAGCGATAGATGGAGCCACGAAATGAACGTGAAAAGTACCTTTGGATTTATATGCGCGCTTCCCGAAGGCAGTCACTGCTCTTCCTTCTTACAGAGCGTTTTATGTGTAAGACAAAGATAGCCTGAACTCTCCCACTTACACTCATTGATTTGTTACCGTACTCTTATGTTGATAATGGGCGCGCGTACATAATTGAAAACGCTGCAAATACCAATTTAGACACAGAAAATTTCATAGAACAAAAATTGTAGACAATTAAATTTACTATAAAAAAGTCCGCGACGGCATATATCTATCTTTAATCGTTTAGCCTTACCAACCATTTAAAGTTGTACCTAGTGTCCTCGTTGGTTTCAATAATATCTTTGAATGCTTATCATATATTAATGGTTAAAGATACATATATGCTGTCGCGGACTTTTTTGTAGGAAATTAAATTGTCTACAATTTATGTTTTACGAGTTTTTCTGTCCGAAGTTTCGTTTTCACAGCGTTTTAAAGTAAATGTGGGTACCTTTCGTTTTGTGACTGAATCTAAAATTCAAAGGTTGTGAGCAATTTTATTGTACGTGATAGGGTTTTGTGTGATATTTAAGTTTTATAAGGAGTGTCCTGTGCCTAAACCCCCTAGTTTTTAGGTTATTCAATATTTTTCACAAAACAATAATGAATTACATGTTTATAAACAGGATCGAGTAAGCCGTGATAATAGAAACCAAAAGAATTCCAGTAAGCAAGTGTCACAAGTAAATTATCTGTTGCAATTAATGTGCTCCCTATTTCGTAGTAAAATAAGATTAATTAAAAAGGCGAATTTCGAACTAGTCTTTTTAAAAAATCTTATTTTACTAGGAAATAATGAGTACCTACACTTGCAGCAAACAATTAATTTATGGCACTTGTTTACTATTTGGCATTCTTTGGTTTTTTATTATCACGGTTTACTCCTGTTTATAAACATGTAATTAATTAATGTGTAACTATTTAGTGGAAAATATTGAATAATTTAAAATCTACGGGGTTCAGACACAGGATATCCCTTCTAAGAATTGAAGAGCGCACAACAGACCATCGAATAGAGAAACAAAATAGTGGTAGTTCCATTTGAATAAAAATAGTTATAGCACTTTGAAATCTAGAAATTTTACAATTTTTTTGTAAACACTCTGTATCATTAAATTCAACTTTCTCATTACCAAAGTGTTGCCTTTTATTCAGATTAAAATTATTGATTTCTATTTCTTAACTTTAAAATCAAGGTCGCTACGATTTATCAAAGTGGGGCTGGTTTATAGAGAATTATTCGAAAAAAATTAATAATTTGGACTGCAGAGGTTAAAAAATGACATCGAATTAGCTAAAAATGAACATTCTGTTCCATTTAAAAAAATCAGCTGTGTATTGACACCGTAAACATGAGACACTCTGTACATTCAAAAATAATTTCTGTATACATATGCATAACATTCCATAGTTGACATTTGCACAAAAGATTTTTTGCTATTTTTTTACCAGGTATGAATTAGGAAAGACCGACGCAGTGTTATAGGACCCTGTATAATTGATATAAAACGTAAAAAACGAAGAAAGAATGGGAAAATTTTGTCTTTTTTGCATTTGACTTCAATTATCTCGTTATCTATTGCTCTGAGAGAAAATGAAGAGAAATGAATTTGATTAGAATCGAATTTTCTATAAGATACAGTTGGTATGGAACATTCATGTTCAAAAGTTATTGTTTCTTTATGGAAAGATATAAAAAAAGTAATCCCGAAAATTAACAATCTGTTACTAAGCAAAATTCATCCTATCTTTTATA